TGTCGAGGCACAGACCCCTTGGGAACCCTATAAAGCCTTGACACTCTCCCCAGGAGAGCAAACCTGAGCCCACACCCAGCATGCAGTGTCCAGTGTTGAAGGTCAGCCCATGGACGTGGACAGGACCCTCGCCACAGCCAGCAGACGCAGCCCCTGCTCACACTCTGCACCTCCTCTACAGGGCTGGGGGACCTGGCCGAGCCCCTCACACCTGCTGCCCAGCAGGAAGGGCACCAGCAGGGCCTCCAAGAGTGGCCTGACCACGGCTCTCCTTGCCGAGCCCACAGCTCTCCGTGGCAACGCACCGCGGGAGGAAGGCAGAGGCTCCTCACACCACGCCTCCGCTGTCACTCCCCAGCTAAAACCACCCAGGGACTCCCACTGAGCTGAGCTTCGCCTGCGCGCCTCCTCCAGCCTGACCCCCGCCTTCAGTGGCCCACCTTCCCATCCCTGGGCCCCGCACCCGAGTCCTCAGCAGAATGCTGGGCCCGGTCTCCACTCACTCTCACGCCCAGGCCTCCTGCCCTCTGGCCGGTAACTGCCCCAGGAACCCTCTCTCAGAAACTAGCTTCTCTCTTCACTTCCCATTTGTGGGTTGTGTGTTCCCGAGGGGTGTGAGGTCTGGAAAGGCAGGGACTTGGGTGCCCAGAGTTGGGCTGATCCCATGCACCCACCTTGGGGATGCCCACTCCACGTGCCCACTGCTCGTCACTTGGTGGGGGCTATCTCCCGGCCGCCAGGGTGAACACAGCCCCCTTGGTCCTGCCTGGAGCAGGCGGTACCTGCCCGACTCACCCTCCACCTTCATGATCTGGTAGGTGTCCTGCACCACCTTGTACTTGGGCTCGTTCCGGAAGGCGTGCGCCCAGGCCTGGATCAGGTACAGGATCTTGTTTCGGACATTGACTTCCACCTGCCTCTGCAGAGAAGGGAGGGAGGCCGTGAGGACCGCTGGAGACGCAGGTGCCAGGGGGTGTTTCAGCGTAACAGAGCGGCTGGTGAGACCCCACTACTCAGAGCAGAGGTGGGGCGGGACCCCAGGGTGGGGTGCAGGGGGCACCTCGGACCCTCTGCCCAGGCCCAGCCCTCCTCCATGGAACCCTGACCCTGAGGATGAACCCCTCGCACCTATCTGCCCACTTGGGGCCTACATGTAACCCCCAGGGCTCCCGAGGCAAAAGCTCTCCAACTCCCTTGATCCCATAACGACATGCACCTCTTCCATCCCTCCCTGACCAGACTGGGAGCCCCTCCGTCTGTAACCCACTCTGGCCCTGCCCCCTCCTTCCAGCTACAGCAGCTCCAGGGCCACGCCCACATACAGAGCCACCATTTCTGCCAGCTTAGAGCGCAGCCAGTTCCACTTTTACAGCCCTCTGGGGTGCCATCCGCACCCAATGCTCAGGAGGACAGCAGGGCAGAGATGCCGACCACAGCTCAGCGCTGGGCCTCTGGGTCTTTCCTGTGATCTGTGTCCAATTGGTGGACTCCCCAATCCTATCTCCAAGGGGGACCAGCTAGCTGTTACACCAGGTGCAGCAGACAGGGCACAATCTCCGGTGCAGGAAGAAGGCAGCTTCTAACTGCTTCCGCTCTTTCCAGTGGGCCCCTAGAAGCCAGATGTCCGCTCAGGTCCCGGGAGGGCTCCTGGCCCCACAGGCCCACAGGCACCAGGACAGGACCAGGAAACTGTGGCCTGGCCCACTGGTGGCAACCAGACAGTGCCTGGGGCTGCACTCCTTGGCAACCTCATCTCTGCGGGGCACCCCTGCACCTCAAAGAATGTCTGCCCCACCCAACTCTGCATCACACAACCTCGGGTGTCACTGCCCACGTCACAATCCCTGCAGGGCAGCGCAAGCCTGAGAGGCCACAGGCAGGGGCCCCTCGGGACGTCTCGGGCTCAGGACTTTTCCTCCTCTGCTGAAGGAGAGCATAAAGCCCACTCCCCAGTGCGTCTCCCCTGCTCTCCCTCCAGAAACACATGGGGCTCAGTGCACCCTGCTGGGGACCTGCCCCGCTGCCCTGGGTCCCCAGGCCTCTGTTCGCCACATGCAGCTCCTTCTTCCACCTTCTCTACCACTCAGTGAGTGCCCCTGCCCGTCAAGGCTCGGCTCCCAGCCCTGCCCCCAAGGAGCCTTCCCCCACCCTGAGGAAGAGAGGGGCCTTCTGCGCCCAAACATCGCTGGGATGGGACTGGCGTGTTGCAAGGACTACCAATGCTCGCCCTCCCGGCCTCTGCCACACCTGCACTGTCCCTGCCGCGGGTGCCAGCAAACACCAGGAAAAGCAAAGGCCTGGCAGCGGGTGGCGCACCCCTCCTCCCCCATCTGGACCTACTACTCCCGATGGAGCACCCACCTTCAGCAGCTCCTTCAGCTCCTCCATCGTCTGCTTATTGGCCACCTCGTCATGGACTGTCTGGCCGCAGTTCTTCACCACAGACTCCATGACCTGCAGACCCCAAGGAGAAGAGTCAGGGTGCTGGTTAGGGCAGGGACCCCTCCGGGATAGGCCCACCTCCCCAGCAGAAGGCAGTCCTCAACAGGCCCCACAAGCCACCCACCTGTCAGGAAAGCCACCATGGCAGCTTGGGGCACACAGCAGCCAGCGCCACCCAGGCTCCTTCTAACTCCATGTGTCATCACCAAGGACAGGGACTCGAGTCACCCTCCCCGCCCAAAATGTGTCATTTTCAGGTGGAGCAGCTGAGGCCTAGCTCCCACCCCAGCTCATATCTGGCCTCATGCCCAATGCCCAAAGTGTGCTGTTGGTACACCCAAGCAGGTGGGCAAGGCTGTGGGGGGCCACTCCTCTCTGCCATCCTGACCGCTGGGGGTGGGGACCCTTGACAGGATTATAGGTGGGGGCCTAGTCACCTCTAGGGCATACAGAGCCACGTGGGGGTTCTTGTCGTTGACTTTCTTCTTGATAGAACTCACAGCATATTTTGCCCTGAAAGAAAAGGGTGTTGGTAAAAGCACAGAGACAGAAAAAAGGAAACAGTCTCAGCAACTAAGATGGGAAAAGTCCAGCTGCTATCTGGCACTTGAGATCCCCCAAGCTGTACAGAGTCCTTTGGCTATGCCCCGATCTCAAACACCCCAGCACACAGACCACATAGCTCTCCACCAAGGTCGTGAGGCCCTGGAGGGTAGTGGGAACGAGTGTCCCCCTCACTTACTGTGTGTCCCCCTGGCGGATCAGGTCACAGATCTGCAGGATGGACTCCCAGTCGGTCTCTAGCAGAAGCTGGCTGGTGGCTTTGTCTAAGGCAGAAACGCATGATTACGGGGGCTCGTTCTGCTGTGATTCCTAGGGGGCTCCAGCTTAGCAACAGGAAGGAGTGCCTCCTTCCCATTCCAAACACAGCTGGACCCCATGGAAAACCCGTGAAAATCGTGTTGACGCAGCAATAACCACAAGAGTGCTGTCCTGACCCAATGAGGCAAACAGCTTGAAAAATAACAACGGAAAAATCCCGCTGCCTGCTTGTTACACGCCAGGGGCTCTTCCAAATGCCTTCCGTGAACTTGCTGCTCACGCAGCCTTACAATCTAGGCCGTATTTCCATCCCCTTCCAGGTAAGTTGAAGCAGGGAGGTGAGGTCACTGCCAGGAGCCACACAGCTTGCTGGGGACAGAGCCACCAGGATTCAACACTATGCTGGCTGCTTCTCGACAGGGAAATCTGCCACCTCGTCCCTCAGTCCCTGGTTTTCAGAGGTGTGACCTAGTTGGTTGGATTTCCGCCGGGGCAAGACTTCAGGGATGCAGCACCGATTCCCGCCCTCTGCTTCCAGTGTTCCGTGTGGCGAAACGGGACTGACCTCCACGGATTCTCCGACAAACGGCCCTCCCTCTCCACCACCGCCGCCTCACAGGCGTGCTCTGCTGGCCCTGTCTCCCCTGGAGACTACCAACAACCTAACAGGCCTGTCCACCTTCAATATTGATCTAGTGGTAGCTTCCGGATCGGCCCTTGAAAGGCTGACCCATCCCACGTGCCTGAGTTCCCCAGCCTGCACTTTCCACGAACAAGAACGATGCCTCATCTGCGGTCTCCTCCAAAACCGCACTCAAGGGGAAAGGAGGGCGGGCAGGGGCTGGTGGCTGGAGCACCCAGGCCGCCTGTCCCGGACACGGGCACGCGCAGGCCGCGGGAGGGCGGGGGCTTGCCCAGAAACATCCCTTTTCCTTCCTAAGCTCCTCGGGGCTCAGCCACAGCCTCCGGCAGTCGGAGGACGCGCTTCCCGAGCGAGTGGGGGCAGCGGGCTGGCCTGGTCCGCAGGGAAGCAGGCCTCAAGGGAGCGTGGCAGGTCCCAGAAAGGGGTCCTCTTTTGGGGGAGCCAATGTCTGGGTCCAAAGCCCTGAGCCCCACGCAACGTAGGCGTTTTGGGGGGAGGGGGGCGTCTCCTGAGAGTTGCTATTCGACCGAGCCGCCCGTCTCCGTGACTCAGGACTTCGGGCACGCCCGCGGTCGGTCCCCGCGCACCTGCCGGCTCCGGGCCCGGCTCCTCCGCGGACCCTCGCCCGCCCGGCCAGCGCCCGCGCCCGGCACTGCCAGCCCGCTCACGGAGAGCCCACCCAGGGCCCGGGACGCGCGGCGGCCGCTCCGCCCCGCTCGGGGCCGCGGGCTGGCCGGGAGGAGCAGGGGCCGCGTTACCTAGGAGACGCTCGAAGGTGCCGCTGCCGCGCCCCATGGCGACCCGGGCCCGACCCGACGCCAAGGCCTCCTTCGCTGCGAGCCGGCGCGCCCCCGACTTCCGCTTCCGCCTTCCTCTCGGGCGCGCGCGCGCACACGTCGCCGGGTCGGCCCTCCAGTCGTGAGGGGGCGGCCTTTCCGCTCGCCACTGACTTTGTGCGCCGATTGGGCCGCGCCTGCGGGACGACCAATGAGAAGCCCAGAGGCGAGGCTTATCCAATGAAAGCGGGGCGGAGGGCGGGCCTTGCGTCGCCGCGGGGCCGAGCTACGGGAGCCGAGTGGCGCGCGGGGTTGGGATGTGTCTCCTGCTGGGAGCTAGCGGCGTGGGCAAGTCGCTGTTGGTGAAACGACTGCAGACTATCCTTCCGGGCCGAGGAGGGGCCGGGGAAGGGTGGGGGCCGGGGGCGGGGCCGGGGTGCGGTTGTGGGGGACCCTTGGGGTGGCCGCGGTTAGGCGACGCGGGACCGTGGAGGCGGTCGGGGGCAGGGTCGCCTTGAGGGCCGGACCGGGAGCCTGGAGGGGCGGGAGGCCAGCGGCGGGGTCCGCCCTGCTCTGCCCCGCTGGGGTCCTTGACCGCGTCGCACAGCTGAGCTCTCAGGATGGGAAGGGCGACCTGGGCGACCCGCCCCCGACGCGACCCACGGTAGGCGTCGCCCTCCGCAGGCTCCGCCGAGTCGGTGCCCTCGCGTTTTCCAAGTGCTGTGCGTTCCTAGGCGGAAACCGGCACCTAGCCGGCCGACGAGTTAGAGACAGCCCAGGGGAAGCGTGCGGGGTGTCGCAGGAGGAGGCTGGTCCCACCAGGACACAGCCGCTGTGGAGGCGGGTGCATGACGTGGGGTCCGAGCCGCCCCTCCACGCAGCGGCGGTTCCTGTCGCTGGTCGCCGCCCACAGCGAAGCCCCCTGGCGGGCGTTCCTTCTCTGGCCATAGCCAGCCAGGAGGGGTGGGGCCCAGAACTCCTGGGAGCCCCTCTTCCTTAGGGGTTCTGCTTTAGGACCCAGGACCTTGAGAAAACGGGCCGTTTGAGGTTTAGGTCACAGCGTCAGGGGCCGGGCATGTTGCTGTTCCGCAGTCCCAATAGGAAAGAGCTTGTGGTGGTCTCTGCATCCTGTTTTTTTCCCACAGGTGGGCACCAACCTTACCGATGTCATGGCCCACAGAAAGATCACCATCAGGGAGCTGGGGGGGTGCATGGGCCCCATCTGGTCCAGTTACTATGGAAACTGCCGTTCTCTCCTGGTAGGTCATATTCTTTTCACTGTTTTAGGGCAGTATGTCCTCTTGGTATCGTCCAGGCCCCGACCTCACTTTATATAGGATGGAGTTTGGGTTGCTGGGTAACCATGCTACCACTTCCTTCTGGGAGCTCAGCCTGATCCCCAGTACTCCGCTGGTGAGCTAATGTAAAAGCGCAGCAACGGCTTGCTGAGGGCAGTGTTCATGTTCTGTAGCTAACTGCCTGACGCCCGTCCTGTTCACAGGTGTGTTTTTGTTGATTCTTAAATTCTACATCCCTCGGGTTCATCCCATCCTAGCAAGTCCTGCCCCCCAAACGTTGGGACCCTTCCTGGGAGAACAGGTGGGCACATGAGGAGAGAGACTTCCGTGGTGTAGGTGGAAACAAGTGACACCTGGTCACTCTCATACACCTTGTTTCCTTTTGCTTCTGCCTGTCCCCAAAGCCCTTTGTTTCAAAGTCATTTTGTTCTTGAGCCAGGTCTGTGATGCCCAGGGGAGGAGATTTGGCAGGGGCTGTCTCCATCAGAGTGACCCCGAACTCTTTCCCCGTCTTCCCAGTTTATGATAGACGCCTCCAACCCCACCCAACTCTCTGCGTCCTGCATGCAGCTCCTCGGCCTCCTTTCTGCAGAACCACTTGCAGAAGCATCGGTCCTGATACTCTTCAATAAAACGTATGGGTCCATGAGCCGAGAGGGAGGCAGAGGGTGCCCAGAGAGGAGCTCCCATGGAATGTAGCCAGAAGGGTGGCTCCTTGGGAGGGGTGCGGCGGGGGTTGGGACAGGCTTGTGGGACCCACTTTGACAAGGTGCTTCTTTTGCTCCAGTGACCTGCCCTGTTATATGACCATAGAGGAGATGAAGTCGTTAATCAGGCTTCCAGACATCATTGCCCATGCCAAACAGAACATCACCATGGCAGAAATCAGTGCCTGGACAGGCACTGGCTTGGCAGGGGTGCTGCACTGGCTCCAGGACACCCACAGAACCGGCAGATGACTACCAGGTGGAGAACGTGGCTGGACAGCTCTGCTTAGCCTCAGGAGGTTTGTTCTTAGGAAGACAGGTGACGCAGCATAAACCTACAGAGCGGGCTTCTGTGCTGAGTTGCAGTGATGGGTAAGCCAAGGTATGCAGGTTACAGAAACTCCTGCTAGCCAACATTGGAATGAAAAGACCATCCAGGGTGTGGGAGAGCAGACTGGCCTACTGGACCTCTGGTCCTCCTGAGCACCCAGAGAAGCAGGCAGAGTGGGTAGGAAGAGGCTCTGGCGGGGCACGGGTGCTGGTGAGGCCATGCCAGGCCCTCGGGCCACAGTTCCCCAGTATCCCACTGTGCCTTCCATTTCAGGTGAGGGAGCTGGCAGAACACCTGTTGATTGGTACATGTGTCTGTGGGGACCCATAACAAATTACCACTAACTGGCTTAAAACAACCTGTTTATGGTCAGTTCTGGAGGCCAGAAGTCTGAAATCAAGGTGTCACCAGGGTTGGATCTTCCTTCTGGAGGTTCTGAGGGAGAGTCCATTCCTTACTTGGCTCTGGCTTCTAGTGGCTGCAGGTTTCTTGGTGTCCTTGGCTCAGGGCTGGCCGAACTGGAATCTCTGCATTTTAATGTGGCCGTCTTTTCCTATAAGAACACCTGTCATTGGACAGCCCACCCTAAATCCAGCATGATCTTGTGATCCATAATTACATCTGCGAAGACCCTTGCTCCAAGTAAGGTCACGTTGGCATGTCCTGGGGGTTACAAGTTGGATGTATCTTTTTTTAATTTTTTTTTTTATCCTCACCCTAGGACGTTTTTCCATTTCTTGTTTAGATAGAGTGGGAGGGAGAGACAGAGAGAAACATCGACGTGAAAGAGACACATCGAGTGGTTGCCACCTGCACAACCCAACCAGGGCCAGGGACAAACTGCAACCGAGGTACATGCCCTTAGCGGGAACCGAACCCGGGTCTCTCTGGACCACAGGCCAACTCTCCAACCTCTGAGCCAAACCAGCCAGGGCTGGATGTATCTTTTGGGGCCACTATTCGGTCTACTATGATTGGGTAAGGAACCTTCTGCCCAAGTGTAGTTTGAAGCGTTCAGCCTTGCAGTGCTTCTGGTCTGCACTGCACGGCAAGTGTCACTGCTGGGCGCCACCTTCTTAGACACCACTGAGCAGCCCTAGGTGTGGGCGAGCTCCACATTGTTGGAGGGGTCCTTGTAGATTTCAGACAACTTAGGACCCAAGGAAGGGGCTTTCAGACATCCCCCAATTTCAGAGGACTTGAGCAAAGCCTGGATAACAGCATGAAGTGTTAGAAGAATCTCTCTGGGGCATGAGACTCCCAGAAAACATTAGCACGAAGTGTGAGCTCCAGGACCTGCCTGCAGAGCAGCAGCAGGCTGGAAGGCCCCCCTTTTACAGTAAACTTCTGAATTGTGTAAGCCGTGTTTTACATATTCAGAAAAGGAATTAAGACATCAAAGCAAAAATGGCAACTTAAAACCTGAAAACAAAAAAGATCTTAACTGTGAATCAAACTGGTACCACATTCAGAAAGAGAAAAAAACCTCTTAAGGTGACATTCAAACACAGTTGGCCTGTCCCACTTTAGGTGGATAACAAAACTGAAAAAAATCTTAAACTTCATTCTGTACTTTGTGTTAGCACTGTTCATTCATATTAGACCTATTTTATGTTTGTTATAGCATAAAGTATATTTGTGAACCGTTTTCGATGTAAAAGATGCAAACATAGAAGAAAAACTATAATATTAAAGTTTAATGCCAATTATCAATATAAACTCAGAATCTTAAAGTTGTTATTTTTTTAATTTCTATTTTCAAGACCATTTCAAATGGTCTAGAAGCAATGACATCTCAGTCTCAGTGACCATCTCTATAACCCAGATCTTGGTTTCTAAGCACCACATCCACAAGGAGCAGTGGTCTCTCACAGAAACCAGACCCCATACCCCAGGCAAGGCAAGAGCACCTTGTGTCTGAAAGCTAAGAACCCAAGAGATCAGTGTCAAGATACAAGATCTTCTTGGGGGTGGGGGTGGCTTATAAACCCTTTAGAATGATGTTTTTCTTTTTAATTGTTTTTAGAGAATTATAGATTGGTTGCCTCCCACCCCAACTGGGGATCGAACCTGCAACCTGAGCATGTGCCCTGAGCAGGAATCAAACCGCAACCCTACAGGGCACAGGATAATGCTCCAACCACACTGGCCAGGCAAGAAAGATCTTCACTGGCCAAGTATGGGGTAACTCAGCTAAAAATGAACCTCCAAAAACACCAACCCCTGAAACTTACAACACACTATGTTAAATCACTTGAGTCCTCAGTGATGGGTGCCCCTGCTGACTTTATATGCCCTGTAGGTGACTATGCCAACTGCTAAGGCGGCTCTTTCTCCAAAGATGGCTTCCTTGTGAAACCTTCTTGGTACGCATGCCCTCTCGACGTCTCCATGTCAGAACCGAAGCCTGGGTGGACTCCACCTGCCCCGGGGACTCAGCAGTGGCACTCTGAGATGGTCTGGATGCTGACCACTTCATCCCAGAATCTCTTTCCTCTCCTGCACTGGCCGCTGCCTGCCTGTGTCCAGCTGTGCTGCTCTGTTGAATGGGAGCCTGTGATGGACTTGGTGGACCTAAGTCAGCAGTGTCTATGATTAATTAGCATTCAAAGACGGGATTATGGGATTGGTCCACAGTTGTCTCACCCTGGATCTGAGGGTGATGCTAGGCTCATGGGAATGGCACCGGGTGTGACCAGGCGCTGGCCACATCTATGGGAGTAGGCACAGATGATGTCCCATGTGGGACATGGACCTGGCAAGTGGTCAATCACGAAAGCATAGTCTTTAGGGAGGAAAGATGAGAGCAAAGACCGGAGCCCTTCCCTGAATTTGGGAGTAGGTGCGACAGGCTCCATGTCCTGGGGTGTGTCCAGAGAAAGGACTGATCTCTGGGCTCCCCTGCTCGCTCACCCCCACCCATTGCAGCAGTCCTGGTCTCGCCATCATCAACATGTCTGTGGCTTCTTCCTGGCAGGGAGGTGGGCCGACTGGGCCCCCTGCTGCCGCTGCTGCAGCTTCTTTATCGCCCTGTAGGCCTGCACAGCCCGCTCTCTCTCCTCCGCCACGATCCTCTGTCGGGCCATCGAGGTGGATGGAGGCTGGGACACACCGCCAGGGCTCAGAAGCATCCCCAGCATCAGTGATTTCTTGCCGGGCTGAGGACGAGAGACAGAGGGCATGGCACAGGTTCAGGAAGAGGGAGATGACTAACAGCCTGGCCCAAGAGAACCACATTCACCAGGAACAAACAGGGAAGTCCCCCTGCCCTTGCTTACCGGGCCCACACTCATGCTCTTCCTGGGCTTAGCGGTCAGCTCGGGGGGCTGCAGGGCGACCTCTCCAAACTTCACCGTGTCTGGAGGAGACAGAGGAGCACACCTGAAGCCCACGGCCCACACAACCATTGTACTGCCGGTACCTGAGCTGCTGTCTCCCCATCGCCCATCAGCCGACCGGGGGGGACACAGGTACCTGCCAGCGGCCACCCCCACCCATGGCTGACCCATCCCTTCGGGATGAGCCACCTTGGAGCAGCTCCTGCTCTAGCCTCTTCACTGCCTTTTCCTGTCTCTTCTGCCGGACTTTATCCAGTCGCCGCTTCTGGAACCTGGGGAAGAAAGCACAATGCTGTTCAGATTCCCAACTCTATTTCCCTGGACTCAGGAGGCGAAGTTCACACTGCCTTCACGGGATGCTCAAGGCAGAGCCGAGGCGGCTGCCCCCAAGTCCCAATTCCGCCACCACCTTACCGCTGCCACCAGAGAGGGCCCTGAACCCCGCCAGCCAACAACTGTAAGATGGAGATACCAGTACCTCCTCTTTACAAGTGAGGAACTGAGGCTAATGGGTCACTGCTAAGGGCTCTCAACTCTCCTCTGGACAAGAAAAGTGGCAATAGGTCAGCCTCAGGTCAGCTAGACCCCCCCACACACGCAGTCCTGATTCCTATGGGGTGGGCATGGTCCCTGGTGGCCAGCAGGCCCTCCTAGGAGGACACGGTCTCATCTCTTCTCTGCTCCCCCACAGCGACCAGCCTGGCCTGGACAGCTGGCTTAGCCTGCTCTGGCTCTTGCACCCCTTGATGACTTCGCAGAGAAACACAAAGACAAGGTCAGGCCCTCAGACTTCATGGGTCAGAGCCTCCCTGAACCCCCAGGTGACTAGGGATTTTAACTTCTTTCCCTGAATCACAGGGTAGGGTGGGGTTGCCCCCTGGCAACAAAACACTGTTGCTGCAGAAGACAACTGTGGGACCCCCAAGTCCCTCCAGCCCCCACTCACGCTTTCTTCCGCTCCGACTTCTTCTTGGGAGCCGCCTGCACCTCAGGCTGCTGGTCGGCCTGGTTCTTGCTGAGGAACAGCACATGCTGGGCCTCCTGCTCCATGCGCTGGACATAGGCCCCATCGGACTCCCACTTCCTCTGCTTGAACTTGGGCACGGCGATGTCTGGATCCACTCCCCTTGCTTCCTTCTCCAGCGTCTTTCTGAAGGTCGCTTGGGCTGAGGACAAAGGGAGATAGGGCATGAGGGGCAGGAGGAAGTGGGTGGTGGTGCCAGGCTGGCAGCCATGGTCATTTCCTGCCACAGGAAGGGAAGACCAGGCTCAAGAGGGACCACCCATCCTGGCCAGTGTTGCTCAGTCGTTAGAGCATCAGCTGGAGCAACGGAAGAAGGGTCACAAGTTTGATTCCTGGTCAAGGGCACGTACTTGGGTTGCAGGTTTGATCCCCAGTCTTGGTCGGGGCACATGTGGAGGCAACCAATCAATGTGTGTGTGTGTGTGTGTGTCCCTTCCACTCTCTCTAAAAAAAAAAAAAAAAATTAAATGGAAAAAAATATCCTTGGGTGACAACAACAACAAAAAAAAGAGGGAGCAGCCCAACTACTATGGCTGAAGAGGACCTAAGATGCCTATCTTGGGGCACCCCACAGCCCATTGGTACGTGTCAAAGGTGTCACTGCAACTCAGCTGAAAAAGGAACCTAAATGTCCATCAGTAGGTAATTGCTGAGTGAGTCCCCTGTGCTCACACAGAGAGGTCACTGCCCAGGTGTAGAGGGCAGCACAGCAGGGCTCCACACAGGTGTGGACAGATCTACAAAGGCCTGTAAGTGAAAACCCAGGACACTAAACATGTAGAAGGAAGGTATAGGACTTATGGTATACGTCACATGGACTTGAAAACGCGCAGATTTCTCCTGGAGAGGTATACAAGATGTTCATCTGAACAGTGGTTTCTTTCAGGGGGAGGGAGGCTTTGCCTCACTTCATACCTTTCAGACTGATTTTTCCATGTAGGTGAGTTTTTATCTCTTTGGGAACTTAACCAAAAAAAGGGCTCATTCAATAAGCGTGGTTCAAATGTGCCAGCTTCCCGCAGGCCAGTGCACCCTCCACCATCCCTTGGGCAGCCACACAGCCCCCTGCGAAAAGCCTGAGGTTGAGATGAAATCATCACACAGCAATGCTGTCAGCGCAGTCATACGTCAGGAGGACAAATACGTATCCACACAAAACAGAAACACGCTGGGCTCCATTCCTCAACACGTCCTGAGTGTCATCTCTGGCAAAAGCTGATGGGTGGGCCCAGCCTGGCCTTGGGGGGTGGGAACAGTCCATTTGTCAGTGTGCCTCATCAATTCCCTCCGGAAGCCCCTGACACCACCCACTTCTGCCAGCTGGCACTTGCAAGGGCCTCACTGGCTTGCCCTGTCCCTCTCCCTCCCCTGCTTGTTACAGTGGCCATTCCTCAAAGGTGGTCTGAACCGAACACCCCCTCTGATGGGTCCACTGCCCTTGGGGGAGGTCAATGCTTCTTACACCAGGCCCAGGGCTCCTTTGGAACCTCATCTGAACCCACACGGCCTCGGCAGCTGCTGTGGCCCTGGAGACGCGGCCGTGGGTCAGTGCTCCGTGTGCCCCTGCTTCCCCAGACCACCGACACGCCATTAAGACATCTGAGCAGCCCTGGCTGTTTTGGCTCAGCGGTTAGAGCGTCGGCCTGCGGTCCTGAGAGACCCGGGTTCGGTTCCCGCTAAGGGCGTGTACCTCGGTTGCAGTTTGTCCCCGGCCCTGGTCGGTTGTGCGGGTGGCAGCCACTCGATGTGTTCCTTTCACATCCATGTTTCTCTCTCTCTCTCTGTTCCTCTCTCTCCCTCCCACTCTACCTGAACAAAAAAATGGAAAAATGTCCTCGGGTGAGGATAAAAAAAAAAAAGACATCTGAGCAATTAAGCTTTTTTTTTTTTTTGCCACACACACGGGCCCGCATTTTACCTTCTTTCTTCCTCTTCTTGTTACTGACTGGGTTTTTCATTTCCTGGCGGCTCCTCATAATCTCCTGGAGCCGGAACGGGATTTCCTGCTCATCCTGGTTCTTGGGCTTGCAATTCACTTTCTTCTTTTCTTTGCTAAGAAGGAGAACACGGGCGTGAGACGCGTCCCAGGTCCAGCACAGCCAGAGAGAACGAAGATTCGCAGGCCACCCTGGGTGCCGTGGGGCATGCGGGTCGAGGCAGCATCCTCGCCGGGGCCCGTGCCGGAGCCGGGTTCTCGCCGAACACGCCGGCGCCCCAGGCGGGCCGTCGCTCCCTGACCCGGTCCAGCATGGCCAAGACGGCACTTCGGAAGGTGGCCAGTGCCGCACCGGAGGCTCCCGCGCGCCTCTGCTGGCCGGCTCCCCCTCCGGCGCGCCCACGCACGGGATGGGCAAGGCGCGGGCCTCCGTGGGGGAGGCCCGGGCAGAGACTTCAGGGCGGTGAGACCCACCTGCGCGGCCTGCACCACGGCGCCGAGCGCTGCTTCCCCTGCAGCTGCTGCTGCTGCCGCCGCCCCGGGCCCACAGGGCCCCCAGGGCCCGCTGTCCCCGCCGGGCCCGCCGCCCGGCGCCCAGCTCCCGCCATCTGCACCGGCCGGGGTCCTGAGAGAAGCTACTTCCTCCGTTGCGCACGGTCCCGCCCCGTGCCCGCCACTTCCGCTTCCTGCGCTCAGCCCCCTGCTCTTGGAAGCGGCTCAGCTCCCAGGCGAGTCGCGATTGGCCAAGGCGGTCGTCGCTCACTGGGAGGCGGGAGCGCGCATGCGCCATGCGTCGAGCCGCGGGCGATGCTGCTTCGGAGTGTAACCTCCGGCGGCCGGGCGGTGGCCTCAGCTGCCTTCTATTCGGTAAGTGCGTGGCCCGGGCGGATGCGCTGGGGGGTGGGGCGAGGGCTCGTTCGAGGGGCTGGGGCGGCACCGACTGGAGAAGCCCCGCCCCCGCTTCCGGGGAACCGCGGCTGCAGCCCCGCGCCGCCGGCTCGTAGGGCCGCCGGCCGACCTCGGCGTGCGTCCCTTCTGCTCCCTGCAGACACCGCCCCCTGGCTGCGAGCTTGGCTGCTGGCTGAGCCCGGGGTAGCGCCGGGAGCTCGTGCACGCGACGGGCAGTGTCCGCCGAGCGCCTGCAGCGTGCGAGCCCTTCGGGGAAGCCGCGGTGGCCGAGGGGCTCGTGCTCTTTGCAGGAGGAGCTGGAGAAACAAGTCTGGGCGGGGTCTGTCAGTTTCCCGTTCCCTGGAGACACAGCAGCAGGGAAGGGGCCTCCAGGGCTGTGGGGATGACCTGGGCGGCCTGGGCTTCTCTTGTAACCGGCAAACAGCGACGAGGGGGTGATGCAATTAGTCAGATGGTCAGCGGGGACGGGCACTCTGTACTGGTTGGAGGGGGAAGGTGGCTTCCAACCCCCATTCCTGTCCAGGGAGCAGAACCATCGTAGCTGGAGGTGCCAGGCTCCCCCACCCCGCAGTCTGCTGGAATGCATGCCTAGAGCCAGGCGCCGAACCCGGCACTTCTCGTGAGTGGTACCATGTCTTCCTCCTACCAACCACCACATCCGTCTTACAGATGGAAACTGAGTCTAGAGATGAAATAACCTGTTTAAGATCATATAGGAAGTGAGGAAGCCTAGAAGAGTGTGGAACCTTCTGCCACTGTCAGGAGGCCGAAATTCCTATGGAGCTGGGGGCAGGCGAGACCTTACCAGCTTCCTGGAGACTCACGGGTTTATCTGCGTTTTTAGGGGCCCCACAGGCTTCCTGGAGGCAGCAGCACTCGGCACAGGTACCATGCCCGGATCCCAGTCTGTGAAGGCCGAAGAGAGTTCAGGAAGGACCATGTGGAGGAGGGCTCCCAAACAGGTGCCGAGGGCACCAGACCTCCCAAGTCCTCCGTGCCTGGCGGGGATACCTCAGAAGCCCCGTACCCCCCGCCACCTGAGCTGCAGCCCCCCACAAACTGCTGCATGAGTGGCTGCGCCAACTGCGTGTGGGTGGATTACGCAGAAGCACTGCTGCAGCACTACCAGGACGGCGGGGAGCGGGCCCTGGACGCCCTGCAGAAGCACGTGGCGGATGAGAACCTCAAGGCCTTCCTGAAGATGGAGATCCAACTCCGCATGAGGAGAGGGGGCTGAGCTGGCCTGGCCACACAGCTCGCCCGACGGGCTCCAGCCCGCAGCCCCCAGCCCGGCAGCAGCTCGGCCTCTTCCTTCCGCGTGTGGCCCCATGTGAACCCATGTCAGCTGGGAATCAGAATAATTATTTATTGACTTTCCTCAAAATAAATAAGTTCTCTGTGCTAGCGAGATAAGAGGCCTCTGTGCTATTGTCCGGAAGGCTTGTATGGCCTCGTCATCTGTTCACTGAGCACCTACAGCCTCACCGACCAGTGAGGGTAAAATAAGACTCATTTCCTTGAATATTAAAATGACAGTGACCCCACGGGCCCCCTTCTATGTCCCAGCATCCCAGAAGTCCTACCCAAAGGTCAGCTCAGCGGTGTGGCAGAGAGAGGACTGTCTGGTCCCATGAAGTTGCCCTTAGCAAGGCCCTTGGTAGGCAGGAATGCTCCCAGGCAGCCTGCAAAATTCCCCATTCGTCCAGCTGCTGGGGTCCTTGGGGAGACACCTATCCCATCTGCCAGCCAAGTTGATGGCTGTAGATCATTCTGCGGGGGCCTGAGCCCTGCATAGCCACCAATCCTTCCAACCCACTTAGGCATGGCCCCCAGGGCACTTGGCCAGGGCCGAAGGACCAGGTGACCTCAGGTGTTAACCCCAGAACCAGTGTCCCCACATCAGCCTGGTCTTCGGCTTCAGACCTGGCCACTGGACCATCAGCCCAAGTGGGACTTTATCTTAAGGCCCTCACTGCCCATCCCCATTTCTCCTGCTCATCCTGATCCGTGGACATTTCCCCCTCGTCCCCCACCCCAGCAATTCCCCCTCGTCCCCCACCCACCTTGTCCCCCACCCCAGCAATTCTAAGCTCTGATACCACTGGCCGGGCCAGAGCAGGGATTGAAAGAACTTATGCCGCTGTTATTTCCTCACTTAAGGGAAAAGCTGGGGTTGTAATACTTCACCAGGGATTGGAGCTGACTAACAGGCCTTCCCTTTCGTGTAAGCCACGGTTTGACGTAGAGAGAGAGGCCTGTGGACGGGAAGGAGACCACATCTCAGACCGGAGCTGCGCCGATGCCTGAACCGACCCAGCTTCCCGGCTTCCTGCACAGCTGACGCTGGTCACACAGAAGCGTTCAGAGTTTGGGCTGGCTCAAGGACGTGATCATGGTGACATCCTTACAGGCTCCATCTCAGAGGGTGTCTAATCCGACCCTGTCCGTACAGACTTGAAAACGGCCCGCAAAGGGCGAGATTTTCCCCAGAGACAGCAGCTCGGCAGAACTGTGTGCACTCTGGGGCTCCAGGGGAGTCTACAAGAGGTCTCGGAGCTGGAAGAAGAGGTTTTCTGTATTTTTCTTAAAAATACGGATTTCTAAAAGGTTTTCTATGGACACGTGTGTGTATGTTCGTATGTGTACATGTGTGTATCTATGTATGTACACATACATCCCACCCAAGAGACCTTATGAAATTAGCCTTATTTTAGAATTAGACAGTCATGGCCAAGGTCCTTGCAGTGTGAGCCCCAAAGAAAAGCCACTGGCCCGGTCCCTTGCAGTGCGGCAGGACCCTCCCAGATTGGGGTGTGGTGGCCAAGAATGCCAGCGCCGTGGACACGCTCGCTGAGAACACCCTGCCGGTGCGGACCTTGTCTTCCTTTTTCCGATCATTCATTCATTCCACAGGTGCTGGTGAGGTACCTGGCACTGGGCTAGACATGGATCGGGGAGAAATCTGCCCCTTTCCACTCTAGTGTGGAAGACAGTTTAACACAAGAATATCCAACCTGTCTGGCCGGTGTGGCTCAGTGGTTGAGCATCGACCCTGCTCCAAGAGGTCACCGGTTTGATTCCCGGTCAGGACACATGCCCAGGTTGTGGGCCAAATCCCCAGTGGGGAGCATGTAGGAGGTGGCCAATCAATGTTCTCTCTCATCGATGTTTCTGTCTCTCCTTCTCACTTCCTCTCTCTCTAAAATCAATAAAGGAAAAAAAAGTAAAAAGAATATCCAACCGTTGTGCGCTCTCACCTCACACCTGTCAAGTTGGCTGTTTCAAAAAGTCAATAAACAAGTGTTGGCGAGGACGTGGAGAAAGGGGAACCCTCTGACTGTTGGTGGGATGGTTAGTTGGTGCAGCCACTGTGGGAAATGGCATGGAGGTTTCTCAAAATATTAAAAAATAGAACTACCTACCATGTGACCCAGCAACTCCACTTCTGAGTATTTATCCGAAGAAAACAAAAACGCTAATTCAAAAAGATACACGCGCCCCATGTTCATTGCAGCATTCTTTTTTTTTTTTTATTCCTCGCTGAGGATATTTTTCCACTGATCATTAGAAGATAGAGTGGGAGGGAGAAAAAGAGGGAGAGAGACAGAGGAACATTGATGTGATAGAGCCACATAGACTGGTTGACTCTCACACGACCCGACCAGGGCCGGGGACGAACTGCAGCTGACGTACGTGCCCTTGACCAGAATCGAACCCGTGACTCCTGGGTCCATGGGCCGATGCTCTAACCGCTGAGCAACACTGGCCAGGGCCATTGCAGTATTGCAGCCAAGATGTGGAAGCAACACAGATGTCCGTTTTAGTAAAAAATAAAGTTAAAAAGAATTATTCAAATGTACGGCTGTGTGATTGGTGTGATGAGAAACGTCCAGCTTCCGTGAGTCTGTGGAATAGGAATCTTGGTCTAGCCCAGGGATGCACTGAGGAACCAACACTGGGCAGAGTTCTGCCGTCGGGAGGAGGGCGCCAGGGGGAGGGGCAGCAGGTGCAAAGGCCCTGGAGTGGAAAGGGCTGCTTGGAGCACGGAGGAGAGGGAGGGATGAAAGGTGAGGCCGGAGAAGTGGGCGGGGCCAGGCTGCACAGGACTTTGGGGCCATGAGAGCAGTTTGTGGAAGTCAGAGGACTGGACTGAGAGGTGGGGAGGCCCCAGACAAGCAGCCAGTGCGTCTCCTCTGTTTCGAAGATGAGCCGCTTCGGGAGAGAGTCCTGCTCTGCTTGCTATTCCTAATCACACTTCCCCTCCCTGTCCTTCCTTCAGGCCCTGTCTGCACCTGAACCCCTTCCCCGGCCCCTGGAATCCTCAGCGGTGGTGCCCACCCCAGTGGCCCTGACAATCTCATTAGTGTGGCATCAGGGACAGTCCTAATCAGCTTACCCAGCCTCAGGATAAATGCCTGGCTGACCCCTGGTACAGGAGGCCTGCCACTCACACCTATGGCCCCCTGAGACCTGCCCGGTGCTTGGTGAGTAGTGACCTCCTCCAATTGCCTTTCCTGGCAACCACTTACCCAAGGGTGTTAGTGGGCATCTGCCCAGAGGGTGGGAAGCTGGTGGGCTTTTCACCACCATGCTGAGGCTGGGTCTGTGAGAGTTCACCCGCCACTGTGTTCAGAGAGGGTGCTGAGCCCATCACCTCCTCTGCTCCCGCAAGTCAAAAGGTGGCGCCGGCTCTCCCCAAGGCCAGCGATGGTCTGTGAGTCTCAGGCCACTCATGCTCAGTGAACTTGGGGCACCAGCCGTAAGCCTGGCCGGGGCCAGGGCAGCTCAGGGGTGATTTCCATGGGGACAGCATATGTTACTTGGAGCTCCATCAGAGCTGTCCACGCCAGGCCCAGGGCCTGGGACTGGGGAAGGGATCCAGCTGGGCCACCACTGTCCGGGCTGTGAGGGGTGGGTGCTGGGGTCTGAGCAGCCGGGACCACCGGGCCTGCTGCCATCTGCCTTGGACCCCTTCCGGTGCCGGTCCCAGCACAGAGGCTGAACCTTACGGAGGGAAAGTCCACGGCAGGTCCACCCCGATCCTGGGTGCCCGGCACCCACCACCAAGCCTTCCTTGCCGGTGGGACCACCTGTCCTTGCCTCTCCCTTGGTCTCAGCCCTGACGCTCCAGCTGTCGGCAGCCAGCATCGCAGTCCCCAGACTGGGGACAAGGAAGGGGACGCGAGAGATGGTGCCGAGCACACAGGGTGGGGGCGGTGCTCCTGTCTGTGTCGCATGCTTAGCCCCAGAACCTTCTGGACCCCAGTGGCCCTGAAGGATTTGTCTCCCTGGAGCTAATAGGCTTAGAAGAAGCCGAGCTGCCCTTGGCCTTGGCCAAGGTCACTGGGGCTTAGGGCATCTGGGGAGCGGCCTGGGGGAGAGGAGAGGAGGTCACCTGTACCGTGGTGCAAGGACACCAGCAGGTGACCCTGGTGCCTGGAGCGGCTGCGCACAGTGGGCGGCTGGGAAGACACTGGCAGGTGAAAGCCACGGCTCACCCGGCGGCTCATGCTGAGACAGGCCCTTCCTGCCTGCACACCCTGCCCTGTCTCTCGGGTCCCCTTCATTGGCACTGCGTGTCCGGCGTGCCACCGTGAATAAGACAGCACGTCCCCGTCCCAGGGATTGGGGAGGGGGGTGCAGAAGGGGAGACAGCTAAGGAGGGGTGCCCTTGGGGGCCTCCAGCACCCTCATTCCCCTGTGTGGCCCCAGGGTAGCCCCATGTGGAGACGGCGGGGCTGCTGTCCGGGTCATGCCGCGGGCCCACTGGGTGCCATGTTTGGGGGTTTCCTCTGGCGGGCTGGAGGGAGGAGGGCTGACTGGGACCACCTGCTCTGCCCAGCCCACAGCGTGAGGGATCCAGAGGCCCAAGGTCGCCGCAGGCCTCTGCCAGCCTGGCCATGAATCTGGAGCTGCCCAAGGCCGAGATCCGGTCAGCCACCAGGGTGACGGGGGGGCCAGTCACTCCCAGGAAAGGGCCCCCCAAATTTAAGCAGCGGCAAACCAGGCAGTTCAAGAGCAAGCCCCCCAAGAAAGGCGTCCAAGGGTGAGCAGGCGGGGAAAAGGCACCTCTCTGAGGGGGGAGGGGTCCAGCCCCGATGCACAGCAGAGGGGCAGGGGCTGGGGGACTTCAGCCACCCCTCCCTGGGTTCTGGAGAGCCTGAGCGGTGCCTGTCCCAGGGACCCCGCTCCCCAGCATGGCGGGGGGGCCTCCTGTCACTCTCTCTAGCTGTTATTGCCAGACAGGTGTGAAGGCGTACTCACTGTCATCTAGAGGCTAGGAACAGCCCCCTACATGGGTCCCCAAACACACACCCACGGCCCCCCAGGTACATGCCCAGGGCGCACCCACGGCCCCCCAGGTACACGCCCAGGGCGCACCCACGGCCCCCAGGTACACCCCAGGGCGCACCCACGGCCCCCCAGGTACACGCCAGGGCGCACCCACGGCCCCCCAGGTACACGCCAGGGCGCACCCACGGCCCCCCAGGTACACGCCCGGGCACACCCACGGCCCCCCAGGTACACGCCAGGGCGCACCCACGGCCCCCCAGGTACACGCCCGGGCGCACCCACGGCCCCCCAGGTACACGCCCGGGCGCACCCACAGACACTCCACACTCTCAGAAACCTGCCCTCGAGGGCAGATGTACCCCCACACACCCCACTCCACTCTCGTGGCCACTGCCCTGACTGCTGTGTCCTTGCAGGTTTGGGGACGACATTCCTGGAATGGAAGGCCTAGGAACAGGTATGACGATGCTAGGGTCCACCAAGCTCTCCTCTCACCTGCCCACAGTGTGGAGGGGCCCAGCCTCCTCCGGCTTCCCCAGGCCAAGGCTCACTTAGGGGCACCCCCAGGCTGTCCTTCCTTCTCTTCCCAACATCAAACATCAGGTCCCCCTGAAGTGGGGTCATTCCCACACAGTGGCTTCACCAGGTGTTCGGAGGGGAGGGAGATAAGGAGGAACCTCTGCTGTTCCCTCCCTTGGGCCTACTGTACCCACTGTCTTCCTGGGCAGGGTGCCCACTTGACACCCCAAAGCTGGTATGTCTTAGGAGGAGGGCCTTCACCACTCGGGGTGTGGACAACAGGGCCCTGAGAGGGTGGTGTGGCGTGGGACCTCCTGCACACACTGGCCCCTTCTCCTGCAGACATCACGGTCATCTGCCCGTGGGAGGCCTTCAACCACCTGGAGCTGCACGAGCTGGCCCAGTACGGCATCATCTAGCACTGACCGGCTAGTCCCGCACCCTCCCCCGCTGCCCCCTTCAGCCCCCTCTCAGGGGTCCTGTGAGGAGGCCTGCCCCCAGCCGAGGGCACCAGGATTGCACGGATTATGTCTGGAGACCCTCAGAGGGCGGCGACCTCAGGCCCCTGGACACCAGGAGTCCACTGCCTCCCCACGGGATGCCCCTGGGGGGCTGGCCAGGCCCTGCTGGACTTCCTGAGAGACTGGCCCACAGACCCTCCCCTCCCGCAGCTGGAAAACCGGGGCAGGACCTGCCAGGAGTGTCCCCCCACCCCTGCCCCACCCTGTCTATCCTGAGATGAGGACAAGCTCCCCCTACTGGCCATTCCCAGCTGTGCCCCTGGGTCAGCGTGGTGGGTGGTGGGACTCCTGAGGGCATCAGGGAGAGAGTGAGCCCCTCCACGCCCACCGTGCCTGTGGGAAGCTTGTCCTTTCCAGCATGGCCACCCTGTTTCAAAGTAAAATGACCACACCACACTGGCTCGTCGAGTGTGTTGGGAGTGGGGACAGAGCCCGAGGGTGTAGGTGGCTTCTGCAGGAGCCCATGGATGAAGGCACAGAACGGTAGGGGCAGCAGGGGCCTGGCCAGGCCGAGAGGGAAGCAACCCCGTTGGGCGCAGAGCCTGTGCTTCTGATGGCCAGAGCACGCGTGGCCACGCCAGGGCTGGGGCAAGACAGGTGGCCGAACGCACTCGGAGCCAGAGCGGGCTTCGTCAAGGAGGAGGACTGGATGAGACCCAAAAACAGCTTGTGCCAGGAGGAGGGAACTCCTATCCCCACCTCACCGGGCAGGAAGCAGGTGCAGAGACATTGGGTAACTCACCCGGTGGCCTGGCCAGCCAGCCTAGTGTCTCCTAGAGCTGGACAGGCTGGCACCTGTGACTCACAATTCCATGCCGGACACCACGCCCAGGAGAAACAGGTGCCCCCACGTGGACCTGTGCGGAACTGTCCCCAGCCGTAGCCAGCGACCGAAATCCAAGTGCCTGTCCACGTGGACCAGGTGCAGTGACCAGATAGTGACTCTCAGGAAGGCCCCTCTGTAGCCCCATTTATGTGACAGCCAGACAAGACCACTCTAAAGAAAGGTGAGGAAGCCCAAGCTGGGGTGACTTGGAAGGGGTGGGGTGGGGGGAGCATGCTGCCTGGTGGTGGGCCGGCATCAGTTTAGATAACTCCTCATGCTGCCTACTTGAGATGGGTGCAGTTTACTGTATGGATGACATAGCTCGAGAAAGTTGACTCCTTCCCCAAAAAACCCTCTAGAGGGAGAGGCCTGGGCCTCACCCTTAACCACAAGGGACAGGAGAGGGGGAGGTGGCCCCAGAGGGGGGCAGGTGGCAGGTTGTGGTGAGGCCGTGGGGCCTCAGGGATGTGGCTGGTGGTGCTGGTCTGAGGTGGTTGGGGGTGAGGGTTTGAGGAGACGGGCGTCTGATGGACATTCGGGCTAGAGGTGGGCGTGGCAGGGGGGCTCTTAGCCCGGGCCTGTGAGGCCAGGGTCAGAGGGGGTGAGGGAGTCTGAGGCTGGGCCTTGGAGTCAGGGCTAGGAAGTGGTCACACGTGGGGGTCAGAGGTGGGCACGGGCGGTTGGAGTTGGAGGCTGGGCAGCAGGATTTCACTCAGGTGGCCTCGCGGGCACCCTCCGCGGCTGCCAGGCTGCACCGGGATCTGCCTCGCTCTGATCCCAGCAGTTTGCAAGGCAGGGAGCACTGTGAGTAGTGGTTTCAGGGGGAAAAAGCGAAATCAGGTGGCGGCCAGCCTCGGGGAAGGAGCAGAACCCAGCAGGAGGTGGGTGGCCCGGCCCTCGGAAGGGGAACCCTGGGGGCAGAGGCGCAGCAGGTGGAGGAAGCGCAGTGTCCAAGGCGCTGGTCCACAGCTGCGGGTCAGCCCCGGGCCGGCTTGGCCCAGGACCCCGCCCCGGGTCCCGAGCTCTCCGTCGCCCCCTTGCGGACAGCCAGGGCCCTCAGCAGCTGGGTGGCCAGCAGGAGCTCCGCCGCCTGGACCAGCACCACCGCGATCGCCCAGCCGCCCACGGCGCGGACGTTCCTGCGCAGCCACTGGCGGAGGTGCGCGCCGCAGCCCTCCAGGTGCACCACTGTCCGAGCCGCATCCTCATCCAGGCGCAGGGCCCCGAAGCCGCACTGGTCGTTGACCGAGGCTCCATCTTCCTGCGGGTCGATGCAGCAGGAGGCAGGGAGGCTGCAGGCCTGGACCCCTGGGGAGCTGCAGTTGAAGTACCTGAAAGGGGCACCCGCGTCAGTTTGGAGGGCGGGGCCCAATGTTCTGGGACCTGAGGGTGCTTGGGATGTCTCCTACCCACCTTCACACTTCCACGGCCACACCCAGGCATGGGCGCATGCACACAGACACACACACTCAGGTGTGAATGCACACACGTGATGCACACACATGCATACAGGCATGAATCCATACACGCACACAGGCACACATAATTGTGCGCACACAGCACCCAGTTTTCTGTAATTGATCCTGGCACGTGGTTGCCCTCTGCACACACAGGCAGATGTAATGGCTTCTGGACTGGAAGGGACCTTTTTAGTGAGATGGTGGGGGGGAGACAAGCGTTTGATGGGGGGTGTAGACGGCCTTGCTGTGTAGTTGCTACCGACTTGATTTGAGCAGGCAGAGCTGGAGCAGAAGGTGAGCTGAGGCATGGCAGAGGCCCGTAGTGGTCAACGGGTTGTAGCAGAGAGGTGAGGGGCAGCACTGGGCAGAGACAAGAGGTGGGAAGCTTGGGGGAACTCCCAGGGCCGAGGGGGACTGTTGTTCTCGTTACAGCCTGCACTGCCTTTGGCCTTGGATGGCTGTCCAGGGCCCTGAGACCCACAGGTTTGTCCCCCTCACACTCCCTCCCAGGCATGGACCCATCTCCCAGAAGAGTGGGCCTCACTAAGGCAGGGGATCGAAGACCGGCAGGATAGGTGGTCATAACACCACAGGGGGCTGCCACCAATCCAAGATCACATGAGGCCACTGAACGAGAACAACCAATGTGGATGCTTCTAGAGTCCCTGGCGCGTGGAAGGCCCAACACGTTTTAGTGACTGTTGAGTACAAATGGCCAGTTTCCAAGAGTCCTCACATGACTCTGTTTCTCGTGGACAGGTGCTCCAAGGGAGTGGCAGACACTGTCTGTCATGGGGTCTGGGGGAGAACAGGTGCTGCTTGGGCATCTGTCCGTGGGGATAGACGACAGGTCAGATAACCTCCAGCAGATCACAAAGCACGCGGTGATGTATTCCTAAACACACACACAGACACACACACACACAAACACAGACACAGGTGCACACACAGGTGCACACACACAAACATGCACACACAGACGCAAACATGCACACACACAGATGCCCATGCACACACACATGCAGACACACAAACACGCACACACAGACACACATGCAGACGTGCGCGCGCGCACACACACACACACACACACACACAGTGGTGGGAGAACATCCTAGATTTACCTAACAGCTATTTTCATTTGCCATTGGGATGTTCCATGTGGCATCCTTACCAAAAACACCCCAAAGTGACTTTCTAGGCCTGCTGGCTGAGCTGCTCCGTGAGGGTCCCTGCATGTCCCCTGGCTGGGCCTGAGCGTGTGCATGTGGGTATGTGTGGCCTCTGGGTTTCAGGACTCACAGGTTCTGCTGCCAGTCCTGGTAGGAGGCAGCCCCGCAGCACTGCAGCCCGAACTGGACTTGGTCGATGAGGAAGCGCAGGTCAGGGTCGTCCTGGTAGTGGGTGATGGCCACGCGGAGGGCGTGCCCCAGGCTGTCCTGCAGCGGGCCCCAGAGGGCCACCACCAGGGCCCCCCCCACAGCCTCCAGCACCAGGAAGGCCAGGAGACCCCCCGAGAAGCAGCGCAGCAGGCAGGCGTTCTCACAGAGCGCTCCCAGGCAGCCCGCCAGGCTCACCGCACTGACTGCCAGCCCCCCCACCACCAGCCCCAGCATGGGGTCAGCGGGCAGGGGGCCCCCCCAGCTGCTCCCCAGAGAGCCCTTGACGGCCAGGCCCCAGAGCCCAATGGCCAGGGCCAGCAGGCTGAGCAGAGAGAAGAGGAAATTCGACAGAAAGGTCAGGCCCTGCAGGCAGCTGCTTCTCCACGGGAGGGGGGCGGCCTGGCCTCCCCCAGGGCCTGCCTCCCAGGTCTGTCCCTTCCGGAGCGCTGGACCCAGGCAGCTGGAAGTGAGGGGTGGTTCCTGGCCTCCAGCGTCCTGAAGAGGGAGGAGGGACAGAGGAGCTCATCAGTGCGACCCCGTGGCCAGGGGCCAGAGCCTGCAGGGTGAGAGAGCTGGTCAGCAGAGGGGAAAGGGGGTTCAGAGACCCTAGACAGCAGAGACATGGGAGCTTCCAGGCTGGACAGGGCGGTCCTAGCTCCTTCGGAACAGGGGTGACTGTGTCCGGAGCAAGGTGACCACTGGAAGTGTGTGTGCACTCCACAGACGCCTTCCCTGCTCCCCTCCACATTACCTGATGAGGATGTGGTCACAGGGGACTTCTTCACCCAGGCTGGGGGCCACCAGGCAGGGGCCAGCTCAGGTAACCGCCCGCTCTGCTTCCCCGTCTGAAAGGGCCCCGTGACCCAGGATGCCCTCGGCCAGCCGTGCTATCTGAGTGCAGTCGCTGAGCGAGGCCCGAGCCAGGGGAGGCCGACTGGGCTCCCAGAGCCGGGGAGGGGCCGGGAGACCAGGGCTCCGTGGAGTGCAGGCCTTCCAAGGGGCCCGCCTTGAACTCTAGCAGGACCCTCAGCCAAGCCCAGGGGACCTTGGCCGTACCAAGGTGGAGGGTGGAGGGGTGCTGAGTGCTGGGGGACCCGTCCCCTCTCTGTCTCCCACAGAGAAGTGGCACATTGATCAGTGAGGTTAGGAGAGGTCACTAAACCTGTTCTATTTGGCCCCTAAACGGACAGTCTCAATTTCAGACCTGCCTGTCCCCTCCCCCAGCCCAACCCCTGCACCCACAGGCTCCCGCACAGGGGGAGAGGGACAGCCTGTTCCACCAGCCCTGCTGGGGGACCCCCTGGCACCTAGCTCTGCCAGTGCTGAGGAAGCCCAGGCAGCGGTCCTGTTCTGACCCAGTTTCCCAGGAGAAGCTGTCCCTTCCTGCCCCTGCTGTCTGACTCTGCATTGATGCTTCGCTGATTCTAGACTCCCCAGTCGGTGGAGGCAAAGGGGAAAGCTTCCATGCCGGGTGGGGCAGGGGTCCGCAGCTCCATGGCCCCCTGGGAGGGACATTGCCTTCAGCCCCTTCTGCACCCTGAGCCAGAGGTCACCCTCGGATCAGCAGGGAGACCCCCGCCCCGATCCCTTGTCCAGGGGCTGGCACTGGGCTGAGCGACAGGAGCAGTGGGGAAGGGGCACAGGGGAGGCGAGGAGGCTGAGGAGTCTGGGGGTGGGGAAATGAGGAGGCTATGAGGGAGGCCCGATGGCCCCCACCGGCACTATCTCCTGGGCATGTGGTTTCTGGGGGCATGGCTGCACCCTGTGCTGGGCCCAATGCAAGGGCAATGCTGGGTCACATTCCAGAATCGGAACAGGGTGCTGGTGAGGTTAAGAGCCCGATTAGTAAAAGCCCACCCGATCTTAGCAGCGTCTATGGGCCTCAGGCCTGGGGACATCTCCAACGGGGAGGGGGTTGGGGGGAGGCCACCAGGGCACTGGCTTACCTGGGATAGCAGGGGGCTCCTTTCCCCCTCCTCCATCCCCCACCAGCACAGTTGCACTGGCCCCTGCGGCGTCTCTGGCTGGGCCCCGGGGGCTGGTGCTACCGCGGCCCTCACTCCGGGAGTTGTGAGCCCAGGGCCGGGTGAGCTGTGAGCACCACCGGGACACATGGTCACGATGGGATCATGTGAGGAATCACGTCTTAGAGCTCAGGACAGCCTCTGCTTATCCAGATGCAGCCTTTCTTCTCAAGCCTGGTTCTTGGCCCCCGCTCTGGGCACCACGTGGGTGGGGCTGTTGGGGTGCTGGCCCCAAGGCTACCACTGTGGGGCCCTTGTGTGGGCCTCAGCCTGGCAGGGTCAGTGGCTGCTCCCCGGCTCTTCCAGGGACACGGAGGCCTGTGAACTGGTCCACAGCGCCAGTGCCAGGCGACCCATCCACAGCTAGATGCCAGTTTATCCCCTGATTTATTCCCTGTAAAAATGAGCCAGGTCACATCCTTCCTGGTGATGAGATACCTGCAAACCCCCTGCCCTCTGAGCTTCTAGGGGCAGGACCTTGGCATGGTCACCATTGGGCCCGCTGCCTGAAGGACAGCGGGCACACAGCCGCCACGCGGATGGTGTGCCAAGGCTCTGACACTGCACCATTCGGTGGGGAGGAAGGTTTGGGACAGGCCCCCACCTGCCGCAAACTCTGAGACCTCGGCATGACCTGGCCACACCCTGCTGTCCCCTCTGTTCTGTGAGGTTGTTGCCCTGGGGCTTCTGGAGGTTGCCCGGGACAAAGGGTGAGACCTCCCGGGAGTGCCCGGTCCTGCCCCATCATCCTCCCGTGTTCTGTGGCTTCTCCTGTCTGGCACTCCGGCCCCAGACTCGCTTCACACCGGCCACTTTGCAATCAGTACGCTGCTACTGGCCTCAGGTGCCCCGCCCTTCGCCATCCCTGAACCGTCCCGGTGTCCGGTTCCGGACCGCCTCCTGCCCAGACAGCAGTGGCCTCCCTCTTCTGCGTCTGGGCACTTTCCGCTTCTGTTCCACTTGATCGATGTGCTTCGTTTAGTAGCTACCTGTGTACCACACCCCACTGAGAACAGCCACGGCCGGCCTGGCTTCCACGCCTGGCCCAGGTACCGCGAGCTGACCAAGGGTGTGTTGTCATAAGCCACCCAGTGTGGGGAGGGGTCTTACACAGCATGACGGACAACAGCTGACCGAGACGGGGTTTATTATGTCAGGGACTTTCTGAGCCCTGGCGACACAGCTGGGAAAAAACCTGAAATCCCCTGCATCGGGGTGTCAGCGAGTCAGTAAGTGGACGTATCTCCTTTATTTAAATTTTTTTCTCTATTGATTTTAAGAGAGAGGAGCACCCAGACTGACTTGTGCTTTACAAGGGCCACTCAGGCTTCTGTGCAGTGGGCAGGGGTCAGGGCGAGGGCGAGAGCTGGAGATTAGACCTTGTACAGTCAAGCTGTCCCTCACCTCCTCCCCTAAGGTGACACCCAGGCCTCATCCCTTCTGGCTCCAAAGCCAGGCTCTCAGGTGCTGGCCGTCTCCGTCCTGCTCCATCTCAGTACTGTCCTGATATTGCCGTACAGTGATGGGCGCTGCCACTGTCGAGGGCTGGATTGTGTTCCCTCAAATGCATATGCGCAAGTCCCAGCCCCAGCACCTCAGAATGCGACTTGGAGATAAGGGCCTTAAAAGAGGTCCTCAATTTCTAAGGAGGCCATGACAGTGGGCCCTACTCCACCGTCCCTGTAAGGAGAAGAAACTGGGACCACACAGAGACAGCAGGGGTGCTTGAACGCAGAAGACACAAGGAAAAGGCAGCCATCTGCAAGCCAAGGAGAGAGGCTTGGAAGAAACCAAATCGGCTGACAGGTTGACGTCAGACCTCCGACCACCAGACTGTGAGATGATAATACTAATTAATAATAAGCCACCCAGGCTGAGCTATGTTGTTATGGCAGCCCCAGAAAACTAACACAACTATTAATATATCTTGCCCAGCCCTGGCTGGTTTGGTTCAGTGGCAGAGCGTCAGCCCCCGACCCATGAGTCGCGGGTTTGATTCCAGCCAAGGACACGTACCTTGGTTGCAGTTTGGTCCGGCCTCGGTTGGGGTGGTGCGGGAGGCAACCAGTCGATGTGTCTGTCTCATGTCGATGTTTCTCTCTTTCTTCCTTTCTCTCCCTCCCACTCTACCTGAAGATAAATAGAAAATATCCTTGAGTGAGGATTCAAATACATATATATCCATCTTGCCCAGCCAGTGTAGCTCAGTGGTTGAGCATTGACCCATGCACCAAGAGGTCACTAGTTCGATTTCTAGTCATGGTTGTTCAGGGGGCAACCAACCAATTAATGTTTCTATCTCTCTCCCTCTCAAAAAATCAATAAAAAAATAACATATTAAAGACAACGACTAATACATCTTTAAAAATCAGCCTGTATGGCTCATTTGGTTGGAGCATCGTCCTGTGCACGGGAGGGTCATGGGTTTCATTTCCAGTCAGGACACATGCCCATGTTGTGGGTTCCACCCCCGGTTGGGATATGTATGGGAGGCAGTTGGTCGATGTTTCTCTCTCACATTGATGTTTCTCTCTCTCTCTCTAAAATCAGTAAAAACAAGTCCTCAGGTGAGGATTAAAAAAGAAAAGACCAGGCCCTGGCCAGTTTGGCTCAGCGGTTAGAGTGTCCGCCTGCGGTCCAGAGAGACCTGGGTTCGGTTCCCTCTAGGACGCGTACCTAGGTTGCAGATTGTCCCTGGCCTTGGTTGGTCGTGTGGGTGGCAGCCACTCGATGTGTCCCTTTCACATCAATGTTTCTCTCTCTCTCTTCCTCCTACTCTCTCTGATCAAAAAATGGAAAAAATGTCCTCAGGTGAGGATAAAAAAAAAAAAAAAAGTCAGTACTTCCCAGAAACATAACGGAGACCAAAGGTAAGCGATGTATGATAGACTGGCAGGTCCTTCCCCATGCAGTGCTCGAACATGGCCACGTTAGGAGACTCACCAAGAAGACACAGCCTTGCCCTTAATACGTTTGGTGACAAGAAAAGCGAAAAGGTCAGAGGCCATTCTGTACAAGAACAGGAAACAGTCAGAGTGGAAGGACACGTGTCAACGGGAACAAAAGCCAGTCCGCTGTCTTTAGGGCCATCCCATCCTCTCTTCCCCCAATGTTTGTGCTAGATCCAGCCACCTCTAAGCCTTCGCGGCCACCATGACCTGTCCTCTTGACTATTGCTTTAGCCTCCTGAAGGGTGTCCCTGCTTCTCCTCCTGCCTGCTCCCAGAGGTCTAGTCTCCATTCAGCCTCCGGAAGAATCCTGAAACGTAGCAGAGGGCAGGTCTCCCCCTAACCCTCCAGAGACTCCCTAACACACTTAGAATAGGGACCAAGGCCTTTCTTTGCACGTTTGATGTGGCTCCTCCTGACCCTGGCCGCCCCTGCCTGACCCTGCCCTCCCCTGCGCTCAGCCACATGGGCTCCTCTGTTGTTCCTTGAGCACCTCAGGGCATCTCAGGCCCCTGGGCCTTTGCACAGGCTGTCCCCTCACACTCTTCCAGTCTTCTCTCAGATGTGTGCATCGCTCACTTCGACTGGGAGCTGCTCAAGCCTTGTCTCTTCGGAGAGCTCCTTCTTGACCATCTATTATTATTATTTTGTTAATTCTCATGCAAGGATATTTTTTCTGTTGATTTTTTTAGAGAGCGTGGAAAGGAGGGAGGGGAAGAGACAAAGAAACAGAGAAACACAGTTTCAAGAGAGACACATCAGTCGGTCACCTCCCACATGCCTGGGATCAAACCTGCAACCCAGGTACATGCACTTGACTAGGAATCAAACACTAGACCCTTTGGTGTGAGGGCCTCCAATCACTCAGCCACACCGGCCAGGGCTTACTTAACATTATTTATTTATTTATTTTATCCTCACCTGAGGACATTTTTCCATTTTTTGTTCAGGTAGAGTGGGAGGGAGAGAGAGAGAGAGAGAGAGAAACATCGACGTGAAAGGGACACATTGAGTGGCTGCCACCCACACGACCAACCAGGGCCGGGGACAAACTGCAACCGAGATACATGCCCTTAGCAGGAACCGAACCCGGGACTCTCTGGACCACAGGCCGACGCTCCAACCGCTGAGCCATACTGGCCAGGGCTCACCATTTTATTTAATGTAGCCTCTCCTGCCCTCTACAGTCGGCCCTCGTTTGTCACGGCGAATCAGTTCCAGACTCGATCCGATAAATGAATTTCCCAAAGTAGGATTCTTTGTTCATACAGGTCGCCCCTCGCCACTTCGCGCTCCCGCGTCCCAGGCTTCCCTCTATCGGTTTGTCCTGTGAAGGGCGAAGCGTGAGGTGGCGAGGGACGACTGTACTCCCTCCCTTGCTTTGACATTTGACATTATGGATTCATATGTTCTGTGAATCTGCCTCCTGCTGGTGGATTCCATTAGGGCAGGGCCATCCTGCGTCTGCTCTGTCCTCGGCATGAGAGCCATGTCACCAAGAAAGTAGACACTCAAAAGTATTTGGTGATGGCCCAGCCAGTGTGGCTCAGTGGTTGAGCGTTGACCCTGCACCAAGAGGTCACCGGTTCCATTTGGGGTCAGGGCACATGTCCAGGTGGTGGGCCCCATCCCCAGTGGGGGGCATGCAGGAGGCAGCCAATCAATGTTCTCTCCCATCGATGTTTCCATTTCTCTCTCCCTCTTCCTTCCTCTCTCTCTAAAATCAATAAAGAAAAAAATTAAGAAAAAAAAAAAAGTACTTGGTGATGGAATGAATAAGCCGAGTTCAGATAAGGGCAGTAACTGAGGTCATGGAACAGAACACTGACATTTCAACAGTGGTAACAAAATCAGGTAGGGATGGCAGGAGATGACAGGAACAATTTCTTGACTTTCACCAGCACAGGAGTTAAATAAATACGTTTTGAAATTGAACCACAGAGGTTAAAAAACGTACCTCTCAGCCTCTTGGATATTTCATAACTTTTTACAATCATAGGCAAGGTCAGCTAGAAAATTTGTGGGCCCAGTGCAAAATGAAAATGTGGGGCTCCTTGTCCAAAACTGTTAATAATTTTAACAGTGACAGCACTTAGCAGAGGTGGGTGGCCCCCAGCCAGCCCTGGGAAACGTGGTAGGACTGCATCTCTGTGGCAAAGATACGTTCACCTAAAATGCACTCAAAATCAGTATATTCCTCTTAGGTCAGATTCAGGGGAAATACTTCTTTTTTCTGTAACATGAAGGCAGGACCCTTCCTGAAATCATTTCTCTGTTTCTATGTGACTGGCGAGGTGTTCGTCATGCCCCCACCCCGTATCGCAACCCACCAATGGTTATTTCTTTTTCTCTTTGGACTTCCCTCTATTGCTTGGGTTTTTAAAATAACCAGCATGTGCCCTGGCCGGTTTGGCTCAGCGGTTAGAGCGTCGGCCTGCGGTCCGGAGAGACCCGGGTTCGGTTCCCGCTAAGGGCACGTACTTCAGTTGCAGTTTGTCCCTGGTCCTGGTTGGTCGTGCGGGTGGCAGCCACTCGATGTGTCCCTTTCACGTCGATGTTTCTCTCTCTCTCTCTTCCTCTCTCTCCCTCCCACTCTATCTGTACAAAAATTGGAAAAATGTCCTAGGGTGAGGATAAAAAAAAAATAATAGTAATAAAATAAAATAACCAGCATATGTCATTAACAAAACCCTCTTTCTCTTTCTTATTAAAAATATTCAAATTAAATGAATTTTAGTTGCAGTTCACACGCAATATTACTTTATATTAGCTTCTGATGTCCATCAAACCATCTTTCCAAGGGCTCCCCTCCCCCCTCCAGGCCGCGGCTCAGGGCCACGCTCCAGGCCGAAAGGGGGCGGGGCGGCTGGGGCGCGGAGGCGGGCGCAGGGCCGCCGTGCGCACGCGCGTCCGTTGGTGCAGCCGGAACTCTGTTTCGGGGCTGCGCGGCCGGGGGAGCGCGTTGGGCGAGGCACCGGACGTCGCGGCTGTGGCTGTCGGGCGGCGAAGCTGGAGCGGCGGTGGCGGCGGCGGCGGGAGGCCGGGGCCGGGGCTGAGGCCGGGGCCGGGGCTGCGAGGCCCGCGGGGCGGCAGGCGGCGGCGGCGGCCCGGGGCTCGAGCCCGGAGGCGGGAGCGGCCGCCATGGCCGAGAGCATCGTGAGTGGGGCGGCGGGCGGGAGCGGGCGCCGGGATGAGGCAGCAGATTTGCCGGCGCGGCCTGTGGGGTCCCCGCGGCCCGCCTGCCCTGCGCGCTGGGCCGGCTGCGGGGCCGGGCCCCCGACCTCCCCCCTCGGCTCTCCCCGTCCCCGACCCTCGCCCGCAGGCGGGGAGAGGCGGCGGACCTGGCGGGGCGGCGGTGCCTCCCTCCCCGCCTGCCCGCGGCGGGCTCCGGCCTTCCGCACCTCCTGTCGCTGCGTCCTGCCCCGCACCCGCCCCGGTCGGTGCCTCGTCACGACTCCCGAAGGCAGAGGCCTCCTCCCCGCGGGGACCTGGCCGCCCCCGCCCCGGGGCGCACGCCGAGCAGCCGGCGGGACGGCCGCCTTGCTGCCGGCGGCCGGGGGAGGTTGACAGCCCCCCGTCTATAAAGAAACGTTGTAGAAGTTCATTTCCTGACATTAGGGCTCGGCACACTCCTCTGTGACACCTGAAAGGGAAAAAAAAAAAAAAAAAGAGCCACTGAAAACCAGAAAACCGGCCACCCGTGAACTCGTGGAAAGTTTTCCCTCCAAAGGCAACATGGCAGAAAACAAAATCGACAGACCAGTCGGACGGAATGATTCTGTTCGCGTCTAAGGACTGTTTGGGGTTCCCCAGGGCAGCCGAGCAGCACCGGGTGGCAAGCAGTGGTCAGGCATTGGCGGCTGCCCGGGCCGCCGCCGCTTAGCCGGGTGTCCAGCGTGGCCTTGGGGCCCTTTGCACATGGGTCGGGTCTTAGGAAGCTCCAGGCCCGAGTCCAAGGCTTCCCTGTAACGACTCCTCCCCACTCGGCTGGCTTTCCAGCAGGGGCCGGAGCTGGAGGTGGCCCAAGAGAAACGTGACTCGTTTAAAAATAAGATGCCCTCATCGTTGGTGACTTCTTCTCAGAAATAGGTTAAGAGCACTCAAATCTGCGTTCACACTTTCTCTTGGCGGCAGGGCTTTGAACGGAAGTCACCCTGGCCCAGAGAGGCCTTTTCTGCTAGAGTGTTTAAGGCCAGATTCTTAATGATGGCCCGGGTCTCTTGTCCAGTTTCCCAGATTGCGAGGACTGACTCGGGTCCTTCTGACATGGATTCAGAAGTTTTGTGGGTTTTGTTGTTGTTGTTGTTGTTGTTGTTTAGAAAGAGGTCTTCTAAAAATTTCTGTGCGTACAACTGATTTTCATTTCACTTCCCCGAGACGTTTTCTGAGCTCATTTCCTTGTAAGTAGGGAAACCTAAGTTACCAAGGGGCTGCGTGTCCGTGTTGCCAGGTCTGTGTGCGTTTTATTTTGTAGCCTGAGTTAGAAGCCAAGCCAGAGCTTCCCCCAGCACAGTTCAATACTGGGCTGAGCTTGGAAACCAGCACTGGCACGCCCTGCCGAGCCGGTCAAATGGAATGACTTACGCTTCAGAACTGTCCCCAGACGTGTAAGCCTGACCTTTGGCTCCTCAAGGAGTGCAGTGTCAGGCTTGTTCCTAGTGGAGAGTCAAAGGACTGGTCGCAGAACCCCCTCCAGAGAGAAACAGCTCTTCACTCTGAGCACGTCTCAGTGTGGAGACACTTCAGAAGCATGTATGTGGAAGGAGCTACCTAATGCCCAGCACATTTACTAGGTGTTGGGTCAGAGTGGAGGGAACTTGGAATTAAAAGCCAAGAGCCCCTATATTTGCACTCCACACAGATGAGGAAGAAAGTGAGATTGCAGTTAAGCAAGAAAGGTAGAAAAATATTTTATGCTCTTAACTACTGGGATTTCGTAAGGATTATTCAAAACAAAATCTTAAACATTGAGAACAGAATGAAGCAAAAGTCTTTTTAGTCAAGTGAAAGCTATTAGAAGCGAGGACAGCCAAGCTACTTTAGGACAATCTGGGTTCTTCATTTGATCAAAGTAGATAGTAGATTGAAAAGCCTTTGTGGCATTTTGTTGTGTGTCAGTGAACATCTTTTTTTAAAACAATGGCTTGTGACATTTTCATCCGTATAGTGTTTCAGACCCAGTGCACGGTGCAGTGGTTCTGAGAAGGGAAACTACCACATGAGTACTTTCTGGTATATTCCTGTCTGGGCTTCCCCCCCCTCCCCAGGCCCTGGGTTGTTGGAGCACACCTGTCTGGGCAGCAGGACATGCTGTCTCCTGCCCCTGGCACAGTTGCCAGGCGTAATCACTCACCTTCAGAAGGGCTTTGATCAGAATAAAATCAAGTCCTGGAGAGCGATGCTCTTTGTCCAGTAGTCTTCCAGCCTGCCAGCTGTTTTACATTTTCTTTTTTAAGCCATTCAAATAGGGGGGGGTAGTGACACGAATTTTAGTAAGTTCTGATAACCCACTACTATTGTACCAGCTCGTTTAATATTTTCTTAAAATGTTAATGGTATTAAATATGTTTCTTGCCCAACCGGTGTGGCTCAGTGACTGAGCATCAACCCATGCATGCACCAAGAGGTCACCGGTTCGATTCCTGGTCAGGGCATATGCCCAGGTTGTGGGCTCAATCCTCAGTGGGGGGCATGCAGGAGGCAGCCAGTCGATGTTCTCACTCACCGATGTTTCTATCTCTCCCTCTCTCTCAAAAAAATCAATAAAGAAAAAAAATTAAAAAATAAATAAGTTTCTTTTCTTTTAATCTTTACTAAAAATAAATGACAGCCCTGCCCTACTACCTCAAGAAAATAAAAGATAAATAGATAAAAGTAAATGACAAATCAGAAGATGTCGTATGGTTCTATTACATTAGTCTAATGTCTTGTGTATAGATCCTGGGACAAAGTTTGATTTTTTTTTGAGGAACCCAGTCATTCATGATTCATGGTGGGGTTTTTTCCTTCCCTGTTTTTGGGGAGGGAGGGAATCTGAAGAAGAAAATGTCTATTTCAGATATACTCTTTAAAAATGACGGTTACAAATTGCACTTGTATTTTCCTGGGTGAAATGGTGAGAGTTGAGAATTGGCAGCACTCTCAGGGTGTCCTCCTGTGTGTTGATGGGCCTCACCCCATCCTCTGGGAACACTGGTGGGCACTGCCAGGGGGAGGGTGGGCTTTGAGAGACTGCACATTTGACTCAGTGACAGAGCCACACCCTCTTCGTCTGTAGTAACCATCTTGTTTACTTACAACAGATAATCCGTGTTCAGTCCCCGGATGGGGTGAAGCGGATCACAGCAACCAAGAGAGAGACAGCTGCAACGTTTCTGAAAAAGGTACCTGGCTTTGGTGGTTTAGCTTTCAGGATCGTCGTCCTCCACTGTTCTCTACCTTTCCTCTTTCCTTGTGTCCTGGTCCTGCCCACTCCGTCAGTCTCTTGCACTGCTTTTTCCTGTCTTGATTGGTCAGATTGCTACAGGATCGGATTGTGGCACAGTTGGCACAGCTGACACTTATAAGACCAAGGTCCTAAAGGAGGAAGTGCAAAAGGATTTCAAGGAGTAATGCTCGTGAAAATGAAAACCTTGCATTGTCTGTGGGGAGTCGAGAACACGTATCGAGTGATCCCACTTTGTTCTTGAGACAGGAAAGCTGGCAGGCTCTCGTGATGAGGAGAGCACAGCCTGGGGAGGTCGTGGTACAGAGGCAGCCGTAGCTGCGGTCATGGGCTGGCTGCCTTGTTTTGTGAACAGAGTTTTATTGGGACACAGCTACACTCACTGGCTTATGTATTATCTTGCTGCTTCTGAGATCCAGTGACCGAGTAGTTGTGACAGAGAGTATGGCCAAAATATTTACTGTCTGGCCATTTACAGAAAGTGTTTGCCAACCTCTACTTAAACATTTTATATCACTTGAATTTGTTGCAAGCAGGTGATACCTTTGTAATGATAAAAAACAATGTTTTTCATTTTTTATAAGCAAAACATTTGTAGAATCAGACTGTTACAGCCAGAGGGAATCTTAGGTGTCATATGATCTGATCTTTTAAAATTCACAAAGGTGCAAACTGAAGGCCAAGGGAGTGGAGAGATTTGCTGATGGTCATACTGGGCCTATGACCTATTAGTTGAGACACTGCGCTTCTTGGGAAGTTGGTTTCTAGAAGCTGGTTGCATCATGATGTCAGGAGCACTGCTTATGGGGCCATGGTTATAAAGGAGAAGAGGTAGGTGCAGTGGAGAACAGGGACGAGAATCCCTGCGTGTTGAGGAAGTGTCTGCTATCCTACTGATTGCTCGCAGTAGCTGCTGACCATTGTCAGCTTGCGTCTCGGACGGAAGTGTAGGGCATAGTCAATGCTGCTTCTTGAGAGGTGGTCTGAGACGGATGCAGCACTAAGGATGATCGCCTAGACAGTTGTGAGGAGAAACAGCAGAGGAGAGGACTGCATGCGGTTCTTAACTTTTCTCGGGCTTTGTGGTAGGGGATTTCTTTCTTAAACTTTTTTTAAACAGTTGATTTTAGAGCCCTGGCTGGTTTGACTCAACAGTTAGAGCGTTGGCCCATGCACCAAGAGGTCGCTGGTTACTGGTCAGGACACATGCCCAGGTTGTGGACCCAATCCCCAGTGGGGGGCATGCAGGAGGTGGCCAATCCATGTTCTCTCTCATCTATGTTTCTCTCTCCCTTTCCCTTCCTCTCTCTCTAAAATCAATAAAGAAAAAAATTAAAAAAAAAAAAGGCAGGGAAGAATCACTTGAAATTCTACCACCCAGCAATAAACAGGAACATAACATGTCTTCATTTGTGCACATGTGCTTGCATATACACATGCATACCCCTACATACATGTGTTCATATACCTGTACTAAAATGGGATCGTACGGCCCTGGCCGGTTTGGTTCAGCGGTTGGAGCGTCCGCCTGTGGTCCGGAGAGACCCGGGTTCGGTTCCGCTAAGGGCACGTACCTCGGTTGCAGTTTGTCCCCGGCCCTGGTTGGTCGTGCGGGTGGCAGCCACTCGATGTGTCCCTTTCACATCGATGTTTCCCTCTCTCTCTCTTCCTCTCTCTCCCTCCCACTCTGTCTGTACAAAAAATGGAAAAATGTCCTCGGATGAGGATTAAAAAAAAAAAAAAAAAAAAAAATGGGATCGTACGTACTACTGCTATAGTTCATCAAATCCAAATCCTTATTGAATTTAAGGAGAAACATTGATGAACCACTAAGGAAAAAAATGCTGTTACACCTGCTTTCCTTTGCTGTTAGAGTTTTATACTCACATAAACTTTGCAGAGGCTTATTTGGAAGTCATGTATTCTAATCATGCATCACTCATGCACACACTGGAGGGAATCTCACTGCAGCTACCTGGGTGGGATCTCCCTGCATCATTGTCACAGTGAGTCTAGCCCTTCTGAACCACTTTGACTCAGCTGTCATGTCCACGTCTCACTGCGGAGGGTCAGCGCCTGCGCTGTCAGGAGGGTCAACATGCCAGCCGCCACACCTGTTCTGCAGGGGCTGGTGCTGGTATTCTCTCGCTCTTACCAGCAGGCTTGACAGCTGAGATTTGTTCCTTCCTTTCTGGATGATGGAATGGCTTGTTTGATATAAATGTTGAGGGTTGTGGCTGTCCAGCCATGCAACTGGGTGACAAGTTTACATGAGCCAGGCCTGCTGCCCTGTGGCAAGCACAGTAAGACGCTGTTGCTGGTCTGATCCACCCTTTCTAAGGATGTTGAATTCATTGTCTCGTAATTTGTATCCTGATTTTTTCTTTTTTTTTTATCCTCACCTGAGGACATTTTCCCATTTTTTTGTTCAGGTAGAGTGGGAGAGAAAGAGAGGGACAGAGAGAGAGAGAGAAACATCGATGTGAAAGGGACACATCGGGTGGCTGCCACCCGCACGACCAACCAGGGCCGGGGACAAACTGCAACCGAGGTACGCACCCTTAGCGGGAACCGAACCCGGGTCTCTCAGGACCGCAGGTCGACGCTCTAACCGCTGAGCCAAACCGGCCAGGGCTATCCTGATTTTTTCTTTTTCTTTTTTATATATATATATATATTTTTTATCCTCACCCAAGGACATTTTTTTATTTTTTATTCAGATAGAATGGGAAGGAGAGAGAGAGAGAAACATTGACATGAAAGGGACACATTGAGTGGCCGCCTCCCGCACAACCCAAACAGGGCCAGGGACAAACTGCAACCGAGACACGTGCCCTTAGTGGGAACTGAACCCGGGTCTCTCTGGACCACAGGCTGACGCTCTAACCGCTGAACCAAACCAGCCAGGGCTGTAACCTGCTTTTTTTCACTTGGCAGTAGGTGATGGACATGGTTCTATGTCTATAAATGTAGATTTACATCCTCTTAAAAACTGTGTAAAAAATAATACAAAATCTTCCATCTAAACCTCTTTTTAAAAGAATACTTTATTGATTTTTTTTCTTTTTCTTTTTTTACTCTCTTTGCATTCTGCACAGACACAGAAGTAAAAAAAAATGACTGGAACTTTAACATGAAAGAATTCTTTACAATTAAGTCCACAACTGTATACATTTACCTTACATGTCAGTGAAACATCACTATTATGAAATTGGACAGATTATATCAAAAAACCCCAAAAAGATCTCATAAAAAAATATATCCAAGTCTGAAGAGCGCTGCAGGCTTGACACCTTCACACCCTCCTCTTCTGCGTGCTGATGGACAACGCATTGTCTCCGCGGATAAACGCCCCCCATACTTACTCTTCAGTTGTCCGTGTCCATGTACTTCTGTCTGCTCCAAGGCTGTATTCGTGTAGCTGTCCAGCCGGGCCCCTTGATAATCCACTCCAGAATCTAATTTTACCACCACTGGTCGTCCAGTGGTTTGCTTTAAGAAGTCACTGGGGATTTGCTTCCGCAGACTCATTTTAACAATCCTGATCAGAAATTTGGGAGGCAGGACACCTGAGCTCTAATCCCAGCTCTGCTACTTAATTAGCTGTGCGGCTTGGGTAATTCATTTCACCTCTCAAGGCCTCAGGTTCCTCATCTCATGGCTGGGACCTGGAATCCCACTCTGGGTGCCCCACTTGATTGATTTTTAGAGAGAGAGAAACATCGATGTTTGAACAACATCAGTTGGCTGCCTCCTTCATGCCCCCAAGCCCACAATCTGGGCCTGTGCCCTGACCAGGAATCGAACCAGCAACCTTTCTGTGCACGGCATGATGCCCAGCCAACTGAGCCACATTGGCCAGGGCCTATCAAAACCATTAAAAAAAATTTTGTTTTTCCTTTATTGGTTTTAGAGAAAGAGGGAGGGAGAGGGAGAGAGAGATAGAAACATTGATGAGAGAGGACATTGATTGACCACCTCCTGCACTGGGGATTGGGCCCACAACCTGGGCATATGCCCTGACCAGGAATCGAACCGGCGACCTCTTGGTGCATGGGTCGACCGATGCTCAACCACTGAGCCACACCGGCGAGGCATATCGAAACCATTTTAAGTGCACACAGTTCAGTGGCATAAAGTACATTCATACTGTGCAACCCATCATTCATTTCTAGAACCTTTTCATTTTGTATATCTGAAACTCTGTCCCAATTAAACACTTAACTTTCCCTCCCCCAGCTCCTGGTAACTGTGATCCTACTTTCTCTGTCTATGACCGACTACCCCATCGTGTCTTGTATTAGTAGGATTATACTCATTTTCAGTAATCATTTGGCTGTGTATATGTGCCCTGTAAATGGACTTTGAGATGGCCTTCCTGTCCTCACAAGCTTGCCTGAAAAATGTGTGTCATCCACTGTCCACATTGCTGGTTCCAGCTTGCTGACCCCACACTCAATGGCCCTGTTCCTTGTTTAGTATGTGGCATGATGCCCTGGAAGGAAAGTGATGTTTGCAAGTGTGATGACATCGTGTATGCGGCAAATGCCTGGCAGAGTCTTAGAGTCACTGGTGCCTTTGAGACCATCCCTCTCTGAGTCATCAGACGTGATCCAGGACAGCCTCCTCTGCTGACCCACTTGCCAGCACCTTGTGCCTCCTGCTGTCGCCACTGTGGACCAGCTCCTGTCGAGTCACCCCTGGTCCCACTTGTTCTTCCTCGTGGGCAGTTCTTAGTCCTGTCTTTCTTTTCCTCCCGAGGACACTTTCGCATTCATCTTCAGATAGAGAGAGAGGGAGGGAGGAGAGAGAGACACACACATTGATGTGAGAGAGACACATCGACTGGTTGCCACCTACACGACCCCAGCCAGGGCCGGGGACAAACTGCAACCGAGGTACATGCCCTTAGCAGGAACCAAACTCGGGTCTCTCTGGACCTTGGGCCAATGCTCTAACCGCTGAGCCACACCGGCCAGGGTGGTCTTGTCTTAATTGACAACTCAACAGCTTGTGACATAGTCCCTTCTCCTTTTAATACTTGGGAACCATTTTTTTTGACCATGAAATAAAATACATTAAGAAATGCTTGAAAAATAGAGGCAGCCAACTGATGATGAAGCAAAGGCCCAGGTCACAGTGAGGGTGGTGCCAATGCTTAGGAAGCCATCAGGCAACCTCTGTGCTCCTCCGCCCTGTCACCTTCCGCCTGACCCGATGGGAGTTGCCAAATCTGATGAGTGTCACCACCTCAGCATGCATTCCTGAACCATAAATTTTAGTTTTGCTGTTTTTTACTTAACCTTAGATGGAGTCATGATACATATTCTCTTTTGTTACCTTCAATTATAAATATTTGTAGCTTTCGTTCCATACCACGTTTCTGGTTTTATTACAGTAATCACATCAGGGTGACCTCAGATGTGGATATAAATTTACTAAGGTTTTTATTTTTAAACATGTGTTTATTGATTTTTTTTTATAGGGAGAGAGAGAGAGCAACATTGATTGGCTGCCTCCTGCACACCCCTCATGGGGATCGAACCCGAAGCCCAGGCACGTGCCCTGACAGGGAATCGAACTGGGACCTCTCAGTCCCTGGGACAACGCTCAGTCCACTGAGCCACACTGGCTGGGCTAACGTTTCTAAGGTTTTACTTGTGTTCTTGTGAGGCTTTGCTAAGATTTTGTTTAAACACTTAGAGCATTATGCTAGATTTCGGTATCTTCATAAAGTTCACAGAATCAGTAATTTTCACAGGAGCACTAAAAAAACGTATTCCTGCATCTCCCCAAGTGGGATCAGCCTACGTAGAGGACGGCTCCTGACTGTCACATTGGAGAAGGCAGCTGCACTGTCCTGACAGAAGCATACCGCTCCGGTCTTGCGGTCATCAGTCAGTCACCTTGACTCAGAGGGCTGGCCACACAACACCCTGCCCCGTTTGGACATTGCTTTCCATCTGGGGTACTCAGCTTCGTATAGCTGACATCTCCTTGGCAGTGGTTTGCATTGCTTTGTCTGCGGAAAAGGATAGTGTGTGCAGAATTGGTGAGATGCCACACTTGGTTAATTTCAGTTTGTATCTAAGCAGTTTCAGGGAACAGTCAAAGCCATTATTTTTAGTCTTGATTCCTAATTTTTGTGTGCTTGGGGATACAAATTTTATGGTCTTAATTTCCTGGTGCTTTATTTTATGAATGCCACTTTTAGCTTGGAAAAAAATTACATAACAAATACTAGCGTACATCTGATATCTTTATAGGCTTTTTAAAAATTTTTAATCCTCATCCGAGGATATTTTTCCATTTATTTTTATTTTTTATTTATTTTTTTATCCTCACCCGAGGATATTTTTGTTCAGATAGAGTGGGAGGGAGAGAGAGGAAGAGAGAGAGAGAAACATCGACGTGAAGGGACACATCGAGTGGCTGCCACCCGCACGACCAACCAGGGCCAGGGACAAACTGCAACCGAGGTACGTGCCCTTAGCGGGAACCGAACCCGGGTCTCTCGGGACCGCAGGCCGACGCTCTAACCGCTGAGCCAAACCGGCCAGGGCATCCATTTATTTTTAGATAGAGAGGGAGAGAGGGAGAAAACATCGATGTGAGAGAGACACATCGATTGGCTGCCTCCTGCATGACCCTGACCAGGGCGGGGGACGAACCGCAACCAAGGTACATGCCCTTGACTGGTATCAAACTCGGGACTCATTGGTTCGAGGGCCGACGCTCTAACTGCTGAGCCAAACCGGCCAGGGCTCTTTATATGTTTTTTAATTGATTTTTGTTTTTAGCGAGAGAGGAAGGGAGAGAGAGAGAAAACATCAGTGTGAAAGAGGTACGTCGATCTGCTGCCTCCTGCACACCCCCTGCTAGGGATCACATCTGCAACCTGGGCATGTGTCCTGACTAGAGGAGAGGAGAGGAGGACCTCTCAGTCCACTGGACAACGGTGATTTGGAGTTATTTTTAATCCATTTGTCTGTTTTTTTAAAATCAGTAGAAACTAGGTTAGTACATAAAGTTAATTATTAAGTCAACTATTTTTGCTTATACTAAAATATTAGGTTCTATTCGCCCTGACCGGTTTGGCTCAGTGGTTACAGCGTCGGCCCGCAGACCAAAGAGTCCCATGTTCGATTCCGGCCAAAGGCACGTACCTCAGTTACGGTTCGTCCCCAGCCCCAGTTGGGGTTATGCGGGTGGCAATTGATGTGTCTCTCTCACATCGATATTTTTTTCTCTCTCTCTTCCTCCCTCTCTCCCCCCACTCTATTTGGAGATAAATGTAAAAATATCCTTGGTTGAGGATAAAGAAAAGAAAAATACACTAGGTTCTATCAGTAATTCCATATGAAAGGAGAAATCACTCGTAGGTGCGCGGAACTCGGCTGGTGTGGCTCAGTGGATTGAGCATCATCCCATGGACTGAGAGGGCCCGATTTGATTTCTAGTCAGGTCACATGCCTGGGTGGTGGGCTCGATCCCCAGTGGGGGCACGCAGGAGCTGGCCTATCTATGTGTCTCTCTCACCTCGCATTCATGTTTCTAGCTCTCCCTAAAAAAAAAAAATCAGTACAAACATTGAAAAAGAAAAGAAAAGGGCCCAGGGATATTTTCCACTGAATTTTAGAGAGAGTAGGTGGGAGGTGGGAGAGCGACACACACGGAGAGGTTACCTCCCGAACAAGCACCTGCCAGGCCAGAAATCACACCTGCAGCCCAGGCACATGCCCTTGGCTGGGGATCCAACCCTTGACCATCCAGTGCTCAGGCCAGCACTGTCCACTGAGCCACACTGGCCAGGACTTCAGCCCTTTTCTTTCAAATGTTTTTCACTTCTGTTCTCACGCTCTGCTCCTGAGGATCATGTGACATTGTCCCAGGGCTTCCTTGGGCCGTTCATTTTCCCTGCAAATCTGTTTTCATACTGTGTAGTTTCTATTAACCTACTTTTAGGTTAATTGACTCTTCTGTCATCTTTCTGTTTCCAGTGAATTTTCTATTTTTCAGTTTTAGAAAAATACAACTTTATTTTTCAGTTGTAGAATTTACATTTGATTTTTTTTTTTTTTTTATCATTTCTGTTTTTCTGCTGTGATCACTTATCTCTTCATTTGTTTGCTCTGTTGACCCATAAATGTCTAAAGCTCGACCCCTCTGCTGGCCCCATACTCAAGTATTAATTGCCTACCTGACACCTTCACTGGGGTGTCGGGGAGTCACCTCAGACCTCGGTGTCAAATGGAAGACCTGATTTTCCTTCCGTCTCTTTTCCCAGCGTCTCTTGTGGTTTCTGTCCAGGTGTCCACACCACTCTGATGTCTTCCTGTCCCTCCCTGCATTCTGTCCCTCGTCCTGCCAGTGAGCAAGGGTTGTTGATTATAATAACTGCAAGGTATGCTTGTCCCTCTGTTCCACCCGGCCTCCCTGCGTCCCTGTGTCCCCTGGTCTGCACACCAGGCTCTCCTGCTCCTCCTCCTGCAGCAGAGCTGGTGAGAACGAGGCTCGGGGGCTTGACCACCCCGAGCCCGCAGCTCCCCGGACTTGCCTTGGCTCCAGGGCTGGACTGCAGACGCCTCTCAGCCCCTGTGGTCCTGTGCCTCACTCTTCCCTTCGAGCCTTGGGCTTCTGTCAGCCTGGGGTTTCCGTCTTTGTTGAGTTTGTCTTTCTTGTTTGACGGTGAGACCCTCGATGGCAGGAACCCTGTTTGCTTTTATTTACTATTCTGAGCGCCAGCCTGGAGCCAGCACGCAGGACCGCGTGCTGTGTGTTGGGTGAAAGTGTGACCCGCGCCTGGCCTGTAGGTGGTCAGTACTGATGTGCGGGCATCTTGCGACACTCCGATCTCCTGTGGGGTCAGGTTGCATTGGGTTGGTGCAGTTGATCCACAGCAGAAGTGAAACTTCAGACGTGGCCATGACTCTTGCTTGCTTGACTCTCACGTGTGTCCCTCAGTCTTGGTGTTTACACAGAGCTTTGCTTCTTTTTGGCCACTGTTCTAATTTGCTTGACATCTGTGTAAGTAGTACTGATTTCCTCACGAGAGAAAGTAACGAGAAATTGGTTAACGAAGAACAGTTTCTAAAAAGACGAGTGTTCTAGTGACGTCTGAAGCACATGCAGTCAGAGCGGTGACACTTGCTCTGTGTCTGGGCCTTGTTTCAGGTGGCGAAGGAGTTCGGCTTCCAGAACAACGGCTTCTCGGTTTACATCAATAGAAACAGGACTGGGGAGATATCCGCTTCGTCCAACAAGTCCCTCCACCTGCTGAAGATCAAGTAAGTGTCATGGGAGCGGGTGGCGACACCGGCCATCACTGAGGCTGCTTGATGTGGGCCTGTTTCCTCGTCAGGCCTCTTAGTTACAGTCCTCTTCACCGCCGCGGTGCGGGTGGTCGTGGGTGGCCAGGTGTTCAGCAGTCACACTGAATCGGTCTTGTGGAGCTGGTTTGGTGGACTTGAGAACTCTGAGATGTGTCACTGAGGATGAAGCTGTGGCCTCAGGCTGTGTGTGCAGCTGCACCTTTAGCCATTCTGTGCAGGGAAGGACGTGGACTGGAGCTCTGAGCAAAGTTCCGCCTCAGGACCTGAGTGGTAGGCAGGTAGGAGGACCGGCAGTCAGTGGCCCCTTGCCCACGCTCCATTTCTTGCTGGCGAGACCCTTCTGGGTGCCTGGGAGCTGATCCGGCATGTCAGGAGGAGTTTCCAGGATGCAGAGACCTCCTGCTGCAGCCCTTTCTGCTTCTGTGGTTCACGTGTGTGCACTCCAGGGGCAGAGCTGAGTGGCGACGGTGACGGTCTGCAAAGCCGAAAGTAGTTACTGTAGCCCTTTCTGGAAGGTTGCCAGCTCCTGCCTAAATGGTCTGGGTGCGCCTGCTCATGGATCAGTGGCAGGATCCTTAACATCAGCAGCACCTGCGGCCGGGCTACAGGCCAAGCAGCCACCCCTGGCTGCGCGCTGGATTGGGCTCTGCTGGCAGTTGGCCATGTGCTATTGACCAGCCGGAGTGATAGGCAGTTTGGGCCATTGTGTGATCATTTCAGGTTCACACATTAATATATCTAGGGAAAACATGCAGTTATAGTGTTCATTTGTTCTTCAGCAGGCATTTGCTGGGGACCTGCCATCAAAGCCTTAGATAAAATCTGTCAGTGTGTGGTTTGTGTTTGTTTCCAGTGTGGATAAGGTTTGTCTTTCCTCCCCGCTTAGAGGGGTTTGCCTCTGCAAACCACTTCTCACGAGTGTTGGTGGGTCTGGATTCTCACTCCGCCACCCACTGGCTGTGTGCCTGGAGAAGTCGCCTACCCTCCCTGGGCCTTGCTGTCCCGGTCTGCCCTGGGTGCAGCCCTCCCTCACGGCTGCAGCGGGGCAGCCGGTGGGGTGCTGTGCTGGCTGCTGGCGGCTGCACGGGGAGAGGAGCCACGGAGGACGGCGCCGTGAGCCTGAAGGCGGCCTGCAGTGTGGTGCCCAGCAGGGCCCGAGGCCCAGACTGGGACGCTCGCCTCTCCAGGTGGCCTTGGAGGGGTGTCTTTCTGAACTTTCTTGGAGTGAAGCTCTCCAATGACAGTTGTGATGCGGACTGACTAGCAGGGTCTGAACGTGTGGGCTCCATGCTGTCACTGCTGAGTCATCTGACTGTCTGTCCCACCACACCCTTCTCTCTGCGTCTGTCGTCTTCCACTGGCTTCTGGCTTCTCTTGTTGACTGGAGATGACCTTCTCCTGCTCTGGCTGCTTTTAAGGTCTTCTGTCCATCTTGGGGTCCCGCGGTTTCTTTTTACCTGACCGTGTGTGGGTTTCTAGTTTGTCATTTGTTTAGTCCTACCAGATGTAGATTATGTTTTCTGTGTCGGCAGCTGAGGTCTGAAAAATTTATGGTCACTATCTCTTTAAATATTACCTCTCCCCCATTCTTTTTATTATTTTGGTGATTGTATTTTTCACTGTAAATAGCGTTTATTCCTTTTCAAACCTGGCTGTTAGTTTCCCATGCACGGCGCAAGCTGCCCAGGCTCTCTCCTGGGTTCCGCTCCACTGTCACCCTGGCCCCAGGCTCCCAGTGAAGATGCCCGTGTCCTCTGAGCTCTGCCTGGCCTGTCACACATGATGCTGCCCTCTCGGTTTCTGTAACGTTGGAGTCTGTCTTCCCTGTGTGTGCTCAGGGTCATGAGACCTGTCGCTCTCTTGTCACTATTTGTGGCTTTGAGGGGAACCTGGGAAGGGCCACCGAGCCTGGCCCCTTGCTGCCCTGCATTCATGTTGGATAGCCTCTCAGTGCTGCACCCTCAACTTACCGTTTTCTCCTTCTGGTCCAGGTATGAATTCACTTCTGCATCTCAGCACAGCTCCCCGCAGTCTTCAGCTGTCAGCCTGGTTGCTGTCGCGGCTGCTCACTCTCTCTCTTCCTGTGCGTTTGCTGACCTTCTTTCTTTCTTGTAACCCTCACCCGGGGCACTTTCCATTTGTCTGCAGACAGAGTGGGAGGGAGGGAGGGGAGGAAACATCTATGCGAGAGGGACACATTGACTGGCCGCCTCCCGCACCACCCTGCCAGGGCCATTTGCTGACCTTTCTTGAGAGCTTGTATTTGACCAGAACTGGTTTGTGGGGGTTCCTGAAGGGCCTGTGGTCAGTGGTTTTTCTATTGAGATTGTTTGCATTTGCTTCAGTCGGTACAAGGCAACTATGGACCTGGCATTCCTTTGAGACACTTTCTGTCTTTGGACTTCCTGAACCAAAGACCACCCCTAGATGCAGCAGGCCCTTGGTTACAGGCTTAGGGGTGCTTTCTTCCTAATACGTAGACGGTGGAGGCAGACAGGATTCCTCCGTGAGTTTTCCCCACTGTTGAGACATCCTCAGATGTCTGGCTTTGTGTAGTTTCAGGCTTGGCAGCTCACTCTGGGCGGGCAGGCTCAAGGCCTTGTCCGGTTGCCCAGAGAACAGCTGTGAGCTCAGCTCCGGGTTCCAGAGGGCAGCTCTGAGCTGTGTTCTCGCTGTTCTGGTTTGAGTTACTGCTGGTTTTTTGGACCCTTGGGGATTCCTCACTTTTCTTAGCACTCAACAGTGCATTTTAGGGAGTACTTGTTAAAACTGACCGGGCAGCGGATTGCAGTGGTCCATAGCGGAAGGTGCTCAGGGATGTCTGCCCTGCCTCTCACACGTCTCCGATGACAGCTGGGCACTGACCGCTCTGAAAGGGCGGAAGCAGGGGGGAGGACAGACGCCCTGAGTAGCATAGCCCAGCCTGCTGACATGCTCTGTGCCCACAGCTGTGCCCTGCCCTCCCGTCCTCCCTTCTGGTCTGTGTATTCTTGTTGACAGCTGCTGAGTGTCACCCAGGGCAGGGCTGCAGCGTGTCTGCAGGCACTGGGGTCTCGGCCTGGCCGGGCCACGGAGCTCCCGTGGGCTGGTGTGGAGGCAGGTGCTTGCTTAGCCTCAGGTTGGAGAGCTGGGCTGGGGACAGGTTTTGTAGTGCCAGCCGGCAGGCAGGTCAAGGCAGGAACATGATTCACACGGGAAGTGTGACAGGAAAAGAAATACTGCCCTTGGAATGTGGATTCTGACAGCCTTTCTGGAAGTAGTGCATCAGCAGCTTTAAACACAGCCAAATCCGCCAGCCCACCAGGGCCAGCGCCCTGTGGAAGGAAAGCTGTGGCTGCCTCTCTCGGGGCATTTCCTTCAGTGGCATTCCTGGTGGCAGGGATCACAGAGGCGCAGGCTGCCAGTGCGGGAGCCGCAGAGTGAATCCCGAAGCGGCCTCCCTGGGGAGTGTTGTGCAGCCATCAGACGTGAAGACGCAAGACTGTTTGGATGGATTTTGTGAGGTGTTGTCACACGAGAAAAGAAACGCAGAAAGTGTGTCTTTCAGATTTTCAGAATCTCAGTTCTGCCCAGCAGTGACATAAGTGTACATGTGTGGATGTGTGTGTGGGAATGTAGACCCAGAAACGGAAGGGTGTATCCAAGGTAGAGTGTGTGGGGCTGAATAGGGGCTAAGGATCCGACAGAGGAGAGTGGGAGCCAAGCAGAGACTGGGAGAGAGGAGGTTGTCTGTACACCTGTCTGTTGTGACCGTACAGCTGGCCCTTGAACAGCACAGGTCTGAGCTGCACAGGTCCATGTATATGTTGATAATTTCTAATAAATACACAGATTAAACCAACCGCGGGTTGAAAACAGTATTTTCAGTCCATGGTTGGAAATCCGTGCATGCGGAGGGCCAGCTGCGTTGAGCTGAGCCATGTTGTGTAAGGTTGGCACCCTATTCCCATGCTGTTCCAGGGTCAACTGTGTGTTCATGTGTGTGAAACCGGTGGGTATGTGGATGTATGTCATAGTGCTGAAATGCAGATGGAAAGAAAGAACGGTTACAGAAACCTGCTGCTGGCCTGTATAGGGTTAAGAATTGGAGAGACATTTGGGAAGAGTGTTCTGGTCTCTCAAAAGTGGGAACCTCTTATTTAGGCTTTCAGGGTACAAGCATTTGCCTTTTGCAGATGTCAGAGATTCTCACATTTAAGTGATCTTCTGTGCAGCTCAAGTTCTGGAAGGAAGATGGGCCTCGACTGATCTTTGTCATTTAACAGGCATGGCGATTTGTTGTTCCTGTTTCCCTCGAGCCTTGCTGGACCCTCGTCCGAAATGGAGACGTCAACCACACTGGGGTTGAGGGCCTTCGGCGCTTCCAACGTGGTAGAGGATGAGATCGACCAGTACCTGAGCAAACAGGACGGGAAGATTTACCGGAGCCGCGACCCACAGCTGTGAGTGCTAGGGCGCAGGCCTGCTGGCCTCGGGGCTTGGTCAGGGGCTGTTTATAGTGTCCTCTTGTAGAAGGGATCCGATGAAGAACCTGAGCTTGCAATTTGACCATCTATTTTCGGATTGAGTTTCACCTCATTGTTTGAATCTTCGAGTATGTTCCACATAAAACTTGAAAGTTTTCAGGTGTTTGAAACTTAAGAGATTTGAAAGAAGGAGCGTCTTTAAACCAAGTCTGTTCTCTGATGTGCCCTGGAGAGACTTGCTGCTCCATGCAGGGGGGGCTTTAGAGAGTGTGACAGGCAGGAGGAGGCGGTGGAGAGTGACACTTGGTGCCTGCTTGTGTGGTGTGCTTGTCCCTGTCACCTCATGTAGTGGTGGAGCGGTTTCAACATGACATACAGGGACTTTCTTCCCCCTTTTTTGGTGAATGCCTCATTCGCTGAAGATGACGCCCCTTTGAACATTCATTTTCATCTGGGATCACATAAATGCCTATAATGGTGTGTTATGGTTTAGATTTTTGAAATTGTATTTAAGGAAAGCAGTTAGAAACACCTGAGTTTACCCTCTGTGAGGCAGAGCCTTCTGAGTGAAGGTTGCTGTGTGCAGCGGAGTCTTGGTAACTGCGTCACTTCCTGGGCAAGGCGGTGCTGACACCGAGGCCCTAGGGCTCCAGATGCGCCTTTGCGGCTTGTTGGTCTCGGACTGAAGAGCTGGGGTGGAGCTCAGCTGCGGTCGGCACGGAGCTGCCTTGCAGCCAGGGCTCAGTCTGCGTGCTCTTCCATGTGCATTTCCTCCTGGTCGCCAGTGCCCACTCCCATCTGAGCCTTTGAGACTTGGTTTGCAGTCTTTCAGAGGGTGCGTGTGCGTGCACCCACCTGTCCTCTGAGCCAGAGCCTGCATGTTAGGAGAGACCCGCTCTTTCGACTCAGAAATGTCAAGTCAAGTGCATCTAAGAGCCTGACCCCATTTATTATTTTTATTTTTAAAAATCTGTTTTTATTGACTTTGAGAGAGAGAGAGGAAAGGGGAGAGGGAGAAACATCAATTGGCTGCCTCCTGCACACCCTCTGCTGGGGATCGAGCATATAACCTGGGCATGTGCCCTGACCAGGAATCAAACTGGGACTTCTCAGTCCATGGGACGACGCTCAGTCCACTGAACCACACCGGGCAGGCAAGCCTGACCCCATTTAGAAAGAGTTCTGATTGAGCCGGGATGGACCACTTAGCTTTCCCACTAACCCATCACTGCCCTCATCACCTGAGTACAGCTACACTGTCTTATCATATGTGCGAGCTTCCAAGGTCTCTCTGACCGAAATGACTGAAACCCACAGAGCCAGGCGTCCTTTATTTTTTTTTTTTTTGCATTTATCTTCAGATAGAGTGGGAGGGAGAGAGGGGTGAAGAGAGAGAGAGAGAGAGAGAGAGACATTGATGTGAGAGAGACACATTGACTGGCTGCCACCCTCACGACCCCAACCAGGGCCAAACTGTAACCGTGGTACGTGCCCTTAGCGGGAACCGAACCTGGGACTCTCTGGTCTGTAGGCCGAGCTCTAACCACTGAACAAAACTGGCCAGGGCAAGCCCAGGCATCCTTTATATGCTTTTATCCAAAATGAATGTGATGTGGGTGTTTTCTAAACTTGAGGTATTTACCGACCACTGTCAGGGTTTTTGCCATGTTTATGGACCACCTTGCTTAGTATTTGCTTACCATTTTTATTTAAATGACTTTAAATCTATTCACTTTTATCTTTGGTTAGCATTATTGTAAGCAGTTAATATCCAAGAAACCACAGGTTTGATGTGGTCAGTTTTTTCTAATACACATCAAAATGAACTGAACTATTAAAAACATTCACTACGTACCACCTAAAATGACTTCAGTTTCTAAGTCTGATATAATTTTTAAGTATCAAACGCCGGGAGGCAGCAGTAGGAAAGCGTGCTAACTGCTGTGCGTTTCTTTGCCCTGTGCTCGCAGGTGCCGACACGGCCCGCTGGGGAAGTGCGTGCACTGTGTTCCTCTGGAGGTGAGTCTGGATACGTCCCATGTCCCAGGGCCGCCCCAGAGCTTCCCTGAGCCCTGCACGAGGCCCTGTGGGCAGGAGAACTCATCTCTGTTGCCCTGGACCTCGTGTTCCCTCCAGTGCGAGCTGCAGAGGCGAGCCTGATTTATGGCAGTGGCCTTCTGGAGGTTATGAATGGCCAGGCATTTGTGTTGCTGTGATAAGGGGCCGTATTTGCACTGGCTCTCTGGACATCCTTTCAAACCTGACACAAAGCTGGGCCTGGCAGCTTCGCACTCATCGTTTTGATTTACTTTGCCCTGAGTCTCATGTCTCCTTGCTGGTTTGTCTGGTGAGATTGAGAGTTACCATAATAATGCTGACTGGTAACTAGTTCACGCTGAATTTACAGCAGGAGGCTTCTCTTGCTTCATTTTGTGATTTTTATTTTTGCAAAGTTTTCCCGATATTTACTTGACTTCATTTTCCGTTTTCATCTTGAAAAGATAATTGGCACCCAAAGAAAATGTGGGTTCTGACCTAGAGAGACAGTGAGAGCCAGACCATTCGCATCCTTCTCTCAGGCCCGGCCTCCCTGCTTCACGGGGGCTGGGCCGCGCTGCCCGTCTTGCAGCCCCAGCAGGTGTGTGACTGGTCTGACTGTTTTGGCAGCCATTCGATGAGGACTACCTAAACCATCTCGAGCCGCCCGTGAAGCACATGTCCTTCCACGCCTACATCCGAAAGCTGACTGGAGGGGCTGACAAGTAAGTGCCTGAGCATAATGCACAGAATTTTGTTTTGTGTCTGGTAGGTGTTGCTTAAAGCCACTAGGCATGTGACTAAAAAAGTAAAGATCGGGATCTGGGCTGGAAGCACTCGAAATCATGGATTTCGCCTTCACTGTAGAAAAGAAACAGGCAGGTGGAGACTGCCACCCTGCCGTCACCCATGGTGGGCAGAGTGTTGAGCAGAAGCCAGCCTGGCGATGGCCACTGTGGAGGCCCCCAGGGACCTCCCTGACCTTTCCCTGGGTGTGTGGTGCCCTGGCCTTTTAGGTGCATGTGAGGGTGGATGAGATAAGGTGCGGTGATGGCCAGTTGTGTCTGGCGTCTATGTTTTTTTCTGCTTTCTGGAAAAGTGTAACCACTCCATGGTCATGTCAGACCGCCTCTGTCAGCCCCTTGTCCAGAGCCTGGTGTGTAGCAGCCCTGCAGGACTGGAGCAATGGCGCTGTCCTGGGCTGTCTGTATGCAGGCCGCCTTCCCTGGAGTGTAGGCCTGGGGTGGAGTCGGCAGGCTGCCCTTCCCTGTGTGCAGGCCTCGGGGTGGAGTCGGCAGGCTGCCCTTCCCTGGAGTGTAGGCCTGGGGTGGAGTCGGCAGGCTGCCCTTCCCTGTGTGCAGGCCTGGGGTGGAGTCGGCAGGCTGCCCTTCCCTGGAGTGTAGGCCTGGGGTGGAGTCGGCAGGCTGCCCTTCCCTGTGTGCAGGTGGCGGGTGGAGTCGGCAGGCTGCCCTTCCCTGTGTGCAGGCCTCGGGGTGGAGTCGGCAGGCTGCCCTTCCCTGTGTGCAGGCCTCGGGGTGGAGTCGGCAGGCTGCCCTTCCCTGGAGTGTAGGCCTCGGGGTGGAGTCGGCAGGCTGCCCTTCCCTGTGTGCAGGCCTCGGGGTGGAGTCGGCAGGCTGCCCTTCCCTGGAGTGTAGGCCTCGGGGTGGAGTCGGCAGGCGGCCCTTCCCTGTGTGCAGGCCTGGGGTGGAGTCGGCAGGCTGCCCTTCCCTGGAGTGTAGGCCTCGGGGTGGAGTCGGCAGGCTGCCCTTCCCTGTGTGCAGGCCTCGGGGTGGAGTCGGCAGGCTGCCCTTCCCTGTGTGCAGGCCTCGGGGTGGAGTCGGCAGGCTGCCCTTCCCTGTGTGCAGGCCGCGGGGTGGAGTCGGCAGGCTGCCCTTCCCTGGAGTGTAGGCCTCGGGGTGGAGTCGGCAGGCTGCCCTTCCCTGTGTGCAGGCCTCGGGGTGGAGTCGGCAGGCTGCCCTTCCCTGGAGTGTAGGCCTCGGGGTGGAGTCGGCAGGCGGCCCTTCCCTGTGTGTAGGCCTGGGGTGGAGTCGGCAGGCTGCCCTTCCCTGTGTGCAGGTGGCGGGTGGAGTCGGCAGGCTGCCCTTCCCTGTGTGCAGGCCTCGGGGTGGAGTCGGCAGGCTGCCCTTCCCTGTGTGCAGGCCTCGGGGTGGAGTCGGCAGGCTGCCCTTCCCTGTGTGCAGGCCTCGGGGTGGAGTCGGCAGGCTGCCCTTCCCTGGAGTGTAGGCCTGGGGTGGAGTCGGCAGGCTGCCCTTCCCTGTGTGCAGGCCTGGGGTGGAGTCGGCAGGCTGCCCTTCCCTGTGTGCAGGCCTCGGGGTGGAGTCGGCAGGCTGCCCTTCCCTGGAGTGTAGGCCTGGGGTGGAGTCGGCAGGCTGCCCTTCCCTGTGTGCAGGTGGCGGGTGGAGTTGGCAGGCTGCCCTTCCCTGTGTGCAGGCCTCGGGGTGGAGTCGGCAGGCTGCCCTTCCCTGTGTGCAGGCCTCGGGGTGGAGTCGGCAGGCTGCCCTTCCCTGTGTGCAGGTGGCGGGTGGAGTCGGCAGGCTGCCCTTCCCTGTGTGCAGGTGGCGGGTGGAGTCGGCAGGCTGCCCTTCCCTGTGTGCAGGCCTCGGGGTGGAGTCGGCAGGCTGCCCTTCCCTGTGTGCAGGCCTCGGGGTGGAGTCGGCAGGCTGCCCTTCCCTGTGTGCAGGCCTCGGGGTGGAGTCGGCAGGCTGCCCTTCCCTGTGTGCAGGCCGCGGGGTGGAGTCGGCAGGCTGCCCTTCCCTGGAGTGTAGGCCTGGGGTGGAGTCGGCAGGCTGCCCTTCCCTGGAGTGTAGGCCTGGGGTGGAGTCGGCAGGCTGCCCTTCCCTGTGTGCAGGTGGCGGGTGGAGTCGGCAGGCTGCCCTTCCCTGTGTGCAGGCCTCGGGGTGGAGTCGGCAGGCTGCCCTTCCCTGGAGTGTAGGCCTCGGGGTGGAGTCGGCAGGCTGCCCTTCCCTGTGTGCAGGCCTGGGGTGGAGTCGGCAGGCTGCCCTTCCCTGGAGTGTAGGCCTCGGGGTGGAGTCGGCAGGCTGCCCTTCCCTGTGTGCAGGCCTCGGGGTGGAGTCGGCAGGCGGCCCTTCCCTGTGTGTAGGCCTCGGGGTGGCCAGAGAATGCACACTTGGACTGTTGTGGTTTCTTCCAACTCATCAAGTACTTACCTGTGTGATCCCTCTGTTGACTCCATTTTCACTTCACCAGAAGGTGACAGACTTCCTGCCGTGACCTGGTAATTCCTGCCAGTGCAGCAAGAAGAGATGGTGGCTGAACCCGAGTCAGCAACATTTTGTGAAGAATGTTATGTTGGCCCGATTATAGTTTTTTTCTGACAACCTGCTGACATCCTGAAATGACTTTTAAAAAAAGTTAGACCAGGAGAAAACAATCCCATCAGAAACCCATTCTTGCCTGTCAGTGGAATAAGCTATGGAACTTTCTGGACTGGGGGATGAATGTGCCAGCCTTTCTTCCGTCTGGGTCAAGGCCCATGGTCTCTGTGGGGGCACATCTGTAGCTGTCATTAACCTGCGGACAGGTGTGGGGGCCGCTTGCTCCCGCATGCCCCCAGAACCGTGCCAGTGGCTTGTGAAGATAAGATTGAGTGTTTGGACCATTTTGTGAACAGCGGACTGGCTGAGGGCTCACCCCAAGTCCAGAGTGGGGCCAGTGCTTCCTCACTGATAGTCTTATAACCACAGTGTTTATTTTGGCTAAAAGCAGAGTGAAGAAACCTTTGTTGTGTATCCTAATTGGGTTTTTCCTGTGAACAAGAATTTTTCACAGACATTTAAGTATGAGTCTCATGGTGTAAGTGTTGCTAATAAGTTAGCAGAACTGGAAAAGCACTGCACTTCCTTTCAGGGCACAGGTTAGATGGATAGACACTCAACAGTATTATCATTTTTAGAGATTTTTCATTGATTTTTAGAGAGAGAGGAAGGGACAGGGAGAAATGTTGATGTGAGAGCAAAACATAGATGGGCTGCCTCTCCTGTGCCCCCTACCGGGGATTGAGCCTGAAGCCAGGCATGTTCCTCGAACGGGAATCGAACCCGTAACTGTTCAGTGCACAGGATGACACTCAGCCACACTGGCCAGGGCTCAGCATTGTTGTTGAAATCATCCGGATGTTAGGGATAGTGGACATGAAAATGGCTTGTGTAGGACAGTAGTCATGTGCTCCTGCAGGCGGAGTGCACAGACGAGCTGGGCTCCACTGGGGGGATCTCAGCACATTTTCTCTGCTGCTCCACCCTGTGCCTTTGCTCCTTAGAGCTCTGTCCAGAGCGTAAGATGTTTGAATATTATTTCCAGTGTCCTGCCAAGCTTTTCATATGGTCACGTCTAATTAAGTTACCTTTTGTTCAGGGGGAAATTCGTTGCCCTGGAGAACATCAGCTGCAAGATTAAATCAGGGTGTGAGGGACACCTCCCGTGGCCCAACGGTATCTGCACCAAGTGCCAGCCTAGTGCCATCACGCTGAACAGACAGGTGAGGTGCTCGCTGCGTCGTGTGACAGCGGGAAGCAGGGTTTTGTGGCCGAGAAGTGAACATTTCCTTGGAGAGGAGCTGCCACTCACAGAGTGGGTTCCATCGGCTGATTCGCAATATTTCTTGACTGATCGATGGACCCTTCTGTGGAATCATACACCGAAGACAAGCTTTTTAAGATCTGTAGCTCTTGCAGGCAGGGGTGGGGCTTCGGTTTTCTGTTTTGTCAGCCTGTGTGGAGGCAAATTTTCCCGGTGACTGTTTAAAATACTGAGGACTTGCAACTTTGCCTTTTAAGAAACCGTATACCTGGAAACTTCTGAAGCATTGTCCTGGGACTAGCTCAGGGCACCTGTCCAAGCCAGTGAAGAAGGGAGCTGGGCTGGAGCAGGAGGGAAAGAACCAGGAAAATTGCATGTGGTTCTTCTGGCCTTTTCTGCTCTGTGGCCCTGGTCCCTGGGAACAGCCTCCTGCGTTTCCCTTCCGCTGCTGGCCCAAGGCTCCCCTCAGAGAATCCCATCGTCTCCCGGGCTCTTTGGAACCTTCTTGCCTTTTCCTGCTCTCCTTCCCTCTGTCTCTTCCTTGTTTTCTTTCTTTTCAAGAATTATTCTTTCCTGTAGAGATTTTGAAAACCTTCATGTTAGGTGAAATCCCAGTAAGATTAATTTGAATTAATTTATTGAGGAACCCCACCTATACCCACCTGCCACCGAGAATCTGATGTGGGCTTAAGGGCAGAGCACGTTCTTTCTTTTTTCTTTATTGATTTTAGAGAGAGAGGAAGGGAGAGGATGTGAGAGGGAAACATCGATGAGAGAGAACATGGACTGGCCGCCTCCTGCACGCCCCCCACTGGGGATCGTGCCCACAACCTGGGCATGTGCCCTGATCGGGAATTGAACCAGCAACCTCTTGGTGCAGGGTCAACACTCCACCACTGAGCCACATGGGCTGGGCGAGCACATTCTTTTTTAAAAAATTGATTTTGGAGAGAGAAATATTAATGGGTTGCCTCTCGTATACACTCCAACTGGGGCTCAAACCCGAAACCTGGGTATGAGCCCTGACTGGGAATCAAATCCACCGCCTTTGGGTGCACGGGATAATGCTCCAACTGAGCCACACCAGCCAGAGCCAGAGCACATTCTTAAGATATGTATGCACATGTGTATACTAAGGATCAGGTAAAAGCTATTTATTTTTACCTATGTAATTTTATTAACTATTTTCACCCCAATAAATTTAATTTAAAAAGATTTATTTATTTTGGATGGATGTTTTTATTTAGCCCATTGTTAACTCTACAGAAATACAGACATGTGGACAATATCATGTTTGAGAATCACACCGTTGCTGACCGCTTCCTTGACTTTTGGAGGAAAACCGGGAATCAGCATTTTGGATACTTGTATGGACGGTACACAGAGCACAAAGACATTCCTCTGGGCATCAGGGCAGAGGTGGCTGCCATTTATGAACCTCCTCAGGTGGGTCTGCAGTTTGATGGCCTCTGCATGTCTTTGTTGTGAAGACTTCGTGGTGCCCTTTCAGATTGTAGCTGCTTTTGTTTTACTCTTTGTCTGTCTACACACACACACAACACACACCCACACACACACTTCTGAATTATTGGAGAGTAAGATTATGGCTCCTAAATATTTCATCGTGTGTTTCCAAAGAATAAGGATATTCTCTTATGTAATAAGTACATTTATCAACTTAAGTAAATTGAACATTGATACAACACTTTTATTTCACCTGTTGTCTGTAGTGCACTTTAGTTGGCTGCCCCCAAAGCGTCCCACAGTTGCTCCCTCTCTTACGTCTGCACATCCTCCCCATGGCTACAGTCCGCTCTTCCGGGAATGATGGAAGCAGAGGCACAGGATCGCGTAGCTCTTCCCCCGCCACACACACCGCTGGGTCAGAGCAGCACTGGAATGCCGCTGTGCTGGACTGAAAACTGTGTGAGGTGTTTTTGGTGGGAGGGGGAGCGTCCTTAGGGTATATCTGTTTCTATGTTTGTGTTTTCAAGATTTTGTATTGATTTTTAGAGTGGAAGGGAGTGGGGGATGGGAGAAACATCGAACATGGATCAGGTGCGTCCTGCACACCCTCTGCTAGGGATTGAGCCTGCAGCCGGGAGTGTGCCTCTACTGGAGGTCAGACCAGCAACCTTTTGGTGCACGGGACGATGTCCAGCCAACTGAGCCACACCGGTCAGGGCTGTCACTGTGTTTTAAAGTTACTTGGGCCTTGGCCGGTGTTGCTCAGTTGGTTGGAGCAGTGTCCCATACACTGAAAGATTGTGGGTTCAATTACCAGTCATGGCACATATCTAGGTTGCGAGTTCCATCCCTGGTTGGGCCGTGTACGGGAAGGCAACCAGTTGATGTTTCTCTCTCTAAAATCAATAAACATGTCCTCGGATGGGGATTACAAATTAATTAATTTTTAAAAAGTTACTTGGAAGATCCTCTCAGTATGATGATGCCACCAGCCAGTCACAGCTTATGCTCATTTGCATTCATTTTCAGTGTCGAGGGGCTGGTTTTATGCTCTGTGAGCACTTGAGTTTCAGGCAGCAGGGTGATGCTGACGTGGGGGAAGTAGACTCATGTCTGCAGTGGGCCGTGAGATTCCACAGAGAACAAGACGGACTGGGGGTGGCTAGCACGATGGTAGGACCCAGTGAACGGTAATGGCTGAGTTGGGTGCTGGGAAACGGGTGTTCTCTGTAAAATTCTTTTGACTTTAGTGAATGTTTGAAATCATTTATAAAAAAAATTGTCGAAAAAGAAAAAAAATTGCACGTTTCTGAAGTCAGACTTGGAAGCGAAGTATTCACTTCGCTTGTCCTGTTTCCTCCCTTTCCCTGCAGGTAGCGCTAACCTGTAAAAATGTCTAGTCTAGACTTCCAAAGCTACACCAGAACTCCTACTGCCCAGCCCTGGTTTCTGAGTGTCTGTTCCGCACTGTGTGCACCTTTGTCACCAGGCCGTGTTCTAGAGGGCATGCCGTGACTGGCCTGCTTTATGCACGAACAGGGTCTGAAACTGCAGGCTTGTGGCCACTGGCTGGTATGCAGGTGTGTGGCTGTGGCACAGATGCCAGTGCCTTCCTGGCTGTGTTTGTACAGGTGTCAAGTGTAGTCTGACCCCTCCTGTTGGCGTTTACCAAGAGCTACAGACGAAGTGTTTGACTGGGCCTTTGGTGGTCCACTTAAAAGGAGACACTAGGTGGCAGCACAGACACCACCAGCTGGCCTGTGTGCAGGGCTCAGGAGGCTCCTGTGAGGCACCAGGTGCTCCGCTCCGTGTGGGTCTCATTCATGAAGGGTCCAACGTTCTGTCAAGAGCATGACTGAGCAAAAAACAAGAACCTCTGGCACCCAGACTACTAATAGCATCACAGCCCCCAATTTGGGGATCGAACCAATTGACCACTGAGAACCTCCAGCTTATTAGAAGTTGAAGCTCATGCTGCTGAAGGTCGTGAGAGGAGACCCTCAGGCTTGTCCTGAGTGTGCGGTTCACCTGGGCTCTGAAGGTGTCAGTGAACTTCAGATGGGTGGTGCCAGCAACAGATGGGTCTTCTGTGGTTTTGCCAGAATGACATTAATTACAAGGATCGCTCCAGTTAGGAACTTAGTCTGGGCTTACCTTCACTGTCCGGATTCTGCAGCCCGGGCTGCTGCTCAGCATGACACTTATATTTTTTTAAATATGCTTTTATTGATTGTTTTTTTTAGAGAGGTAGAAAAATTGATGAGAGAGAAATGTTGATTGGCTGCCTCCTGCAAGCCCCCACCGGGGATCAAGCCTGCAACCTGGGCATATGCCCTGACTGGGAATCGAACCGGGACCTCTCAGTCCATGGACAACACTCAACCCACTGAGCCACACTGGCCGGGTGGCACAACACTTCTTATTGACGACTCACAACTGCATTTCAGTGCAGATTAGAGGTTGCATGAGCATCACCCACTGCAGGCAATCGGAGCTGGTGGCCAGTTAGGCTGCATGTGAACTGGCCAGAGCCTGAGCCCACCTCTGTCCCTAGCTGAGTGCTCTGCCACCAGCCAGCAGGTCACTGGTTTCAGACCCTTTCTCCTTTGCTGGGGGCTGCGAGCCTGTTTCTCCATCACTTGGGACCTTGCCAGGGAAGCTGTGTCTGGGGATGAATGTCACCTTATATCTCTCATCCTGCCAAACCTACTTAGAGGGAAACTATTTATCCAAAGGCGATTTGAAACTAACTTTTTCCCCCAACAAAGGAACCTTAAGAAACTGTATAGAGAGCCTTCCTTAGTCCCTGACGGTCCCACTTGCTGTGGAGCTGTGATCAGTCTGCACATCGTATCCCGGTTTCTGAGTCTTGACTAGAAGCGTGATGCAGCCTGAGAGGGGACGAGCTGGTTGTATGTGATCTGGTGGCCTTGAGTTCTTCCTGCTGCTGTCACTCTCCTTTAGGCCAGGGTGACCCATGCTCCTTTGTGACACTGGAGCCAGAAATGGAGCTGGGGGTGTACACTTTTCTTAGCCCACTCCTCCAAATCCGTCTCTCCTTTAATGCCCGACAGATTGGAACACAGAACAGTTTGGAGCTTCTTGAAGACCCAAAAGCTGAGGTGGTGGATGAAATTGCTGCCAAACTCGGCCTGAGGAAGGTACTGGCCTTGGTGGAGCCTGGGCTCTGGGGACATCCAAGTGGGAGGTGTGGCCAGGCCTCACCTGGGACTGAGCACCCAGCTGCATGCGGTCAGGTGCAGGCCAGCAGTTCTGAAGCCTCACTTGTGTTTATTGGGCACCAGAAGCTTTTATGTTTCTCTCTGATTTAGAGTAAAATGAGAACATTTTCCTGAGCATAAACTAAATGATCCCAGTGCAGGGCTGTTACACTTAAAGCTGCTAGCCATTTTTCTTATTTTTAGTTTTTTTATTCCTTACCTGAGGATATTTTTCTACCTATTATCAGACAGAGTGGGAGGGAAGGAGAGAGAGAGAGAGACAGAGAAACAGTGTGATAGAGCCACATCGACTGGTTGCCTCCCGCACAACCCGACCCGGGCTGGGGACAAACCGAAACCGAGGTACGTGCCCTTGACCGGAATCTAACCTGCAACTCATTGGTCCATGGGTCGATGCTCTAACTGCTGAGTCAAACTGGCCAGGACTGCCAGCCACTTTTCTTGGGGACTGCTTCAAGGTGGGGGAAGCCGTGGAACCAGATCCCTGTCTTTCTGCCTGGGTGGGGACCCCAGTGCCAGGCTGTGTCCTCCTGCCTGGCTGCCACGCACCCTTAGGTGCCAGCTCCTCTGTCGTGTGCCTTTGCTGCCTCTGGCCAAGACCTGTCCACAGTCTCCATGTCCTGCTGTGGTGTGGAGCAGGCGTTTCCTCTCCAGTCATCCCCAAACCTGCTTACCGCTCAGGGGTCAAAGTACATGCACCTCCTAGTGTCGCGGGCACTTAGACAGCCAAGGAGTACGTCCTTGTCGAGTCTACAGATGTGTGTGGACTGTGACTCTGAACACATCTTAGAGGTTCACTATTAGTACCTTTGCAAGTTTTTCCCTTTACTTCCTGATCAGTTTAGACAGTGAAAATAAATTTTCTCTAATAAATAATGGGGAAAACTAGAAATGTGCTTTCTAACCTGGGAATGTTAGGGAGCAGAGTCACTGCACCGTTGTAAGAAAAATGACCCATTGTCCCTAATGGAGCAGCCTCTCGATTTAGGGTCATGTTCCTGTTTAAGTCCTGGAAGCCTCTCTCCGTGCCATCTTTTTTTTTTTTTTTTTTTATCCTCACCCGAGGATATTTTTCCATTTTTTTGTACAGATAGAGTGGGAGGGAGAGAGAGAGAGAAACATCGACGTCAAGGGACACATCGAGTGGTTGCCACCCGCACGACCAACCAGGGCCGGGAACAAACTGCAATCGAAGTACGTGCCCTTAGCGGGAACCGAACCCGGGTCTCTCCGGACCGCAGGCCGACGCTCTAACCGCTGAGCCAAACCGGCCAGGGCACGGTGCCATCTTTTGACGACATTTAGTACAAGCACATCGTTCCCGACAGTCGTGATGTGATAGAGGATTTGGAGTTACCTGAATGCCTTTCTCCAAAACACTGCTTCGCGTGTGCCCCAGCCCCTCAGCAGCTGTGCACCGCGCCTCCACTGTCCTCGGAGCCTCGCCTCTCCATGCCGCCCTCGTGCTTTCATTCACTGGGCATCGTGAGGGAAAGGACAGTCTCAGCTGCCGGTCAGCTGTGCAGGAGCAGGATTGGAGAGTCCTGTATCCCGCTGTGCCGGCAGCGTCCTGGGCCCCAGACCACTTTCCCAAGGGACAGAAGTGGGTGTGTGCCTGGCTTCCAGCCTGCTCACAGTCCCCCAGGTTCTGGCTCAGGCCCGCGGGAGGCTTGCGGGCACAGGAGGGCCAGTGGTCATGGAGCACACAGACACTGTCACTGCAGCAGGACAGGGCTCTGAGGCCGCCCCTGCCCCGAGCTTGGGGACCAGGCTGAGGGTGCCCTGGTGCCGGGACTTTCACACTCTGTACCCTCAGGCGCTTCCTCAGCAGTCCCCAGGGTGGTACTGCTCCTGTCCTCGCCCTCAAGGGCGTCTGTTTTCTACCTGGCACCTGAGACACGGCACCTTGGTGTGCTTCCTCTGGGCAGCGACGCTCCATTTTCATTGACAGTCTGTTCATTTTGTTGACCGTGGGGTCCCCTGCGCTTGGCACGGTTTGCTGACGGGTCAGTGAGCTCTGCTCGTTTCCCTCCTCTCTGACCCGGCAGCACCTGGAGGGCGGCCGCTTTGAACTGAGCGGTTTGGTATCCCTGGCCTGGCCTGAGGTTCAGGGGGGTCTTGGCGACGACTGTCTGTGAGCTATCTGGGCAGAGGCCAGAAACCATCGCCCATTTCCAGGAGAGACTCAGAAGCTGCTTTCTTTCCTTATGCAGGTTGGCTGGATATTTACTGACCTCGTCTCAGAAGACACACGAAAGGGTACAGTCCGATACAGTCGGAATAAGGTGAGGGGGCGGGGCAGGCATGCTCGCTGACACGCAGCTTGGTTCCAAACCTGCTCTGGCCCATGCTCTTGGGGGTCTCTGCAAGCTTGCGTTGTTGGTTAGACCAAGTTATTTTCAACATGGTGTTCTCAATCAATGAAGGCGACTCCCTTCAGTCAGTCTTGTAGAGCAAACGCACACGACCTTGTAGGCCAGTGCTTTCAGGGTCAGCCTTGGGGTGGATCGTGCATTGTTTCCGGCCTTCCGAGCTGTGCATGACTTTTTGGGAGGGTTAATGATGGCCAGGAACGCAGACATTGGCTTCACCCTAGTTTTTCGTGTTTTTTTTTTAATATGTTTTTATTAATTTTTTTTTTTTAGAAAGAGGAAGGGAGAGAGATAAACATCGATTGACTGCCTCCTGCACGCCCCCTACTGGGGATGGAGCCTGCAACCCGGGCATGTGCCCTGACCAGGAATCTAACCAGGACCTCTCAGTCCAGAGGATGACACGCAATCCACTGAGCCACACCAGCCGGGCTAACCTAGTTTTTGACATGTTGTAGTTTAGTACTTTTTTTTTTTTTTATCCTCACCCGAGGATATTTTTCCATTTTTTGTACAGATAGAGTGGGAGGGAGAGAGAGAGAGAAACATCGACGTGAAGGGACACATCGAGTGGCTGCCACCTGCACGACCAACCAGGGCTGGGGACAAACTGCAACCGAAGTACGTGCCCTTAGCGGGAACCGAACCCAGGTCTCTCCGGACCGCAGGCCGACGCTCTAACCGCTGAGCCAAACCGGCCAGGGCTAGTACTTTTTTTTTAATCCTCACTTGAGGATATTTTTAAAATTTAATTTTAGATAGAGTTGGAAGGAGGGAGGGAGAGAGAGAGAAAAACATCAGTGTGAGAGAGACACATTGCTCGGTTGCCTCCTGCACGACCGTGGGGCCAGGGACTGAACCTGCAACCCAGGTACGTGCCCTTGACCGGGAATCAAACCCGGACCTTTGGTCCACGAGCCAACACTAATCGCTGAGCCATGCTGGCCAGGGCTGTAGTTTAGTTCTTAAAATCTTCTAAAGAAGGAATGGAAGCGTAGTTTATGTGCCTCTCCTCAGGACACCTACTTCCTGAGTGCGGAAGAGTGCATCACTGCCGGAGACTTCCAGAACAAGCACCCCAACTTGTGTCGGCTCTCTCCTGACGGGCACTTCGGGTCCAAGTTTGTTACTGCAGTGGCTACAGGTATGACCGAGGACCTTTATTTGTTTGGTTGGGTTTTTTTGGACATTTTTGCATTTATGTTCAGATAGAGCAGGAGGGAGAGAGGGCGGGAGAGAGAGAGAGAAAGACGGATGTGAGAGAGACACATCGACTGGCTGCCACCCACACAACCCCAACTGGGGCTGGGGACAAACTGCAACCGAGGTATGTGCCCCTAGTGGGAACCTCACCCGGGACTCTCTGGTCCATGGGCTGACTCTCTAACTGTTGAGCCAAACCGGCCAGGGCTAACCGAGGACCTTTATATTTTAAGTGTTATTAGTCGTTTGTGTGTTTTGGTAGCTTTTTATTCTTAACTTATAGTAGATTTTCTTAATGGGCCTGTGAGACACTGATTCTTCTTTTTGGTTTGTGGTAAAAATCCTGACTGTGTCAGTGTTAGTCACAAAGCTACTGGAATCAGGGCCTCAGCATAGCTCTCCTGTAGTCCACTCTTGCTCCAAGTCCAAGGTGACTGGGTCTGGATCTGAGCTCGGGCTGCCTCTGCCCCTCCTCAGTAACCAGAGGCTGTGCAGGAGAGAAGAGGGCTGCTGGCTCTGCTCCTTGTTTGTTTTGACATCGTGAATGAAACTGTCATTTTCATGAAGCTTTCCAGGAGTGACTGTGTGTGTGTGTGTGTGTGTGTGCATGTGCGTGTGTGTGAGAGAAAGAGAGAGAGAGAGACAGGTTGTGGACTGCACAAATCTATGATAATGAAAGGTTATGGCCTGTGAAAAAGTGCCACCCATCTTTTATAACATGCTTGAGATGTGGTCCTAGAAAAAGCCAGATGTAGGACCATGCTGTTTGAAAGAAGTAGGAGTTTGAAACCTGGAGAGCCAGCTCCTAAAAGCATCATCTGTCTGGTCAGTTTTTTAGAGTAAACACGAACTCGCTCTGTGCAGATCTGGTTTCCCCCCTCGTGGGAATGCGCATTCAGTTCACGCTGGGCAACCAGCCTTTCCCTAGTTCTGTAGAAAGAAACAAACCCCTCCCCTAACGCCGCAGTTTGAAAGCCGCAGCAAGCACCTGCCTGCCGCTGCGGGACGGCCGGACCCTGCTCCCAGACGTCCACCGGCTGCGCGGGAGATGTGCTGCTGAGGCTCCTGGGCCCCTGTGGGGATAGCTCAGCGGCCAGAGGCACAGTTTAGAATGTAACTAGTTTCTAACTCGGCAGCTTGTACCTTCAGCTACTGAACCCCTTTCTTATTGGGAGTTTGGAAATTACAGATCATCTGTGGAATTTTTGCCTCTGAAATGTTTGCAAGCCAGACAGACAAAATCGGTGTTCCCTGATCAGTAACATTCTGATTTTGTAAAAAAAAAAAAAAAAAAAAAACTAAACTAAAATAGAGATATTGAGGTTTTCAGTTCTTTGAGCCATGAAAAGTGATGGATGTCAGCACTGTCTGGGTGTGACTGGGCTCTGGGGGCGAGTGTGTCTGCCTGTGTCTGCGGTGGTGGGAGGCATCCACATGCAGTCTCGGCCCCTCTCCGCTGTTTCCACTCAGTCTCAGCCGCCTCCATGACCCTCCTCGGCAGCCTTCACACTCACCCCTGTCCTTGATTTCAAGTCACGGTGGAGGCTTTATGGAGTGGGGATGAGACGGAGGAGGGGCGTGAATGGCGCTCTATGCCGCGCTGCCAGCAGCTCCTGAGGGGGTGGCCATGCAGGCTCCTCTGAAGCAGAGACGCCGTGCGTGTGATGCAGTTGCTGTCACTGTTTTCACTGCGAGGCTTCTGTCCTGCTCTTCTCCCCTCCGCTTCGCACCTCTGCAGCCTCCAGACGAACCCCCCGTCCACCCGAATGTAAGTGTGCTGGCACGTAGGGCTCTGTCTGTCGTTAAAGACCGAGAGCCCACGCATTTGACACTGAGCAATGTGGGCAGATATTGGAGCGCGTTTGCCAGCCTCGTACCCGGTTCTGAGCCGTGCCCTCAGTAGGCCTGCTGGAGGCGCTGGAGCGGCATCTCCGGGCCCTGCATTCAAGGCCTGTGCTCAAGCCACTCGGCAAGTTGCCGTCGGGTGGTTTCAGATTCTAAGCTCCAGCAGGCTCCTGTCGGTTTGCTCTGTTCTGAAGCGAAGAGGAGCAGATATGGGCTTGTGGTGAACGTCCTTCGGTGGATGCTCACGGAAGGTTTCTCCCTGCAGGTGGTCCCGACAACCAGGTCCACTTTGAGGGCTACCAGGTGTCTAATCAGTGCATGGCGCTAGTCCGGGACGAGTGCCTGCTGCCCTGCAAGGATGCCCCTGAGCTCGGCTACGTCAAGGAGTCCAGCAGCGAGCAGTATGTGCCTGATGTGTTTTATAAGGTAAGAACAGCACGGTGGGGGACTGCGAGTGGACGGAGGACGTGTGGACACTGGGTTGCCTGGGCCTTGACGGGTCCTGGTGCTTTCTGGCCAGATGGGGTGTTGTTGGTCAGCCGTGGTGGTTTGGTGTCAGCTTGTGGATAGAAGCATTCCATAGCATTTCCCAGGCCTGTTAGGGCCTATCACTAGGAGTGGACATACCCTCACTGGGTCTGGGGTAGAACACAAGTCCAGCATTGCAGCATAGTAGTTTCCGTTTCTGAGAAGGAGAAGACCTGTACCGGAGCAAAGCACGGAGCGCGTGGTCGGTGCCGAGGCTCCGCTCACTGAGGACAGACATGCCCGTTGCGTCTGGCTTCTAGTGACAACTGCAGAAGCTTCTGTTCGGAAGGCTTGTCCAGGTTGCGCATGCTTGAGTCCTGTGCTCCCTGGCAGCACCGGAGAGACGGTCTCTTCCTCATCCCGACTTGTCCCTGGCCGTGATCGAGGACCTGCCTGGTCCCGGGCAGACTCGCGTTCTCCCTGGCACTGTCTGCCGCCCGCAGGGCTTCGTCTTACAGCACGGGCAGCTTTGATGTCTGGAACGTGTTGTGTTTTGTTTTTTTTTTTATCCTCACCCGAGGACTTTTTTTTTTTTGCATTTATCTTCCGATAGAGCGGGAGAGAGGAGCAGGAGAGAGAGACGGAGGAAGGGAGAGAGTGAAACATCGACGTGAGAGAGAGAGAGACATCAAGTGGTCGCCACCCACACAACCCCAGCTGATGCCAGGGACAAACTGCAACCGAGGTACATGCCCCTAGTGGGAACTGAACCCAGGACTCTCAGGTCCACAGGCCAATGCTCCAACTGCTGAGCCAAACTGGCCAGGGCTAAATTCCTTTTTATTTGGTACCATCACTTACTAGGTTGGAAATTTGCTTTTCCCCCCGTTGTGTGTGTTTCTCGGACATGGCTGTGGAGCCTGTTGCTTCCTCCGTCACACTGCTGTTCCCATCGATTGTTGTCTGCCTGTTGGTGTGAGCAGCTGGGGGTGCTTCCCAGCGTGGTTCGTAGCCCTGGAGGCTTGGAGGCTGCGACAGCAGACATGGGAGCCACCCTTCTAGTCCTGTGGGCTCCGGGTCAGCTTTCACCCCTGCTTGTAGCATGATGGCATTGCCTGTGCTAACGCATCCTGGGAGTCCAGCAGTGGGCACCACAAGGTGACACCCACGTGAGGGGATGGTGTGGTCACTAACGGTGCGTGTTTGAGAATTGTTGAAGATACAGCGTAACACACAGTGTAAGTGTACGCTGCCTGGGTGTGCGTGCTGGTGTTTGGAAGATGGCTGGGGAGCTGTTTCTGCAGGTGCCTTCCGCCCAGCAGCAGGGCCGTGCTGTCGGGGCCCAGGGTGCACCCCTCTTGCGTGGGGCACCTGTGTGTGTGGTTTGAAGAGCTTGACGCGGGCTCCCTCGGGGGACTCTGGGTGGAAGTGGGCTCCTTGGTCACTGAGGCAGGGGTCACACGTCCCTGCAGCCCCCTTGGTCTGGCAGGAAGACGTTAAATGATGACACTGTTTGCGTCCAGCATAGTGCCTTCTGCTTTCTTTTTCTGTTTTTTTTTTTTTTTTTTTTAATACGTTTTAAAGTTATATTTACACAGAATAAATGAGTATATGTGTTGCGCGTGTGGCCCGGCCATCATGTGGTCAGTCTGCTGCAGGTGACTCCTTCAGTTGTTCCTGGTGGTGGTTAGGGCGTTGCTGCAGCTTTGCACTGGGTGCCAGTGCCCCCGCTGGCTGGGAGCGTGACATGGACCCTACACGTGGACTTAAGTGTGGGGTCCGATGGTGTTTGAGGACCATTGGCCTGGATGAGTGATCAGGGAGTGGAGAAGGAGACGAGAAGTCAGGGCCAGCTGAACCTGGGCCTCCAACATGGACCCCGAGACAGCACGCATGCCCAGGCAGCAGGGAGCCTGGACGCGGAGCCGAGGATGGGGCTGCTGTGGCTGCCATGTGGCTGCTGGGGCCTTGATGAGCACCTTGCATCCGGGTAAGGCTGGTTGGTGTGGGTTCCAGGAGGAGGGGGTGGGGGGGAGTGAGCTGGCGGGCAGAAAGCTCTGAAGGAGTCTGGCTTCAAAGGGAGGTCGGCACCCTGGCTGGTGTGGTTCAGCGTTAGAGTGTCGGCCCGTGGACCAATGAGTCGCGGGTTCGATTCCGGCCAAGGGCACGTACCTCGGTTGCAGTTCAGTCCCCGGCCCTGCTCGGGGTCGTGTGGCAGGCAACCAGTTGATGTGTACCTCTCAAGTCGATGTTTCTCTCTCTCTCTCTCTCTCCCTTTCTCTGCCTCCCACTATCTGAAGATAAATGGGAAAAAATCCTCGGGTGAGGATAAAAGAACAGGGAGGTTGGCAGTGGCAGTGCTGGTGTGGGAGGTGGGATCTGACGGCTTCTTGATGGGCTTTTTCATGTACGAGAGCCTGCACGTGTGCCAACGCTGGGCCGTGGAGGGCGATGAGGGTGCAGGAGAGATTGGAGGGAACTGAGTGATGTCCTTGAGAAAATGGGGAGAGAGGGTCTGCTGCGGGGGCTGGGGTCTGGGGGTTCTGGGGCATTTGACACAGGGCGGGAGGTGGATGCAGGCCCAGCAGCAGGCCCTTGAGGTGCGGTCATGGTCCAGAGTTTCGGATGCACCGGGAGTGCAGGTCCTCGTGCGTGCAGGGTGTTGTGCGTGCCTGGGCCTAGGGTGACAGTGGTGAGCAGGTCATGCTCGGTCCCTCCTCTCAGGCTGTCTTTTGAGGTGTCCCGGGGGGTGGTGCAGGGCACGCCAGGACCGGAAGAGTGAGTCAGCCAGGCAGGGAGGGGGCCCATCCAGGCCCCATGTGCATGGGCTCCATCGAGCTGGCATGTGCGTTTGATGGGTTTGTGGGTGGCAGGAAGCCAGAAAGAGAAGTGGAAGGTGGTTCTGGAACATTGCTGCTGGGTGTGAAGAATGGTCTGGAGGCCGGAGACAGCAGCAGTGTCGGTGGTCGGACCAGGAGAGTGCAGCAGGAGAGGTGTGAGGCCCAGTCCTGTATGAGACTCCGCAGGAAAGGCCGACAACTGGTGTGGGGGCCACCACTGCAGAGGATTCTTTCTGGGTACAAGGGTGCGGACCCAGTGAGAAGGCTGGTGTTGTAATCCCGGTGACGTGCCTGCTCCTGTGGCCTTTGGGGGTGGACAGGGTGTGCAGGGCCGGGCCAGGTCTGTGGTTGGGGGTGTGTGTCGGAGCTGCAGAGTGAGAGCAGAGGGGAACTGGCAGGGGTGGGGGCAGTCAAGTGCCCACGTTCGTAGTTTGCTCTGGGGGCTCAGGAAGGTAGTTGAGAGGTGTGGGCTGAGAATGCCATTTTCAAGGTCATCTGCCAAAAAGCCCAAATCCAAGTCCTGGAAGTAGATGAGACAAGACGAGATTGTTCAGAGGACAAAGAGGGTGTCGGACAGACCCAGGAAACTGCTCTTAAGGCCCTGGCCTGGCCAGGGTAGGGCTCGGTGGGGTGTGGCCAGTGCAAGAGGCCAGGCAGATCCAGCAGGCAGGAGGAGGAGGCACCCTTCCTTTGAGGAGCTGGCTGGAGGGGATGGGACTCTCCAAGGGCCCCTTCTGTCACACCCTTCACAGGGCACCACCCATCCCTCAGCCACACACAGGTGTGTCCCAGCCTCCAGCACTCAGTGCTGTGGGCCATCCCAGGGCTCACCCTTTTTGCTCTGAACACCTTGGGACAAATTCCCAGAAATAGCATTGTTCTGTCGATGGATGACATAAATTTCAAGGGTTTTATATGTTTTTGCTCATCTCAAAGAAGTTAGCAGACTTCATGTACACTGGAAAGCTGTGGACAGGTCAGCCCTGCCTTCTGCCTTCTGCCCTCTGTCTGGGACCCCACCCTTTGCAGGGTCTCGGTGTGTCATGACTTCTTGAGTCAGCCGCGTGCATGTGGTTGATTGCGGGGGCTCGTCACTTGTGTTCCTGTGTGAGGTCTTCAAATGCCAGCCATCATGGTCTTCATACTTTTCTGATTTCAGGTGCAGTACCCTTTTTCATTATAGTTTCTACCTTTGTCATCATGACTAGGAAGCAGTTCTTTACCCAAAGGTATATATTTACCTACATTTTCTTTTAGTGCTTTTAAGATTTAATTTACATTGAGATCCATAATCAATTTACCCATTTTTTTCTTTCTTTTTTTTTATCCTCACCCGAGGACATTTTTGCATTTATCTTCAGATAGAGCGGGAAGGAGAGAGGGAGGAAGAGAGAGAGAGAAACATTGATGTGAGAGGCACATTGAGGGCTGCCACCCGCATGACCCCAACCGGGGCCAGGGATAAACTACAACCGAGGTACATGCCCTTAGCAGGAACCGAACCCAGGCCTCTCTGGTCCACGGGCCGACGCACTAACCACAGGGCCCAGTTTTTTCTTTATTATAGTTTCATAGTACATTTTTATGCTTGTTAGGGCAAGAGTCTTCACTATTCGGCTTTTAAAAAGAAATGTTTTAATCACAGTGATTATGAATAACAACATCATTCAGAAAAATATCAATTAATCAAGAAAAGGCTAACAAGAAGAGATTCTGAACAACTCGTTAGCATAATGTCCCCGTTTAGAAGGGACTCTGTGGTACCTGAAACCCCCGAGTGTGATGTCAGTCCTCCCCTCGCACTGCGCAGTCTTCTGTCAGGGGGGGGCGCGGGGTGGCACGTGCCGAGCTCCGCCTTGGGATGGCCATGGGCCGGGTGTGGCCGCCCTCTGCTCCACCAGCTACTGGAGCTCGGGCACCTGACTCCTCAGCGCTGGGAACCTGGTGGTCATGTGCTTGTGGTGTCGAGCGGCTCCTCCCAGAGCTCTGTGGGTCTCCTTGGTGCAGCTGCTTCCTGAGCGCTGGATCTTTCTGGAACTGTTGTGGGAACTGTCTTTGCTCTCCCGTGATGGCGCAGACCAAGCGGCTCCTGTCACTTGCGCCCTCTCCCAGCTCTGAGGAGCGAGCAGCAGTGCAGGCTCCGCACGCCCTTTCCAGGCCAGGGCGGTGCTGCCGGTCCGTGGCGTTGGTGCTGTTCTGGCGCCAGGCCCACGTGCCTTTGCTCACAAAGACAGGTCCTGTCTCGGTGCTGGTGCCACTGCTTCCACACGTGGCCTGTGGCAGATAGTGAGGCAGGGGCACCTCGATTTCTGACTCTCCCGCTGTCTTGCTCAGGGTGGAGCTAAAACTGCTGACTTGTCGGCAGCTGCCAAACTTAGAATTAAGATGTCTTTCTCTAGCTACTGCACCTGACGTTTGCTGACGTTTGTAAAAGTGATTGTCTTTTTAAATGGTGGCTAGGGCTTGGGATTGGCTGGCAGAACTGTTGGAGGGAGGGCATGGGGGAGAGAGACGTTACCTGTCCCCCCACCCACCCCGGGAAGAGAGGGGGATGCAACACCTTTATCTTCGTGGGGAGCAGATAGGTACAGTGGGGCAGTTGAATCTGGAAGAGAATAGCACGACACAGACGATGAGAGGCATTTAGCCAGAAACATCCTCGAGGGAGACCAAAGCGAACAGGTGCTGGGGAAGCGTTTCTGTGGTTGGAGCTTAATTAGATCTGAGGGCGAGTTCCAGGCGGGCTTGTTATGTGTGAGTTGTTGAGGTTATTTCTTGTGGGGCAACCATGTATTTTGGGAGATGGCGATTTAGTTTGATTGGATTCCTGCCTCTTACCATGTCTCAATCGAGAAACTGCTGCTTTCGGGGCCCAGGACCCCTCTGTGCGCTCCCATCTCGGCTGCCCCGTCGAAGCTGGTGAGCCGAGAAGGCTGGGCACAGCCTGACTGCTGCAGAAACCAGCACAGGCACACCTGTCCTGTGGAGGGCCTGAGAACCACCCAGGTGGGGGAGTCATCCAGCTCCACAGGTGCAGACAGACAGGCAGCCGTGTGTGGTTTCCAGGGAGGTGTCCTTTGGTGGGGTACCGATGCTCTCGGGTAGATAAGGTTAGGTGGACTCGGGCCACTTTCTGGGACGCAGAGGCACACATTCTTGTTGGCAGCTCTGTATGTTGTGAACAGAGAAGGTGAGGAAGGTGTGGATAAACTTGACATGTGTTGCAGCCAGAAATGTCCATTTTTCAGCAAAAGGAGCAAGGCCAGATGGAGGCAGTGGGCTTGGTCTGACGGGCGGCTCGGCCCCCGGAAGGTGGACGTGCGGCCTGGCTGCGCACCGTCCTGCACGCCTCGGCAATCTGCTCCGCATCCGTTCGGTCTGAGCGCTAATAAACGTGCACTTTTATGGAAGACCCCGTAATTGGAAATTATGGATGTATAATTTATATATGACTCCATGAGTGATTTATATAATGTTAAGTGATGATTTAGATAGAAAAAATATGACCTTCCTGCAGAATCTTTAATGAAAAGCATCGGTTCTTATGAATTTATTTCTAGAGCTCTGTTTGAACACAGCATGTTTGACATAAATCAGGTTTAATTGTCATTTTATGATTAATGAACATATGCTGGCCATTTTTCCCCATAATTAAACTTTATGTTCCGTGCATCTGACAAAGCAAAACAAGCGTTGACTTTGACAGATTGGCGGTGGGGTTTCCATGTCTGTGTATTTGTGGGTATGTATACTCATGTGTGTGCGTATATTTTTTAGTAATGTACAAGTATTGAATTCCATGAAGTCGGGTTTCAGAGGTGTAAGGTCGTTAAAGAATTCGCAGTTAGACCTGAGAGGAGGGGCCGGGGCTCCCTGTGGAGACTCCCCGTCAGGTCAGCCGAGAGCATGGCTGTTTCCTGTGTTACGGCCTCATGAAGAACTCCCAGAGATGATGGAAGTGGGCTCTTGCAAAAAAGGGCACGTTTTTCCTGCTTCCCATGCCTCTCAACAAGATCAACAAGAGCTGTCCTGATTTAAAAGGTGAGACGAGCACGTGGAAGGAGAAAGGTCGCTGCTCAGCAAACCTCCACTCACCATTGTTTTCCTGTTTCAGGACATAGACAAGTTTGGCAACGAGATCACCCAGCTGGCCCGCCCGCTGCCCGTGGAGTATCTGATCATAGATGTAAGTTGCCTCGTCCCCGCCGGGCTCGCGGTGGGCACGGTGGAGGCAGGACTGCAGGGTGGCTGCGAGAGGGTGGCTGCGGCCTGGACAGCTGCCCTCTGCTGGCGCAGGACAACCAGGAGGTGTTAGAATTGACAAACTCCGCCCTGGCCAGTTTGGCTCAGCGGTTAGAGCATCGGCCTGCGGTCCAGAGACCCGGGTTCGGTTCCCACTTAGGGCGCGTACCTCGGTTGCAGTTTGTCCCCGACCCTGGTTGGGTTGTGTGGGTGGCAGCCACTCGATGTGTCCCTTTCACGTCCATGTTTCTCTCTCTCTCTGTTCCTCTCTCTCCCTCCCACTCTACCTGAACAAAGAATGGAAAAATGTCCTCGGGTAAGGATGATAAAAAAAATAAAAAAAAAAGAATTGACAAACTCCTGGCATCCCTGAAAAGCTCACAATTTTAAGGGCTTTTTCTTTTAGTTTTTTCCGCATAAAAACAACTTAGGTGTTAACTTTTCCCAAACTAAAGTGCAGCAAAGGGCCACCAGCTGGCTCACACGTGGCGCGTGCAGGAGCTGCCTGGTCGTAGCTACTGGCACAGCTGGGCTCATGATGGGCCCTCTGCTGAGTCGGTCCTCGAGGGACACAGCCGTCACTGCCCTTGAGCGAGGGGCAGTGGTTTCCTGGGTGGAGCTCCAGGAGCCAAGAAGCCACCTGGCTTCAATGCCTCTTCCCAGGGTCTCGGCTCCTCTCTGGCTTTGAGATCTGGTCACGGAGCTGTGTCTGCGGATCAGCGTGGTGACCGCCACAGGACGGAAGCCCAACAGTTTGTGGTGGTCAGCGCTCTGTCCAAGGGGATGGGAGCAGCCGTGCCTGCCTGCCGCCTGCTGGGATCTGTTTGGGCTGCTGGACTCGGGACGGCCATGTGGGAGGGGCTGTAAAATAGTTCTGCTTTTGGAGCAGCGAGTCCCCAGGAGCCGAGCCCATTGGTGCTCCATCCAACTGACAGCTTCCCAAGAACATATTTATTACCTAGGCTGTAAAGGCATCTGTTTTTAGACTACCTGGGGTGTAATTAAGATGCGAACAGATTGATGGAATATGCGCTTAGGAGGAGTTGGCATGATTTAAAGCCAGCTTTCTAAGGTCTTCTCTCCCAGTGGCCTCCCCGCCCCTTTGCTTTCATGGAGGAGCTAAGTTCTTGCCTTTGTGCATCGGCTGTATTTGGTTGACAAGTGAACACTTCCCTGTGATACCCCAGCTTCTGTTCCTGTGGAAGATGTAGCAGTTCTGAGAGCAGGTGCCTAGACGGGTGCTTAGCTCCTCTCCTGGCTGTCTGCTGTCCCCAAACCTTGTGACCGACCTGAAGCCGTTTTAGGCAGCATGAGCTGCGTTGCCCTGGGCTCCTGTGGAGGTGTTCTGGAGGTGCTCTGGCATCAGCTAGTCAACTCCAGCACGGGCTGGGTAGTGGGAGGGTTCAGCACAGGACAACGTGCTCAATGGCCTGTGTCCGCTCCCCCGGTCCCAGACTGGTGCTGAGCTCTCCAGAGGCAGTTACAGGTCTTAACAAGTACTTCTCTTTTTGTTGTTGTTAATCCTCATCTGAGGGTATTTTTTCCATTGATTTTCAGATAGAGTGAGAGGGAGGGAGAGAGAGTGAGAGAGAGAGAGAAACATTGATGTGAGAGAGACACATTGATTGGTTGCCTCCTGCACGACCCTGACCGGAACTGGGGGTTGAACCTGCAACCCAGGTATATGCCCGGAATTGAACCTGTGACCCTTTGGTCCTTGGTCTGATGCTCTAACCACTGAGCTCGCTGGCCAGGGCTAACAAGTACTTCTCTTAATTCTACATTTTCTCACTGGTAGGTGTTCTGTTGTGCTGGTCTACTGCTGGACCTGCCTTCCCAAAGGGAGTGGCCAAGCCATCCACAGGCTTTCTCCTAGCAGCATGGATAGCTCTGCCATTGTCTTTTGAACTGTGACAGTGGCTCAGACTGAGTCCCATATGTGTGGCCATTCTGAGGGCTTTACGAGTCTGAGCATTTAATCCCCAGAGCAGCCTTAGGAGGTGCAGGCACCTGGGGCGTCCTTACCTTGCAGATGAGCAAAGAGGACTAGGATCCATGGCTGACAGAGGCCACACAGCTGCGATGTGGCCCTAGAGCTCAGGTCTACACTCTTTGCCACGAGGCCGCATGGTCTGGTCAGTGCTCACCATACCAGTGGTGGGAACAGAGTCGGCTCCCAGATCTCTCCTTGTGCCTCTGCTGTGCCCAGATGAACACCCTCAAGTTCATCCAGGGCCTAGAGGGCCGCTGTGTGGGAGGCTTGTCGCATGGAAGCTGTCCCTTGGGTGACCTAGTGGGCTTGCGTTTTGTCTCAGAGGCCGACAGAAACTGCCCACGTGTGGCATGGTTTTGAAAACTATTAGAGGTGATTCTCCATTTGCTTCCCAGTCAGTTTCAGAATGTTGTTCAGGGTGGCCCCGTGGTCACCCGCCCCTCATGTGGACAGGTGGGCTCTGGCTGCTTGTTGTCTCGAGGGCTGGCACACCCTGGTTCACAGCACAGGTGACTTGACATGGGTCTGTCTTTCTGTTCCTTAGATCACAACAACTTTCCCCAAGGATCCAGTTTATACTTTTTCTATTTCGCAAAATCCATTTCCTATTGAAAACCGGGATGTGTTGGGAGAGACACAGGTGAGCTCTTTGTCTTTAGAAAATAATTTAAAGTACCTACTGCTTGTTTGTCTGGTGCCAGTTATTGCTTTTCCAAAGTGCCCAGCTTTCAGACTGTCCTGATTCACTCAGTGACAGAGCCCAGTGGGACCTTTTTCTGCAACACTGGTGATCACTGTGATCCCCTGTCCAGCCTGGGTGACGGATGGCCACCAGGCAAAGCCTGCCAGTCCTCGGGACGGAGCTGCAGCAGGCCCACTCTCAGTGGACTTCTCTTTGTCCAGAATGTTTTTGTCATTCTGCCATTTTCTTAAACAACTTGTCATCACTCTTGTTGATGGCGCCACCTCTTTGTGGGGGTGTCGCTCTGCTGTTCGCTCTGGCCCCTCTGTCTGCCTGCGTCTTTCTCAGGCACGAGCACGTGTGCCACGCGTGACCACCGTGCGCTCCTGAGCACAGGCGTCCCAGGAAGTGGTTCAGTGAGAGAAGGTCTGCGGTGGTTCCTTTACAAACATCTCCGACACTGTCTTCCCACCGCCCATCTGCCTAGGGGCTCGGGGCGGTTGCAGAGGTGCAGAGCCGTTTATTAGGGGTACACTCTCAAGTCTCCTGTTTTTAGTCCCATCCTCTCCTGACCCCCCCATTCTGCTGCTCAGTGCCCCCTGGCCTCTCCCCTGAGAGTGAAGGGTGACTCCTGTGCATGTGTCCTGCAGCCAGGTACTCCGATGTGCTGAGTGTCCACTCCTGTGCTGAGCCCCCATCAGTGGGCATAGAAAGAGAGAGGGGGGTGTCTGACAGCCTTGAACATGTTCAGCTGTGTCTTAGGAGGAAGGGGCTGTCCTCTGGGAACGTACTGGAACACAAGTTCATTCCCTGTCGTCCTGCCTGTCACTCTAGGACTTCCACAGTCTGGCCACCTACTTGTCGCAGAACACCTCCTCCATGTTCCTGGACACCATCTCCGATTTCCACCTCCTGCTCTTTCTGGTCACCAACGAAGTCATGCCTCTGCAGGTACGGACAGAGCAGGAGTGCCCACTGAGCACCTGGCATTGGTGGTCCCCAGGGGGGCTGGGCACAGGTGCTTCCTTTCCCCCCAGAACCAGAGAGGTGGTCAAAGTCCCCCTCATGTCCCGTGGGCAGCAGCTTTGCTCAAGGGGCTTATTGATCAAAAGGGGAATTTTCCATATTAAGTGTTGGCTCTCTGGGATGGGCCCGGGCTCCTTGGAGGGTTCTAACCACGAGGGATGTAGTGGTGGTAGCTCGGTGTCACCCACTGTGGGGCAGCAGAGCCCACAGAAGAGTCCTGTACTGATGGTTTCAGAGCCACAGTCGTGCTTTTCCATGTGTCCCCTCTTCCCAAACCAGTTGTTGTCACCTGGGCCAGATGATTGGCGGGCAGCCAGGCCCAGGTGCACGGCTACACAGCTGGCTCTTGTGAGACCCATGGGGGAGAGGGGGAGTGCACAGCTGGCTCCTGTGAGACCCATGGGGGGGAGAGGGGGAGTGCACAGCTGCACAGCTGGTTCCTGTGAGACCCATGGGGGAGTGCACAGCTGGCTCCTGTGAGACCCATGGGGGAGAGGGGGAGTGCACAGCTGGCTCCTGTGAGACCCATGGGGGAGAGGGGGAGTGCACAGCTGGCTCCTGTGAGACCCGTGGGGGGGAGAGGGGGAGTGCACAGCTGGCTCCTGTGAGACCCATGGGGGAGAGGGGGAGTGCACAGCTGGCTCCTGTGAGACCCGTGGGGGGGAGAGGGGGAGTGCACAGCTGGCTCTTGTGAGACCCGTGGGGGGGAGGGGGGAGTGCACAGCTGGCTCCTGTGAGACCCGTGGGGGGGAGGGGGGAGTGCACAGCTGGCTCCTGTGAGACCCGTGGGGGGGGGAGAGGGGGAGTGCACAGCTGCACAGCTGGTTCCTGTGAGACCCGTGGGGGGGAGGGGGAGTGCACAGCTGGCTCCTGTGAGACCCGTGGGGGGGAGAGGGGGAGTGCACAGCTGCACAGCTGGCTCCTGTGAGACCCGTGGGGGGGGGAGAGGGGGAGTGCACAGTTGCACAGCTGGTTCCTGTGAGACCCATGGGGGAGTGCACAGCTGGCTCCTATGAGACCCGTGGGGGGGGAGAGGGGGAGTGCACAGCTGCACAGCTGGCTCCTGTGAGACCCATGGGGGAGTGCACAGCTGGCTCCTATGAGACCCGTGGGGGGGGAGAGGGGGAGTGCACAGCTGCACAGCTGGCTCCTGTGAGACCCATGGGGGAGTGCACAGCTGGCTCCTATGAGACCCGTGGGGGGGGAGAGGGGGAGTGCACAGCTGCACAGCTGGTTCCTGTGAGACCCATGGGGGAGTGCACAGCTGGCTCCTATGAGACCCGTGGGGGGGGAGAGGGGGAGTGCACAGCTGCACAGCTGGCTCCTGTGAGACCCATGGGGGAGAGGGGGAGTGCACAGCTGCACAGCTGGCTCCTGTGAGACCCATGGGGGAGAGGGGGAGTGCACAGCTGCACAGCTGGCTCCTGTGAGACCTGTGGGGGAGAGGGGGAGTGCACAGCTGGCCCCCTTGAGACCCGTGGCGGGGGGAGTGCACAGCTGCACAGCTGGCTCCTGTGAGACCTGTGGGGGAGAGGGGGAGTGCACAGCTGGCCCCCTTGAGACCCGTGGGGGGGAGGGGGAGAGTGCACTTATGGTGGTTGCTACTGGGCTGTGGGCAGCTGGGCAGCATCCAGCCAGGAGGCCGAGCATGTGCCATGGCATGGGTGGCCTTTCTTTCTGCCCTAGACCCAAGGACACACCAGAGAGAAAAGAACAATTTCTTCCTGAGCCACTGAAACTGACACCATGTGTTTCCCCCAAGGCGACAGAGTAGAACGGAGAGCTGCCCCCTACCATGCTTTTCTCTATCAGCAGGCATGTGGCTGCTCTTGTTTTTTTCCAGCTTTTTCTTGTGTCTGTATTTTGTCCAAAACGACCCACTTTTGCCCTTTCATGTCAAGCACCCTGAGACCTGCCACCACTGTGCCTTCCCTGTGGAGCTGAGTTGAAGCTCCTGGCCCTGGTTCAGTCGCCGCCTGTCCAGTGGGCCAGTGGGGAAGAGCTGGGCCCTCCCCATCAGTACTGCTTGATGGGCAGTGGGTGCCGTTCTGTGGTCACTGTCAAACGTCACTTTCTGTAGACACTGTCTGAGCACCCTGAAGCCTTTCATAAACTTACAAAATTTACATAAACTATTTTAGTTCTCTGCTTTTGGGCCTGGAGGCCTGGGCTGTAGAATGTGCATTGGAAGGCATGATTGAGAAGGTAAAGGACCTAAGGGGCGAGTGAGGTGGGTGGACATAGCACCTTGGCTCCTGCCCATCCACCGAAGCCCAGGAGAAGGGATGAGTCTGTCTCCCAAGTGCTGACAAGTGACTGGCCTCTGGGAGGGTGCACATCCGGCTGGGTGCACTCGTGTGTGCAGATGGAGGTGCGTGGCGTTTATGTTTCATAGCATAGCCTGCGAGGTTTCCTTCATCCCCTCTGAAGTAGGTCGTGACGCCGGAGAAGAAGGAACCTAGAAGAATGTCTGCCGCAGGCAGAGCACGTTGGAACCTTCTTTTGGCTTCTTGCAGGACAGCATCAGCTTGCTGCTGGAGGCCGTGAGGACCAGGGACGAGGAGCTCGCCCAGACGTGGAAGAAGTCTGAGCAGTGGGCCACCATCGAGCAGCTCTGCAGTAAGTGCGCTGCCTTTCCTAGTCGCCAGGTCACACCTTGCTCCTGTTGCCAGAGCTGAGGGGCCCACGTGTGCTCTGCAGAGCTCCCAAACTGCCCCGGAAGCCTGCCCCCAGACACGTTCTGACAGGTGTCATGGGCAGCCAGCAGGTGCAGACGGACCTCTGCCGGGGCACACAGGCTGTCTGCTGTGACACCCATGCTGTGAACGCCACAGGCCTCCGGTGCACGGCTCCGTGGACCTGCACACATCTCTGCAGTGCACACACTAGTCTTCAAGCCTCTTGGGGCAGTTGGAGAGTCGTCGTTTTGGAGAAATGGAGACTTGATGTTCCCACGAGCGCCGAGAGTACAGAAACCTCCGGTGTCCTCGGGCTCTCCTTTTCCCACCAGTCCTCAAGGCGGCTGTGATCGGCGAAGGAGAGGGGCAGCACGGACTGGGGGTCTCCCTCTGGGAGCTGCCGCCTTGGGCAGGCACCCGCACAGCCTCTTCCTTGTGGGTTCGAGAGGTGCTGAGACGCCCTCTAGGACAGCCTTGAAAGTACACGTTAGGCAGTGTGTCCGCCGGGTCCCCGATCTAGCGGATAGGACTAGAGCCAGTTAGCCCAGAGCATCGTGCAATCGAAGCCGTGGCCGTCGGGCTGCCCCTCTCCTGACACTGCCCCGGAAGCTCGGCCTGAGAGCTTGAGCGTCCGTGTGCAGCTCTGCAGCTCTGCAGCCGGACCAGCCGAGCAGCCGCCTGCACGCTTGCTCTCCTGTCCCAATACTGCCTGGTGTTCTGGAGACAGAAGACAAGTGGTTCCCTAAACTCAGCACCCTGCAGCTTCACGTCCACGGTAGACAGTGGTGTGGTGCTGGCCAGTGGTGCTCAGCGCCTGGTATAACAGACTCTCCCATATAGTGGGCTGTCTGGCTGAGAAGGCGCAGAGGGGCGTCCTGTGGCCCTGGGGGAGGGCAGGTCAGCCAGGGTGTCATCTTGGAGGTGCATTGGCCATGTGGGGGTGAGGAAAACCGGATCTGAGAAGGTATGTCTGAGCACTCAGCATATCTCTGCCACCCTCAGAGACACTAGCCTACAGCTAGTGACCCCGTGGGAGCGGGCCCTCGGCTCCCCCAGGTGCTCGCTGGTGAAGTTGAGCTGCCGTAGCAGGGCCACAGCCTCTGCTGGGAGCTCCTGGCAAGAGTGCACTCTGCTGCCACATCCGCCCTGGGTCATCGGGTCCCACCGGGTGCTCACCCTGGCGTAGGACAGAGGAAATCACTGACCTTGTCAAAATGAAACTGTCGCCCTGGCCAGTTTGGCTCAGTGGTTAGAGCATCGGTCTGCGGTCCAGAGAGACCCGGGTTCGGTTCCTGCTAAGGGCATGTACCTCGGTTGCAGTTTGTCCCCGGCCCTGGTTGGGTCAGGGCCGTGCAGGGGGCAGCTACTTGGTGTGTCCCTTTTGCGTCAATGTTTCTCTCTCTCTCCCTTCCTCTCTCTCTCTTCCACTCTATCTGAGCAAAAAATGGAAAAAATGTCCTCGGGTGAGGATAAAAAAAAGGAAAAGAAGCATTCATGCTCATCAGAGGACTGTTAGGAACGAGACAGGGCTAGGCCTAGGCTGGGTGACGTGGGACTCACCTAACGGATACAGCTGTGCACCAGTGTCGCCACGGCGTGAGGTGCACTGCCCTGCGGCAGGCTGCCGGCTACACCAGTGCAGCCAGAGCACGTGCTTGCTCCACTTGCCCTGCGGTCCGTCACTGCCCGGCGCCGGAGCATGGCACGTGGCCTCGTGGGGAGCTCGGCACACTGAGGGTACTCAAAACAGCACGACGAGAGTGTGCGAGGTTCACAGAAAGGCAGAGTGAGGGTCAGCACCGTGAGTCGTCAGGGAAATGCAGGTTCAGTGAGGTGCATGTTCACGGGCCCCGCAGCCCACCCCAGGGCCCTCGCACGCCGAGAGTGTGGCCCCGCAGCCCACCCCAGGGCCCTCGCACGCCGAGAGTGTGGCCCCCGCAGCCCACCCCAGGGCCCTCGCACGCTGAGAGTGTGGCCCCCGCAGCCCACCCCAGGGCCCTCGCACGCTGAGAGTGTGGCCCCGCAGCCCACCCCAGGGCCCTCGCACGCTGAGAGTGTGGCCCCGCAGCCCACCCCAGGGCCCTCGCACGCTGAGAGTGTGGGCCCGCAGCCCACCCCAGGGCCCTCGCACGCTGAGAGTGTGGGCCCGCAGCCCACCCCAGGGCCCTCGCACGCTGAGAGTGTGGGCCCGCAGCCCACCCCAGGGCCCTCGCACGCTGAGAGTGTGGGCCCGCAGCCCACCCCAGGGCCCTCGCACGCTGAGAGTGTGGGCCCGCAGCCCACCCCAGGGCCCTCGCACGCTGAGAGTGTGGGCCCGCAGCCCACCCCAGGGCCCTCGCACGCTGAGAGTGTGGGCCCGCAGCCCACCCCAGGGCCCTCGCACGCTGAGAGTGTGGCCCCGCAGCCCACCCCAGGGCCCTCGCACGCTGAGAGTGTGGGCCCCGCAGCCCACCCCAGGGCCCTCGCACGCTGAGAGTGTGGGCCCGCAGCCCACCCCAGGTTTCTACTTAGAGACTTGTGCGGGGTGCTCGTTAGCTCTGTTGACAGTAGCTCAGAACTAGAAACCACCGAGTGTTGGTGACGGCCTGGGCAGCACGGCCACAGACGGCTTCCCACTCTGCAGACAGCAGCTGTGTTGGGCAGGGTTCAGGGTGTGAGCAGGGGACCCACAGTGGGTCCTCAGGCTGCATCTGCCTGTACTATTGGCTTCAAGTCCACTTGGACTCCGAGAGGCGGGGACATAGAGCTCAGGTGGCTGGAATGTCTTCCCCGTGCAGAAATGACCGCACCGCTTCTCTTCCCATCTGCAGGCACTGTCGGGGTGCAGCTTCCGGGCCTCCACGAGTACGGAGCCGTTGGGGGCCCCTCGCATGCTGCCACGGCTGCCATGTGGGCCTGTGAACATTGCACCTTTGTGAACCAGCCGGGCACCGGCCACTGCGAGATGTGCAGCCTCCCCAGGACCTAGGGCTCTGGCCCCGCTGGCAGGACTGCGTCCACCCAACCCTCTGAAGCCACGTCGTGGAGCCGTGCCCCGCGGTGGGCAGCCCTCCTGAAAGGCAGGGCAGTAGCTGCTCTGGGGTCTGGCCCACGAAGCCTCTCAGCACCAGGCTTCCCTGGAGGACGGAGCCAGGCTGTGCTCTGCCAGCTGACGCTCGGCTCCTAGCGGGGGAGCAGGGCGGCCTGGCGCGGACACCTTTCCGGTACCAGCCCCACTGTGGTGGGGGGACTGGCGCCTCGTCTCCACTGCGAGGAGGCAGGAGCTCGCTGCTGCACCAGCCTCCTCTCTGACGCTGTCCTCGCCCTCCCTGGTTGTGGTGGAGCTCTTGCTAGCCTCTGTACCCTGCGTCCTGGGGCAGGCCCTGCCTGTGGGGCCACTTCTTCCCCGGTAGCCATTGTCCAGTGGAAACGCGAGTGGCCACAGGCTGGCCGGCCTCCCGTCTGCTTGGCCTGCAGGTTACTTTGCTGCCCACCCTTTCTCCTGCTCTTACCCGACATTCGGTGGGAGCTAAAGTTGGCATTGGTTGTAATAACAGTTATCAGTAATTCTTGCCCAGAAGACTTTTATTTATTTTTTTAAAGATAAAAGCTGCATAAAAGGGGAGTGAGAGAGACTAGTTTCCACTTCCTTCCCTCCAGCGAGTCCCTGCGGGGGTGAAGGGGGTGAGTGGATGGGGACCCAGTCAGTTCTGGGAAGTAACCTCAGTGCCTGAGACTTCTCTGCCGAGCTGCAGGCTGTGGCAGCTGCAGACAGGCCATCTGAGCGGAGCTCAGCGTGGCTCCCGCCAGATGGGGCCCCTGACAGCTCTGGTCCTCTTGGCCCCATACTCGTTCCTTCCCACGGCCCCGTCCGGCCCTGGCCTCTGGCACAGTGACATGGCCACTGGTGGGGTTAGGGGCTTGGCCTCTTAGGAAGCCTCATGGGTCTGCCACGGGGGCCTGGACTGCTGCTTCTCTGCTGATGGTGTGAGGTCCAGACCATCCCAGGACAGAGGTCTGGTCAGACCTTGCACATGTGCTCCGGGGTCCCCACATGTCCTCTGTGGCTGGGCTATGGCCAGTCCTGCCCTGGGAACCTACCGGCATGCTAATGCCTCTTTGCCTTAACAAGAGCCGATCTCTGCTGCTCTGTGCCCACAGGAGAGGTGGCCTGCCAGCCTGCTCAGAGACTCACGTCTGCCCAGGGGCGGGGCAGGCCCAAGGGACCCTCCCTTTCCCTCAACCCTGTGCACAGAGAGCACAGGGGTTTTGGCTGTGGTGGTAAGGACCCTGGCATCTCCAGGTCCACTGGCACAGACTTGTCTGCTCTTGGGGCCAGGGCCAATCGGGTTGGGTTTGGCCAGGACAGAGCAGCTGATGTGGGGCAGCAGGAGGGCTAGAGCAGCCAGTCTAAGCACAGCCACTGTCGAGGACTGTCTGGCTGCTCTCCCAGCAGGCACACTGGCTAGAGCTCCAGTTTCTCGTCTGGTCCCTGCGATCAGATGTGAGGCTGCAAGCAGGTCTGCTACTTGACCTCCCTTCTGAGACCTCACCACCTCCACCAGCTCCTCTCAATTTGCTCTTGTTTTTTTTTTAATGTGTTTTTATTCATTTTTAGAGAGGGAAGAAAGGAGAGAGAAAGAAACGATGAGAGGGAAACATTGATCAGCTGTTTCCTGCATGCCTCCCACTGGGGATCAAGCGCATAACCTGGGCATGTGTCCTGACTGGGAATCAACCAGTGACCTCTTGGTGCAGGGTCGATGCTCAACCACTGGGCCTATCGGCCAGGCAATTTGCTCTCATCTTCACCTACCCAGCCAGCTCCCTTTCACCAGTATCCTCCTTGCTTGAGTTCTGACCTCCACATAGTCCATGTTCCTTTTGTCTTACTGGAGAAAGCATTGTGGTTTCTCTCCTCTGGCTTGGAGTCACTCTGTTCAGCAGTGCACTTTATTTTATTGCCCAAAGAGAGTCAGAGCTCAGTGTTAGGGTGGGTGGCTTGGCCAGGCAGCTCAACCTCCTCCTCCTGCACAGGAGGGGGGGAGTGCCCCCTGCATCCCACGTGCCCTCATGTGAGCACAACCGTCTGCTACCAGGCCCGCAGCTGAGAGAAGGGTGACTGCACACCTGCCCAAGTGAACACCGCCAGCACCTCTGACCAGTCTGCTCCTCTCGGTGCTCCGCTCCGCTCCGCTCAGGGCTGGTGGTGTGCATGGGCTGGGTGTGAGCACTGCCTGGACACGCCCTGCAGGGGACTAATAAAAGCACCTGAAGCGCTGCCGGGCTTCCCTGTCGTTCTGGCCCTGAGGCCTCTCCCTGTGCACTGAGTGTCTGTCTGCAGGGCTGGCTCATGTGGCCTTTGAGCCAGGTGTGGACCACTGGAGGGTAGAGACCCCTCTTCCCCTGCCCAGGTTCCTGGGCTCTGCTTCCAGTGGGAGGTCTGGGAGGAAGAGGAGCATGGCCTCCCTTGGGCGTCTCCTGTGCCTTTTCTGCCTGTCACCCATGTGGCTGCTCCTGGGCCTCTGCATGCTGGGCCAGGTGCACGTGGCCAGGCAGCAGGTGACAGATAAAGTCCAGGAGCCCCTCAGAGCTGCGGGGAAACAAGGCAGAGGTGACAAGCTGCTGGACTGAGTTATCTGGTCCCTCTGATTTCGGTGCCAGCTTTCACACATGCCATTCGGCACACTCCTCCAGGTGACTGCTCTCTGAGCAGGTATATAAAACACCTCCACTGGTGCCTGAGGGGCCCTGTGGTGGGCAGGCCCTCCGTGAGGCCTGTCCCTGAGATGACTGCTTGGGACAGTGTGGTTGGCATCTGACAGCTCCCATGGTCGGGTGTGGCTGCTGGCCCTGGGCACTTAAAGCTACTGAACTTGTTGGTTCTTGAAGTGAAGGTTCTCGGACCTCCCCCAAGAAATCAAGCAAACGGAGTATACTACTTGGAAACAGAACTTGGTCCCACACCCCTTTTCTGGCATGTGCGCCCCATGAGCGGGCTGAGTAGGGCTGTGCTTCCTCCCTGACCTGGGGGTGTAATTTGTCCTGAAGAAGATCAGACCACCTCCAGATCTGAGACTGCTGACCACCTGCAGGCTTCCGGCCTGGAGCAGTGTCACCCTGATGTCTGAGCTGGACTGTGGCCCTTTCCTCCTATGTGACCAGGATCAGCACTGTTTGGATGGGCTGGTGACGCTCTTAAGTCCTCATGTCACCAGATGTGGGCTTGCCTGGGCGTGGGACCGGGAGCCTGCTAGCCTGAGCAGAAGGGAGTGGGCCAGAGAAGCCACCCTCTTAACAGTGCCTAGAAGGGTATTTCTCTCCGCGCTGGGAAACAGCCAGTGGGGACCTGCATGTGGCTCACAGGCTTGGTGAGCAGAGCCCTCAGAACACTGCCCTGGGCGGGTGAGGGCAGAGCGGGCATCTCTGGAAAGGAGCATGTCCTCACTTAGAAGGCCAGCTGGGAGCTGGTCTTCCTCGCACCCCCTTGGCCCTCCCAGTCCCAGCATCCAGGTTAGCGTTTCAGGCCCAAACACCAGGGAGCAAAAGGCAAACTGCAAATGCCACACACACGTCGCCTCCCAGCACCCCGAGACGGGACAGTGGCTGCCAGCTGCCCTGGGGGTTAAGTGCCCGCCTCCACCTCAGCAAAGGCAGTTAGAACTTCTGCGACTGGTTCTTTTGTTTTGGCAGGCACCAGCCTCCCTAATGCCAGCCTAACTTCCAAGCCCAGAAAACGTTTGGCAGCGGGGCCCCTTCCACATGCCAGGCCTGGCCATGCCCCCCATATGCCTCTTGGGTGGCTTTAGAGATTGCCCCATTGGCTTCTTAAAGGAGGGCGGTGTAACTGGCGTCTGCAGGCACCTTTCAGGGGTGCTCTGGGTCTCAGGTGGTCAGCCCCTCTCCCAAGCCCTGAAGGACGAGGAGGGAACAGCCCGGTGGGGGCACAGATGTCTTGCCCTGCCTTGGCTCTCGGCCCCAGGCTGACTGCTGGTGATTGCTTCCAACCCAGAACTCCTCCGGCTCACCCACTGCGTGCAAACAGCACAGCCGAGCAAACAGCACAGCCCAGCACACCTCGTGCCAGGCGCGAGGGAGGCACTTCGTCCGTGTGGCCCAGCAGGTCAGACGGAAGGGACCCGTCCCTCGGCTCAGAGCCACCGGCTGTGGAAGTCGCAAGAGCCGACACCGCTGCTCCTTGACCCCACGGCGTCCACGCGCTCCCCAAAGCCGAGACCATCGCTTTAGGGGCAGCCGGCCGCTCCAGGAGACGCGTCCTGCGGCCGTGGGGCGGGCTCCAAGGGGCACGGGGCGGGGAGGGGGCGGAACTTGGGGCTGGACCCAGGGCACGCCGCGGCCCCGCACGGGCGTGGGAGATGCTGCGGACCCGCAAGGTTCCCCCGAAGGCCCCTCGGGCCGCGGAGGACGACGGGCCGGGCGGGAACAGGCCACGGTTTCCCGCGTTTGCGAAACTGCTCTGTGCGCCCGGAACCTGATCGCAGCGGCCCCGCCCCCCAACCGCCCGCCGCGGCTCCCGCGCTGGGCCGGCCCCGCCCCCGCCGCGCGGCCCCGCCCCCGCCACGCGGCCCCGCCCCCGCCTCGCGGCCCCGCCCCCGGCGCGCGGCCCCGCCCCCGCCGCGCCGCTTTACGGCGGAGGCCGCGCCGCAACGTGGGCGGCCGTACCGCGCCCCCTCCCGCCCCCGCCCCGGCGCCCCGAGGCGGAGCGGCCTCCCCACGCCACCCGCGCGCCCGGCCGGCGGCCCCACCATGGCCGGCCTCGTGCGGCGCGTGCACTACCTGGCGGGCTTCAGCGGCCCCGCGGCGGGCCCGGCGGCGGGCAGGCCGCGCGTGCTGCGCCCCGGGGCGGAGATCTTCCTGTCCACCGGGCGGGAGCTGGTGCACGTCTACGACCCCGAGGGGCGGCAGCTGACCGTGAGCGGCGGGCGCGGGGTCCCGGGCCGAGGGCCGCGCGGGGGGCGGGGGCGGCACGTTCCGGGCGGCCGTTCACCCGCAGCCTCCGCCCGCCCTCTCCTCCCAACGGCAGGCGGTGTACCGGCTTCCCGCCCAGGTGTGGCACCTGGAGGTCCTGGCGCTTCGCCGGGCGCTGCTCGTGCTGTGCGCCCGGAGGGGCGTCTACTGCTTGTCTCTGGACCCGGCGCGCAGGTAAGGAGGGGCCGCTGACGGCACCGCTTGGGCTGCCCCCAAACACCTGCCTGCGAGCCCCCCGCCCCCGGCCGCTCTCGCCATGGAGACGCGTGGGCCGGGGGCCAGAGCCAGCCCAGAAATCCAGGTGTGCCCCCCGCCAGCACCTGCGTCGCCTGACAGGCTGCTGTGGCTGGCAGAGCATCCTTAGTAAACGGGGTGCAGCTGGATGAATGCGGCCAGGAGCAGGACCTGCCCCCACTGGCCTGACGCCCCTCGGAGGTGGGTCCTCTAGTCCCTGGGTCAGTAGTTCGAGGAGACTGTGTTGGGGGGAGGCCCCCCAGGCACCAGCACACAGCCTGGACACAGGCCTGCTCACGGCTGGTGTGGGATGGTGACAGGTCTGTGCTGACTTCCATCCGAACCCCTGTTCCCGGAAGCCTCCTGTGCAGGTGTCCCTGGTGGACCAGTGCTGAGCAGAGCAGCCCACGGGGCAGGTGGGAGGAGGTGTGGGGCCAGCCACACTGCCCAAGGGCTGTGTGGGACTCTGAGACCCTCCCTGTGAAGACCAGGGAGGGGCAGGTTGTCATGGAGACAGCCTGGGAATACCTAGTGACACTCCCTGATGTTCTCAAAGGTCTGTGAGCCCGAGTGACGGGGACCACGAGGATGGTGAGCTCCTTTCCCCTGTGATCCCCGTGGACCCAGACACCTGTGTCCTCGCAGACGCCACCCTGTGCGCGTTCACTGTGCTGGACGACAAGCTCATCACATTGGCACAGGGCCCCGCCCAGTGGAAGGTGCAGCTGTTTGAGTGCCCATGTCCGGGGCAGGACCCCAGGGCCAAAGGCCCAATCGGCGAGGTGGAGCTGTCAACCTACACCCCCCCGGAAGGGAGCCCAGGGAAGCCCAGAGCCCCCCACTTCCTCCCAGTGCTGTGCTGCGTGTCACCACCAGGCTCCAGGGCTCTGCACAGCCACCTGCAGGGTCCCCGGGGCTTCATGCTGGAGGGCGCCCTCTTTGGGCTGCTCTTCGGAGTAGACGCTTGTCTCCTAGAGTCGCCTGTGATCCTATGTGGTCTCCCCGATGGCCAATTCTGCTGTGTAATCTTGAAGACCCTGGTCACCTCCAGGCTAGCCCCTGGGGACCCAAAGGCCCTTGTCAAGATCCTCCATCACCTGGAGGAACCTGTCATCTTCATCGGGGCCCTGAGGACAGAACCAGTGGCTGAGGACCTAGAGGACGCGCACTCTGACTGCCTGGTGGCACTCGGTCACCGTGGCCGGACGCTGGCCATCAAGGCCAGCTGGGATGAGGCAGGGAATCTGGTGCCCGAGCTGCGGGAGTACTGCCTGCCGGGGCCGCTGCTCTGTGCCGCCTGCGGTGGGGACGGCCGTGTGTACCACAGCACCCCCTCCAGCCTGTGCGTGGTGGACCTGGCCCGAGGGGGTGCCCCCTGGGACGCCGAGCAGCCCGATGGCCCCGCAGGCCTGCCCTCTCTGCTGTGTCCTGCCAGCTTGAACGTCTGCAGCGCTGTGGCCCTCGCTGTGTCGCCGAGGGTGTCTGAAGGTACGTGCCACTGTTTAAACCTGAGAAACCGAAGCTGTGGGGAGGGGTGGAGCCCCCCTTGGGCAGTTTGCCCCCCTGTGAACTGGCCTGTCCTCCCCGTGCCTCGTTCCTGTCTGTTGAGAGGGCAGGCTTGTTCCCGCCTGCCGCAGCCTCGTGGCTGACAGTCCTGTGTCAGGGTCGGGAGCGCCTGACGGTGCGAGTCCTGTGGCTTTAGGAGTGGGGTGTGTGCCACTCTGCCAGGGGGCGTGGTCTGCAGCTGGTGACACAGGGCAAGTGTCACCACGACAGGTCCTGCAGTGCAGGTAGTCCAGGGGAGATTCAGGCCTTGACATTTCTCCTGAGGGCCAGGAAACGCGCCTCCGCTCCCCGCAGGGCCTGCTGACGAGCCCACTCTGCACAGGAGGCGGCAGCTTCCCGGAGCCCTGGGTGTGTGCTGTCCAGGGTGGGGGGCAAGCAGCGTGTCCAGTTCGTGTTCCTGTTAGATGGTCCACGTGCGGACAGTTCTGCAGTGAGGGAAATGCTCGGGGGGAGGGGGACACTGCCCGCACAGGGAAGGAAGCCCCGTGGGGGGTGGACTTGGGGGGCACACGGCGGCTGGGCTTGGGGACAGGCAGACAGACAAGCGTGGTCCCTGAGGGCTCCTGGTAGCCCAGGAGCAGGAGAGCAGAGACACTCAGGCTCCAGAAAGGGCCACAGAGACACAGAACGAGGGCAGGGGTCTCCGGCACCCACCCCTCTCTGGAACCTCAGAGCAGCTCTGCCCAGCAGCCTGCCCGACCGATGTGACCCACACGGGTCCTTGTTTGCCCCTCTTTAGTCCCGACCATGTGTGATGTGCCACCGTGATGCCCCCTCCACTGTTTCGAGGTCCCCTCCCAGGAAGGGCCCTGTGGGACGTGTGCATAATGAGTCCAGGCAGCTCCGTCCAGACCCCGGCACGTGTCTGGGCTCTGGTCATCCCGGGTCCTCGTCTGGGTGCTGCTTTCTGCCAGCATTTGTCTTGTCTGGGGAGCTGTCCCGGCAGCTTGCCCTGCCCGCCCGCTGACTGGGGCCGGCCTGTGTCCATCCTCAGGGCACGCCGAGCTCCTGGCCCTGTCTGCCAAAGGCCGCTTGATGAGCTGCAGCTTGGACCTGGGCTCCAAGACACCTGGTCCCACCAGGGTGACCGCGGCGAACAGCGGCCGGAAAATCAAGGATTTGCTCTGTGGCATCGGCACTGTCTCTGAGAGGTAGGCCGTGGGCTTCGTCCCTGGGAGGCGGGCAGCCTCCTGCTGTGGACGCTGGTCCAGGCCAGGCCCGTCACCTGGCCTCCAGTCCCCAGCGCGAGCCCCAGACCGAACTGCCTGATGGAAGGCTGGCTCCCTCAGAAGACAAAAGGAGCCCCCACTGTTTCCTCAGACTGCCCCCTTTTCCTAGCCGGGGTGAAGGAGATCCTCTGCTCAGAGACCTTCCTCTGCCGGCAGCCCCTTCCCCTGACCCGTTCAGAGAGCAGGTCCCTCAGCGCCTCTCCCGTGGCCCAAGTGAGCGTCAGGCTCCAGGCCCCGGTGGACTAGGGCCGCGTGTGTGGTGCTCGGCCCCTCGCAGGGCTGTCTCTGTGGCTGCAGAGGGGCCACCTCAGAGCTCGGGAGCACAGCAGGAGACCAGCCCAGCACAGGCTCCCTCTAGCCCGTGTGGCCCTATCGGGGCTGGCTGGCTCCCGGCCGGTGGGCCAGGCCCAGGCGACGGGCCAGCACAGGGCGCGAGGAGGGCTGGTCTCCAAGGCAGGCTCTCCATGGGTGCATGTTGGAGCCAAGTTCTGGAGCCTTCTGACCCCAGGTTGGGGTGGCACCTACCGTCTCGGCTCTTCACCCCTGCCTGGTGCCTGCTCTCCCAGGGTGTCCTCTCTGAAGAAGGCTGTTGATCAGCGGAACAGGGCCCTGACGTGTCTCAACGAAGCCATGAACCTGAGCTGTGCCCTGCTGTCCAGCCGGGAGGGCCCGCGGCCCATCTCGTGCACCGTCACCACTGCCTGGTGCCGCCAGGAGCTGCAGGACGTGCTGACCGCCACCTGCTTGCTGGAGAACAGCAGCAGCTTCACCCTGGCCCGGGGCTGGGCCCTGTGCCTGCAGGTGCTCCCCAGCTCCCCCGCCGCACACCTGGACTCAGCCGGCTCGGCCGTGACCTACACCGTCCCCGTGGACCAGCTTGGGCCCGGCGGCCGGCGGGAGGTGACACTGCTCCTGGGCCCTGGGGAGGACGGCGTGCTCAGCCTGCCCCTGACCGTGTCTTGCGCGCTCTTCCTCAGCCTCAGGGAGGTCGTGGGCGGGGCCCTGGCCCCCTCGGACTCTTTCAAGGACTCCTCCTTGGACGGGTGTCCCCCCGACGTTTTGCCTGAACAGGGGGGCATCTGCCTGCCCCTGAGCGAGCACACGGTGGACATGCTGCAGGGCCTGCGCTTTCCTGGCCTGGCCGCGCCCCCCGCGCAGGCGCCCGGGGACCCCGTGGACACCTTCCTGGAGAGCTGCCGCAGGCCTGGCGGTGAGCCGGCGGGACCCGAGTCCCTGCGCGCCAAGTACCTGCCCCCTTCCGTGGCTGCCATCAGGGTGTCGGCAGAGCTGCTCAGAGCCGCCTTGGGGGACAGTGGCTCAGGTTGGTGGCACCGACTGGCTTCTCCTGGCCTCGGGGCCCTGAGCCCTGTGGCTGTGCTGAGGCCTGCAGACCTGGGTCCTTCCTCACTGTCCCAGGACCCGTCCCGGCTCATGGCCCACACCTGTGTGTCCTAGGCGTGTCCCTGTGCTGCACCACCCTGCAGTGGCTCCTCGCCGAGAATGCCACCGTACACGTCGTGAGGGCCCAAGCGCTGTCCTCTGTTGAGGGGTTGGCCCCCGATGGCACTGGGCTCCGCCTTGACGTCCGCGAGGCAAGTAGGGGTTGGCTCTGCTGTCCTCGGGAGCACGGCTCGATGGCCGCCGTTCTCAGTGGGGTCCCCGAGCATACCCAGGTGGCCCCAGAGGAGTCGCCCCGTGGGCCCACCCTGTAGAGGTTTCCCAGTCCGCTGGCGTCTGGGGCACGGCTGTGCCAGGACCCCCTTCGCAGGGCCCCCGGCACTTCACACACTGCTGGAACTCAGCCAGCGCCTGGGGACCACACTGTCCCAGCCGCTCAGCCCAGATCACTGGAGGGCCAGGCCAGTCACGGAAGCCACTTACCGGGTGCAGTGGTGTCCCCTCCTCCCGCACACCTCCCTCCTGGACTCCTGGCAGGCGTCCTGGGTCACACCTGCCTGGCCCTCACGTTCAGTGCCGCAGACGCACAGAGCAGCCCCGGCGGCCAGGACATGGCCCCCCGGTGGTGGGTGGCAGCCGCCTTGGCCTCGGGCACCTGGCCACTGCCCACTGCACAGCCCTTGACACTCACAACCAAGCCATGTCTGGGTTGGCTGTCTTGGCCTTGAGGTGGCCCTGCAGGAGGAGGGCAGCAGGGTCCTCAGCCCCTGGGGACCCCACGTCCCGGCACTGGGGTAGAGCTTCCATGACAGTGTCCTGCCTGGTGTGCCCGGGCCCCTGGCGTCCTGCCGTGTGCGTGGAGAGCAAGCCCCTTGACCTGGCTCAGCCTGGCCCTGCTGGTTTCGTCTTCAGCTCCGTGTAGATGAAACCTCTGGGAGGGCACATCTGGACCTTGACCGCCCAGCCCACTCCCAGCTTTCACACCTGAAACCCTGACTGCCGTCAGGTGACCTGGGTGGCCCAGTGTGGGCTGTGGGAGGGCTCCAGGCCAGGTCACAGCCGCCACCTTGTTCTAGAGAGCACCATAGGGGGCAGGGTGCTTCCTGGACGGGAGCTGCCTTGCTGTGGGTCAGCTGGCTGGTTCTTTAGGTGAGAATAGCCGATGGGCAGAGAGACCCAGCACCTGGCTTTGCCCAGGACGGCACAGGGGGCAGCCCGGGGGTCGGGGGTGGGCACGAGGCTTCTCCTGTGTTGCAGGTGGCGGTGACCGACCTGTGCCCGGCGGGGCCCATTCCGGCTGTGGAGGTCCAGGTGGAGAGCCCCTCTCTGGCCAACATGTGCAGGGCACACCATGCTGTCGTCGGACGTATGCAGGTGCGTCAGCCCCGCGGGGGCGTCTGCACCAGGTGCAGGGGCACGGACCACGGGGTCTGGCTCCCTGCCTCGGGGTGCCGGCCAGTCTCTCCCCCTCCTTTCTGCTTCCAAACACACGTGTTGTGCAGATGAGCTGGGGGGGCTGCTGCAGTCCCCAGGGGGTGCCCAGGACCCACTTGGCCGAGATTGAAGGGAGAGGCCCTTGCTGGTCGCCTGCAGAGGTCGGCTGGAGGTTACCACGCTGCCTGGCTGAGCAGAGGCCACGTGGAGAGGCCGGGCCCTGGGCTCAGGTTCTAGGACAAGGTGTCAGCTCGGCTGACGCCCCGTGTCTTTGCCTGGAAGTGGGAGTGGGTGGCCAGCCCCTCCCACAGCCCCCGGGCCTCTGCTTCACTGCTGTGGGGCTGCGGCCATGGCCTCCGGCTCCAAGAACGTCAGTTCCAGAAAGTGTCAGGGTGCCCTTGGCCAGACGCAGCTCCTCACCTCGCACGGCCTCCCCTGGGGACCCGCCAGCACCTGCTCCCGGGCCCTGGCCAAGCCCCGAGAGTCGGCACCCACAATCTGAGCCTTGACGAGGGTCTGAGGGTCTGAGGGCTGCTCCGGACCTCGGCTGAGCCGGACCCCTGCACTCACCCTGGCCGACAACTCTGATGACCACCTCTCAGGGCACCATGGCCCTTCTGCGACCCCTGATCCCATCCCGCCGTGACCCCAGTTATCACCTCTGCCGTGACGGCCCTGCCGGGCATGTCCCGAGGCTTTGTGCCCAGGCTCAGGAATTTGGTCCTGACCTTCGGGTGGCGGGAGTGCCCCCTGTCAGGCTCTGCCCACCGGGGGCGCCTGCCTTCAGATGGTCCCCGCTCTGTGCCGACAGCAGGCCCGACTCCTGCGTTTTTCTGCCCAGGGAGGAGCCAAGCAGGTCCCGGCCCTCTTGCTGGGCCTGAAGTGTGCGGGCGCCCCTGACCTTGTGGGCATGGCCGCCCTGAGCCGGACAGTTAGCCCCTCAGGGTTTCTGGATCCTGTTGGGTGCGCAGCGTCTCCTGGGCCCTCCTGTGGCCCCACCGTGGCCCCATGTCCTCGGGGCTCTGCCCAGAGGCAGCAGGGCCTCTCCGTGCCTGTCTGGAACTGGGGTCTGAGCCCTGGGAACCAGGGTGGCTCCCCCAGAACGCAGGCCTCAGAGCAGCCCTGCAGTGGCCTGAGTGACCCTGCAGCCCGGGCAGGAGCAAGGACGCGGGAGGGTGGGCAGCAGGAGCTGGTGGGTGCCTGCAACGCAGGGGGCGGCCCAGGGGCCCAGGAGGAAATGGGGTGAGGCAGGGAGCCGGGGGAGGGGAGGGGCTGCTGACTCGTGCCCAGAGGTCTGGTGCTGCCGTCACCCTCAAGCAGCCTGTCCTTTGTCCCCCCAGAGAATGGTCATGGAGCAGGCCGCCCGGGACTCCAGCCCCCCTGACCTCCGCATGCAGTACCTCCACCAGATCCAGGCCAACCATGAGGTGAGGCCCTGGGGGTCCCATCCCCGAACCTCCCAGCAGCCTGGACAGTGAGGACTGTCTGTGGCAGGGTCATGTGTTGGCCAGCACGGCCTACCCAGGCCTCACAGCTGAGACGGGTAGGGGCGACCCTGGCCAAACGTGGGCTTGGTCACTTGTGTCTCTGGCCCCGCTCCTTCCTGTTGGCTCAGACCCTTCTGTCACGTGGGGTGTGGTCTCCCCTTCAGCCCAGCCATGCCTTCCTGTCCTGAGGCCGGGCAGGTTGTCCCACACAGAGGCCCAACCTGTCTCAAGCAGGGTTTGTGTCCCAGAGGGACCGGTGGCGGACGGGTGGGGGGCCAGCTGTTGCTGCTCGCGCCCCTGCAGACGCTGCTGCGGGAGGTGCAGGCCCTGCGGGACCGACTGTGCACGGAGGACGAAGCCAGCTCCTGCGCCACCGCCCAGCGACTCCTGCAGGTGTACCAGCAGCTGCGCAGCCCCAGCCTCCTGCTGCTGTGACCCCAGGTGAGCTCCCAGCCCCGCCCCCCGGCCACTCACAGCCGAGAAGCACCGAGGACACGCAAGGCTCCTTCCGGCTCGAGCTGGCGCCAGGTGCCGGCTGGTTGTGGCTGTGGGAGGCCAGGGAGAGCTGGCCACCTGGCCGCTTCTGGGGTGTGCTTGGAGAAGGCGGGCCGTGGAGTGGACGCCGGGCCCTGTGCCTGCCTGGCCCCTGTCCGCCCTGGGTGCAGGGCCTCGGCTCCCATCACCCCTTCCCTTCACCCGCTGCCCGTGTCTCCGCCCTCAGCCTTTCCCGCTGGGCCGTCTCCGCCAGCACGTGGGGGTGGGATCGGCGACATCACCTCCGCTCGGAAGTCTCCACTCGGAAGCCCAGCTCAGGACAAGGTGCTGGCGAGAAGCAGGAGCGGCATTGTCAGCGGCTTCCGGAGGCCAGGGACAGATGGTTTGGGCAGGACGTGGAGCGGGTTTGTGTCTGGCCGTCACCGTTCCGGGAAACACCGCCTGCCCGCACCTGCCCTGCACCCACTCGGTGCCGCGGCCCTGCCTCCACACTGCCAGGAGGGGCTGCCTGTGACCAAAGCATAGGACTGGGGGTGCTCCAGGGTGGCCTGTGACCTGGACACTACTCAGCCGGGTGCCTGTGGTCTGGGGCACCCAGGGCCCAGTGGGTGGGTGGGCCCAGCGGTGCTGGTGTTTCAGTCTGGGGTGACTCCTGGATGTCACATGGTGCTCTCTGTGTGGGGCTGAGGGCTCTGCTGCCACCACAAAGGACCCTTCTGTGAGCTGCCTCTGCCTCCGCTGCTTTTGTTACCCCCCCCCAAATGGGCGGTGCTCCGACCCGGATTCGGAGCCCCCAGCTGCACACCCGGGGGTCCTGCACTGGCCTATTTGTGGCCCTGGGGTGCAGCACCGCACACGGCATCCTGGGGAGACAGTACCCCTGAGCAGAGGCAGGAGAGGGACGGGACAGACGGGACTCAAGGGGACACCTCAGTCCGGCCGTGACACAGTGGGAGCTGGGTGAGCCTGAGGCCTGCCCACTCGGGAACAGCACACGCAGGTGTGGAGTGGGCGCCAGGGCCCCACAGCCGAGAAGGTGACAGCTGCCCCGGGCAACGCTGGGCCAAGCCCTCGCCTGCCTGGGGGCCCTCTCGGCCCCAGTGTGGCCTCCACGTGCAGTGGGCTGTGTGAGGCCCTGGGCTGGCCCTGCAGTAACGTCCCCTGCTCTCGGCTCCAGCCTGCCCCAGCCGCAGCCTCTCTCCACCCGGTCCCAGCCTGCACCCCATTGCGGGGTGTGAGGGTGTCCTGCCCTGGCCCCTTCACTCTTCCCGCTGCCCCCTCCAGCGCTGCCCCAGGCTTTGTGGGCACACTCAGAGTGTCTCAGGCAAGGCACTGTGGCTGGGGCTGCAGGGGAGGCCCCTCCCCAGGTGCCACCAGGGGGCAGCACAGGCCGCAGCTTGGCAACCTCAATCCCCACAGGCTGGGCTCCCAGGCTGTTCCTCCCTGAGTTAACTGGTGTCTACCTCTGAACCCAGCCCTTCCTTGTTCCTAAGGTGAGGGGAGGGCTCAGGGGTCCTTGGGGAGGAGCTGTGGGAAGGCCTCGCGTGACTGCAGGTCCTCTGTGTCCCCGGGCCTCTCAATCCCTTTCTGACCTCCCCTTCTCCCTGTTCACACGTCACCTCTGCACCGTCCCGTCGTGTGTGTGTGTGTGTGTGTGTGTGTGTGTGTGTGTGTGTGTGTCCCCGCCTTCCTTTCACAAAGCGCTCTGACTGCTGACCCCTCTCCTTGGGCCACATGGGCAGGACTCACCAGAGGGGACTTCAGGCCCAAGCAAGGGCTGGGGCTGCGGGGGTGCTGGTCCTGCAGGAAGTGGCCGGGGCGACTGTCTGGTTAAGTCATCTGTCCGAGCTCGCCCCCCCCCCCGGGCTCTCTGGCTTCGCCCGTGCTGTCTCCCACTGTGCGCCCAGCCCCACTGCCCCGTCCCAGGGGACGTGCCTCCCACCCGAGAGGCATCAGCCTGTGTGGGGGTCCTTGTGAGCTGGGGCCTCTGGGTGCTGGCTGCTTTGGGGAGGCAGAGGGGAACCATGTCTGGTCATCCACTCTGGCCCTTGGAGAGACAGCCAGCGGTGGGGCAAGGCGGGTGAGGATCTCCATGCAGGTTAGGAGGGGGCTTGGCGAGAGCCCCTTTCCTGGGTTGGGGGTCTGGGTGCAGTGAGGCAGGTGCAGGAGCTGAGAAGGGCCCTCCGTGGCCGTTTGGGAGGTGTGGAGGTCACTTGTTCATCAAATGCTGGCAGGATTCCCTAAGACCGTCCGACTGGCCGCCTTGTCTGGGGCCTCCCGGCTGCTCCCCGCGGGTCCCGCTGGGTGGAGAGGGCATCTCCTCCCCAGACTGGGGAGGTGTGTGCGGCGGGGACAGGACACGAGACCCAGGGCCGTGGCTGTGCAGGCTGGGGTGGGGGCGGTGACCGGGTGGACGTTACTCCCGAGCAAGCCCCGGACACAGCATTTCCCGGGACTGAGGGATGGAGAGGCGGTCGCGCGCCGCAGGCACCGGGGCCGCAGGGAGCGAGGGCGGCGTCCAGGCCCCGCGCCGAGTCACCAGGCGCAGCCCGCCCCGCCGCGCCGCTGCCACTGAGCCCACCAGCCGCTGCGACAGACACGGTTTAATGGGGGCGCGGCCGCTCAGTACTCCCAGAGCGCGACGCCGGCCGGCGCGTCCGCGTCCGCGCGCAGCAGCCCCGAGGCCCCGCCGCGCAGGTACTTGCCGCTCCGGGCGCGGATGGCCAGGCGGCCGCGCTCGCGGAGCTCGAAGAGGAAGTCCTCGGGCCGCTCGCCGTCGCTGCACACGCTGCCGTGGCTGCCCGTGTGCCAGAACCCGCCGCCCCGGCCTGGGGGAGGGCACGCGTCGGGGGTCGCTCCGGCCCGCGCGCCCCCCCCCAGCTCCGGCCCGCGGCTCCCCCAGCTCCGCCCCGCGCCCCCACTCGCCCCGGTTCCCGCGCCATCTGCACCTCGGATCTGGTAGGCGCCGTCGCTGAAGCTCAGGTGGAAGACGTCGTACACCGAGCGGTTGGTGTCCAGCTGGTTGGACCCGCGGCGGTGGCACACGAAGCCGTCCAGGCCGCGCAGCACCAGGATGGGCCGGTTGATGAGCTTCAGGATGAACTCCTCGTCCTGGCCTGCAGAGAGCCTCCCTGTCCTAGCCGGTCGGTGGGGTGCCAGAGAGGCGCCCCAGAAAGCTCCCAGCAGACCCGGCCTCCGGGCTTCTGGCCCTGACCTGCCGTCACTGTTCTCGTGACCTCGCAAGGGGCTCCGCCTGACCCAGGGCTTCCCGGAGGTGCGGGGAGATGAGCGCCCTCTGGGAGCTAACTGTTCCCCTGACAGCAGCAATGTGACTAGTGCCAAGGACAGCACCTGATCCATGGGGGGCGGGGGGCAGCTCTGGGTGGACACGGGGTCTCTGAGCAGGCGCTGTCCCTGGGCAGAGGGTCCAGCCCGGTCACCCAGTCAGGCGGGGAGTGCTCACCCACGAAGTCGCTGATGGCTGCCAGCTGCCCATTCTTTTTCATGCACACGTAGCGCCCATTACTGGCCTTGAGGGCCACCCGCCGGCCACGCCACTCCATCTCAAACATGGTGCTGGCCGAACTGGGGGCAGGACAAGGTCCCTTCAGAGCAGCAGGACATGGGGGCTCAGGGCCAGGGTTCCTCCTCCCCCTCAGGTCCAGTACCACCCCACAGGGGAACAGGCACTTGCCTTCCACTGATATGCCCACCTTCATTAAGAGCTGACGACCCCCCCCCCCCCCAGTAGGCATTCTTCCCTGGCTGGGCTGCTACAAAATCCTCATGGTGGAGGGGGTGGTGGTGGAGGGGGTGGCGGAGGTGATGGTAGAGGTAGTGATGGAGGTGGTGGTGGTAGAGGTGGTGATGGAGGTGGTGGTGGTGGTAGAGGTAGTGATGGAGGTGATGGTGGAGGTAGTGATGGAGGAGGTGGTGGTGGTAGAGGTGGAGGTGCTGGTGGTGGAGGTGCTGGTGGAGGTGGAAGTAAAGGTGATGGGTGTAGGATGGTACACTCACACTTGTGTGGCTGTGGCCTGGATACCCCCGTGAGTGACCAGGGTCCAGTAGCCCCCAGTGCTGGAATAGAAGGTGCACTTCTTTGTCTCCCGGTCAATTTGCATCAGGAAGGTCTCGTGATCCAGTTCTTCATCTTGGTTGGCTGAGATGTTGACCCCTGGAGGGAGGAGATGGGAAGCCCCTCACGCCTCTCCCTGGGTGGGTGGGGAGCAGAGGGGTGGGCAAGCAGCTCTTGGGGCAACCCCGAAGCCAGAGGGGCTCATCTAGAACATGGGAGGATTTAGAAGGCACTTCTCAGAGGGTCTGGGAGCTCCGCCCCCGGGGCCATGTGGGCACAGGGCACCCCACACCCTCCCTTAGCTCCTTGGCCCAGCTCCGAGCGCAGCCAGCGAGGCCCTTCCGTGCTGACAAGTCCCAGCCTGCTAATCAGCAGGTAATCTGCTATTTATAACTCGCCCTAAGCCACTGTGTGGGCACAGTGGGGTCCCTGTCCTCCCCAGAGCCATGGCTCAGGACACAGCCCAGGCCTGGGGTTCACTCCTGGCACTGCGCAGGGGCTGAGCCCGAGTCACCTCCCCAGCCTCCCTCTCAGGTGTGGGGTCCCCCAGGAACCCTTGAGGACGGCAGGGCTACTGAGGCTCTGCCTGGGTTCCGGGGCCGGGGCCAAGGGGCATCCATGCCCAGGTGGGGGCACCGAGCAGGCCCTGGGGGCCTTCCCAGTATCTATGCATAAACCCAGTTTCTGTTTCCATGGCAACTGGCCAGGTTGAGTGGTGTGGCAGGTCACAGCTCATCTCCAGCTGGGGGAGCAGGCGGGGTGGCGGCAGAACCCACCAGGGCCTGAGGGGCGGAGCCAGATCCTGTCCCACCCTGCCCCTGGGAAGGAAGGCCAGGCACGGGGCAGGCTGGCGCTGGGGAGGCTGAGGCCTCCCCCCGCCACCCAGGCTGGGCCCCCTCACCCCTAAGTCAGTGCTCGGAGAAGGCGGCTGGCGGGTTCTTGTCCGCCCCCAGCTCCGGTCTGTGAGCTGCACTGAGCTAAGTGAGCGCCCGCTGCTCTGCGCTCTCCATTGAGCACAACACGGGAAACGGCCCTCCCTCCCGGCCCTTGTCCGGTCTGCGGGGAGTGGCGGCCGCACGACAGTCCAGCTCCGTGACCAGTGTGGGCCTGGCCAGAAACGGCCTCCGGGGAAGGCAACACCCTGAGGGGTGAGGAAGAGGCCCCAGCAGTGCAGAGCACACCCTCCCGCAGATGAGGTCTGGGCTCCATCTCACAGTGCTGCCGGGGCCTGACCGCGAGGCGGGAGACACCTGGAGTCCTGGCTGGTGCCCGCAGAGCACAGACCCCACTCCGGGAGGGACTGGTCACCAAGCGGTGTGCGAGCACCCGGGGGCCTGCAGGGGTTTACAGAAGAACCTTCCTGACTCCTGCAGTCCCGAGGAGAGCCCGGGCCCCTCTTTCCTCCGGACTGTGTCCTGTTTAGAAGTGAGGCCCGGAACAGCGGCAGCTGTCCTGTGACCATGAGGGCGAGCTGTTCCTCAAGGAGCGGCGGACTTGGGTAATGTCACTGAGCTGGCAAGGCTGTCCTGCCTGGGACACCCCAACCCTTGCCTCCAGACACCCCTTCATGAGAGAACCAGTGTCGTTCCGGTCACTGGCAGCAGCAAACGCGGCGTCAGTGGAGGCCGGGGACAGCAAAACAGAGACACCAGGGGAACACAGGCCAGCAGGGGGTGCCGCAGCCCACTGGGAGGCGCGGGCTAGGGGCTGCCCGGCCAGGACAGTGACCGTCTCCAGGCTCCTCTCAGCGCCCGCGATGCAGCTGCCACACATCTGGGGCCCTCCAGGACGGAGCGGCCACAGCTTGCTTCCACGCAGGGACGCCAAGTCGGCGAGCACGGGGGCCAGGCCACATGCCGCCAGGCTTATTGCAAGGGCAGCAAGGGGACACGGGGGAGTTACCTCAGCTTCCGCAAGGGGAGGTGGTTCTGGCTGTCAGTGGGGGCTCCCCCATCAAAGGTGTGGGATCAGATCCTGCGTGGCCCAGTGGATGAAAAATGGTCCCTACGACACTGTCCCTCACCACCACCACCATCTCCAAACCAACACCCCACCACCACCATCACCATCTCCAAAACAACACCCCATCACCACCATCACCATCTCCAAACCAACACATCACCATCCAAACCAACACACCACCATCACTATCACCATCTCCAAACCAACACCCCATCACCACCATCACCATCTCCAAACCAACACATCACCATCCAAACCAACACACCACCATCACTATCACCATCTCCAAACCAACACCCCACCACCACCATCACCATCCAAACCAACACATCACCATCCAAAACAACACACCACCATCACTATCACCATCTCCAAACCAACACCCCATCACCACCATCACCATCTCCAAACCAACACACCACCACCACCATCACCATCTCCAAACCAACACACCACCATCACTATCACCATCTCCAAACCAACACACCACCACCACCATCACCATTTCCAGACCAACACACCACCACCACTATCATCATCTCCAAACCAACACACCACCATCACCATCACCATCTCCAAACCAACACCCCATCACCACCATCACCATCTCCAAACCAACACACCACCACCACCATCTCCAAACCAACACCCCATCACCACCATCACCATCTCCAAACCAACACACCACCACCACCATCACCATCTCCAAACCAACACACCATCACCACCACTACCAACACACCACCATCACCACCACCATCTCCAAACCAACACCCCACCACCACCATCACCATCTCCAAACCAACAGCCCACCACCACCATCACCATCTCCAAACCAACACACCATCACCACCACTACCAACACACCACCATCACTATCACCATCTACAAACCAACACCCCACCACCACCATCACCATCTCCAAACCAACACCCCACCACCACCATCACCATCTCCAAACCAACAGCCCACCACCACCATCACCATCTCCAAACCAACACACCATCACCACCACTACCAACACCACTGCCATCAACACCACCATCCCCACCACCACCATTATCATCTCTAAACCACCACCGCTAACTACCATCACTACAAATATCACCATCATAAAAACCACTACCATCAACACCATTACCACCACCACCACCTCCCACACGACCATGAGTCTGGCTCACAAACTGAACATGTACTTTGTACCCAGCATCTCCTTTGACTCAGAGGAAGCTTTTCACAAGGTGCCCGCATCCTACTGACAAGCCACAGGTGGGCGTGGCTCAGGCCAATGCCAGTCGCTGGACCATAAGGCCCGCGGTGGGAGGGACCTGGGCTGTGCGCTCCGTCGCACCCAGGACCTGGCCACCCAACAGGACGAATGCTGGGGAGGTGCTGGAATCCTGCCCCTGCACGGGACTGGCCTGGAGGACTCTGACTGCAGCCACGGCGGGGCCACTCCTCCCAGGTGCTCCCGACTGGGCCTCTGCCATCTGGACGGGGTGGGGGTGGCCCTGGGCCAGGCCAAGGTGTGTCTGGATAATCCCGGGTGCACAGAGTCAAGAGCGCAAGTGGGAGGCAGCTGGCCTGGGTTGCGGCTGCTCCGGACAGCGTGGGGACCTCGCTTCCTCGCGGGGAAGGAGGAGCTGCCCCGTCATCCCACAGGCCTGCGTGTGGCAGGGCCCGCCAGTCACACGGGGCTGGTGGCCAGTGGTCCAGGAGGCAGGGGAGCCAGGCCAAACCCACCAGGCAGACAGGGCCCTCCCGCCAGGGAGCACAGGCCCGGGAGGAGCAATCTGCTCCCTACATCCCCAGGGCTGGAGGAACCCCAAGGTCCCCCCCACTCCAGGGGCTGGACGAGGACCCCCCGGTCAGCCATTTGGGGGTGTGGGGACCACTGCTCTGGTCCTACTTGCTCCTCCCCCCGGCCTGGGTACCTTCCCCAAGTTCCTTTAAAGTTCAGAAAGTGAGGGGGTGAGAGAGAAGGGATGGGAAGCGGGGGGCCTTGCCACCCCCCGCTGGGCACTGCCCATGTGGCTTTCGCCTGGCTGTTCTGAGACAGAGCGCCCTCCTTCTGACCCCAAAGCCAGCAGCCCTCCACGGGGACCCACATGGCCACGGCCCACCCCTGCGCCAGCACCCCCCTCTACCCCTCGACGGGCCCCCCCACGGAGCCCCGCGCCGCTCACCTTGCCGCACCGACACGTAGCGGTGGTTGGCAGCCACCAGTACCACCTGCGGGTGACTCTCCTCCAGGTCGAATAGCTCGTCTTTGCCGGGCCGGGTGTTGCGGCCCGCCCTGAGCGTGCCGGTGGGCCCCACGGGCGCCAGGTAGCGGCCGTCACAGTCCTTGAAGGCCAGCTTGCCCGCCTTGAACTCCAGCGTGTAGCGGGCCCGGGCCTCGGGCTCCCCGACCAGGCGGCCGTCGCTGCGCAGGTAGCGGCTGTCGCAGGACCGCAGGCAGTACTGCCCGTTCTGGAAGATGAGGGTGATGAGCGCGTCCACCCCCCACGGCGTGTTGCTGTCGGCCGCGATCTCGTCCTCCTGCGGGCACAGGTGCGCGTAGCGCCGCCTGCTCACGCTCAGCAGGTGGGCCTGCGGGTGGATGGCCAGGTGCACCGTCCACAGCTCGGCCGGCGAGATGGCCGTGGCAAAGCACGACAGCCGGTCCTCGGTGCCGCCGAAGAAGCGGCCGTGGGGCTCCGACTGCAGCGCCCAGCGCCCGTCAGGCTGCGGCAGGACCAAGAAGCAGCAGTCGCGGGTGGGCAGCTCCGCCTCGCAGGCCACGCGCCCGTCCTCCTCCGCCGACAGGTAGCGGCCCAGGTGGCTGCTGCGGAGGAGGACGGCCGTGCTGTGGCCCGGGATGGGCTCTAGCACCCACATCTGCTTCCTCTTGAGGCTGGGCGCGGAGGCGTTGACCTTGAAGCCGAAGCTCTCGGCCGTCAGGTAGCGGTCAGTGTCGTTGACGAGGCCGAACTGGATCTTGAGCACCTGGTGTAGGCCGTTGGTGGGCATCTTGGGAACAGCCCGACAGGGGCCAGGGAAGCTCTCTGTGTGCTCACGGCCCCCAGCGGCCGCCTGATGCCCAGCTCGGCGGGGCTGGCCTGTGGCCCCCAGGCCCCACCAGCGTCATGGACCCGCTGCCCGCTGGACGCCGCCTCTGACCAGTGGCTGTGGGCCCGGGCAGCTCTTACATGACCGTGGGCAGCAGAGGGCGGGTGGGAGGCGGATCAGAGCTGGGCCGGCTTAGGGACAGCCGTTACCCCAGCTTGGATTTCAGCCACTCCAGGGTGGCATGGGGACGGAGCTGGACCCTCCGGGCTGGAGGACGCCCCTCCCGCAGCCCTGAGCACCTTCTCGTCCTCCCCAGTGGCTGCTGGGGAGCAGGATGGGCCCCTGCACTGCCTCGTGGCTCCGGCACCTCTTGGCCTCTCTCCTTCTTGTCCCCCCACCTCAGGCCCCCAGACCCACGGCACCAACTCGCCAGCCCAGCCCAGCTCTTTCCCGATGTAGAAAAAGCCACCCGGTGGAAAACAGTGCCACGGCAACCCGATCACAGCCCTCCACCCTCGGCAGCCGCCAGAGCTCGGCCAGATCCAGTTACCGCGTCTGATTCCCGCTGCCAGGAGCAGGGCGAGGCCCCCACCCCGCGGCCGCGGCTCCCTCGGAGGCGGCCTGCAGCCCTGGCCCTGATGCTCCTCAAGGGCGGCTGAGGCTGGGAGAGCAGCAAGTGGGGTGTCGGTGCCAGCGAGGGGCACACGGACCCGAGCCAGGGTGCAGAGGCAGCTGCTCACCCTGTACCCACTGGGTCGGGCAGCCTGGCTGTGCCGGGCTCCGGGGAGAGGGCCCCTGCTTAGGCCGAGAGGGCAGCCGTGTGATGGGGACAGTGACTCCTGCTAATGGGCTGCACAGGGGAGGGGACATGAGAACGTGAGCACAGAGCAGTCACGGGGCGGCGGGGAGGCGGCAGGCTGACCTCTGGGCCCTGAGCACCTCATGGGGCCCCTGAGGCTTCTCCCTCCTCTGTGGGTGACCTCCGGTCAGGCCAGCCTTGTTAGGTGGCCTTGGGACCCCTGAATTGCCATCCACATTGCCAGAGAAACTGTCCTCGCTGTGGGGTCTTCATGGGATCGGGTCCAGGGGGCCATGGAGGGATGAGGCCAGCCAGGAAAGGCTGGAAGCTGGCCACCCCCAAACTAGCACCTCCCAGTTCCAGCTGCTGGGGCCTCCCCTGCACCCCCCCCCTCGCTGAGCGCCAGGAGGCCGTCTTTGGGGACCTGCAGTGGCCTGCTCAGCCTGGACATGCCTGTCTGTCTCCTGCACCTGCCTCAGAGGACAGGAGCCAAGTAGTGAAACCAGAGCTGCCCGGCTTGGGCCTGGGCCAGCGTTAGTGTCCTCTTCACAGCGTGTGACCCTCGGGGCTCCCTAAGGCCCCGGGCCTGGGGCCATGGGGCATTTCCAGCCACAGCCTCCGGAGTCCTGCTCCGTCCTCGTGGGCCCTCGAGACCCCGGCACACGCCTGCACGCCTCTCGGGGCCACGACGGGCCTCATGCTGTGGGAGTCAGCAGCCTGGATGGACTTGGGCCGAGCACCTGTGAGCCCTGGGGGTGGGCTGGGCAGGCGGCACAGGGTCCACACTTGGGAACGGACACAGGGTCAGGAGTCCTTCCTCCCTCCCCCAGCCCAGCACAGGCACACTGAGGAGGGCCGGGGGACCAGACCAGGCCTTGGTGCAGAGGATCCCCCCTGGCCTGTGGGTGCAAGCCACAGTGCTGTCCGAACCTCAGTTCATCTGTGCGTGGGGCCCAAGGGGCAGCGGAGCCCGTGGTCCCTCATCTGCACCCTGAGTGCCCGGCCAGGCTGCACAGGCGTCTGCTGAGCATGATGGCCTCATTAGCGCTGACTGGCGTTGGCAGGGTGCTCGCGGGCATCGTGAGCCCCGCCGCCAGGCTCTAAGCGGGCCTGGCTCGGGCAGCCTCCCAGTGGCAAAGCCAAAGCGGCTGTGGCGTCTCAATTCTGGGCCCCCCAGTCCAGGTGGGGTGGGTGGGCAGCCTGCGGTGGCCGTTCTGGCCCCAGAGGGACTCTGAGACGTGGCGCCCGGCTCCGGCTCCCTTGGAGGAAGGAAGTTTGTCCAGACCTCCCTGCTCCCGCCCCTCCCTCAGGACCCAAGACCCTGCCCTGTACCTGCTGGGGTCACCTCCCTGCTCCCCGCTCCTCCCTCAGGACCCAAGACCCTGCCCTGTGCCTGCTGGGGTCACCTCCCTGCTCCCCGCCCCTCCCTCAGGACCCAAGACCCTGCCCTGTGCCTGCTGGGGTCACCTCCCTGCTCCCCGCCCCTCCCTCAGGACCCAAGACCCTGCCCTGTGCCTGCTGGGGTCACCTCCCTGCTCCCCGCCCCTCCCTCAGGACCCAAGACCCTGCCCTGTGCCTGCTGGGGTCACCTCCCTGCTCCCCGCCCCTCCCTCAGGACCCAAGACCCTGCCCTGTGCCTGCTGGGGTCACCTCCCTGCTCCCCGCTCCTCCCTCAGGACCCAAGACCCTGCCCTGTGCCTGCTGGGGTCATGGTTCCATTCTGAACCCCCGAGGGTCTGGCACATAGTAGGTACTTAGTAAGTTCTCGTGAATGTTTGATGTAGGGGCTCTTCGGTGATGGGCTGAGCTCTGCTGTGCGTGCGGGGGTGTGAGTGTGTGTGTGTGTATGCATGCGGGGGTGTGAATGTGTGTGTGAGTGTGTGTGTGCATAAGAGTGTGTGTGTGTACGTGTGTGTGTGTTTGTGAGTAATGTATGTGTGGGGGTGTGTGTGTGAGTGTATGTGTGGGGGTGTTTGTGAGTATGTGTGTGTGTGTGAGTGTATGTGTGTGTGTGTGTGAGTGTATGTGTGTGGGGGTGTGTGTGAGTGTATGTGTGGGGGGGTGTGTGTGTGAATGTGTGTGTGTGTGTGAGTGTACGTGTGGGTGTGGGTGTGTGTTTGTGAGTAATGTATGTGTGTGTGGGTGTGTGTGAGTGTATGTGTGGGGGTGTGTGTGTGAGTGTATGTGTGGGGGTGTGTGTGAGTGTATGTGTGTGGGTGTGTGTTTGTGAGTATATGTGTGTGTGTGTGAGTGTATGTGTGTGGGGGTGTGTGTGAGTGTATGCATGTGGGGGTGTGAATGTTGTGAGTGTGTGAGAGTGAGTGTGTGTGAGTGTAAATGCACAAGGACAAGGATGGGCAGAGTGAGCCACAGCCACTGCTGGGTTTGCCCAGGCCTGAGCGCTCCCTGGACCCCCTGCGGGTGATCAGGCACCACCCTAGGGAGTCGGCTCAGGCCCCACAGCCCAGATGTGCACTGCTCCCCAGCCGGTGGGTTCGGTGCTCCGCCCCTGGCACTGTGGAGCACCCCTCTCGTGGGACCCTTGGAACCTTTGGCTGTGCCCTGCATGTCCACACAAACGTGCCCGCCACCGTGCCTGTCCAGCCTGCCACTGTGGGGGTTCTATTCACCCACCCCCACTCACCTCTGAACCCTACACAGTCCCTCCTGGGGGCGGGGGGTGTGCCCAGCGTGTGCCCACTGTCCCAGCTGCCCCTGAGACCACCTGATGCACCATCTTAAACACGTTTGACTTGAGGGGTGCCTTTTCCTAGGGGCACCAGGAGGCCGTGTGAGTGAGCAGCACCCTGGCCCCTTCCTCAGGGAGTAGGATTTGGGGCTGGTCACAGCCAGAGGGACCTTCATGGCCGTAGCTGGGCCTGGGAGGCAGGGGTCCCTCAGCTGTCAGAAGTGCCCAGCAGACAAGATCAGGCTGGTCTTTGGCCTCGCCCCCTTGTAGGGAGTGTCCAGCTGGGGCCAGGAGCAGAGAGGGCGTTTCAAGGGCCCCCCAGCCCCGGCACCCATCTGGGAGCTCTCAGGAAGTGACTACTTTCCCAGGGGGCTGGGGGATGAGCAGGCCTGGGCTCTCGAAGGGTCCTCGACCCCCTCCACCCAGGCAGGCCCCTCTGGGGCCACCAGAGAAAGGACCCCTGCCTCAGCATGTCTGGACCACTGGCCCTGCACGCTAGCGCCAGCCTGGGCTCCTGCCAGCGCGCAGCTTGCTGCCATGACGACCAGCACGTGCACTGGGCTGGGTGCCCGGCAACGCTGATGCTGGTGGTGTGAGCTGGCACCGCCCTGTGCGTGTGCGGGCTGGGGGGGGGGGGGCTCTCCGCCTCAGCTGGCCTGGAGCCCTGGAAACTGGGAAATGGCCCAGGACGGAGGCCCAGGCAGCAGCCGGGTGGAGGGACCGCCACAGGTGGCACCTTTCCCAGGTCCAGGTCTGGCCCTGCTCTGGGCTTCACCAGCCGCACAGCCCCAGTGCCCGCCCTGCCTCCCAGAGCCCCTCAGCCCCAGGCCCCGGCCACCTGCTGCTCCTGCGGCATTTGGGTCCTGCCCTGCCCTGGTATTCTGCCCCTCTGTGGTCAGACCACACTGGCCAACACCCTGCTGGGCCTCTGCCCCCGAGGCCAAGGCCACCCTGCCAGTCCGGGCGCTGGTGGGCACAGCCCGGGCTCTGATTTTCTGGATCCTGGGCCCAATGCCTGCTCCTGGGGTCCAACTTGGCTGGCGCCCAAGGCCCCGCCTCCTGCATTGTTCCTGAACACAGGCCCCAGCTTGGTTACCTCATGATTTTTTCATGGCTGGGCTCCCTGGGCTGCACAGTTCCACTTACACGTGGGCAGGGCCCACTTCTCTTACTCGGGCCTCATGGGTTGGTTTACTGGAGGCCTGCGGCGGTTTAGGGTGACAGCTCCCCTTGGAGAGCTGAGGGGCAGTGCTGCAAGGAGCAGCGTGGAGAGGGCTCCCCGCTTCAGACCGGGCTGCGGGTGCGGACACCGGGGGTGCCCCGTCTGCACCCCCTGCCTGCTCCGCGTGAAAATCCACCCCACCCCCACCCCTCAGCGCCCCTATCTACCACCCCCCTCCTTGGACTTGGCAGGCAGCCCCTTGAAAGACTGGGTTTTGTGGACCTCTCTCCTGCCTGTCCCCCTTCCCCTTCAAGCACAGAGCTGCTGGCTGGGCTGGGCAAGCCGCTTGGGACTGTCAGGGCAGAAAGCTGCGGCATTCTCCTGGCTTTTGTATCCTGCAAAACCGTAAGAGGGAGGGCCGTCTGATGGGGAGGGCAGGGAGGGCAGCTTGCAGGGGA